AGTCGTTTGGTGAGGGTGCCGCCGCGTTCGCTAACCCGCCGGCCTGCACGTCAGCAGCTGGCGCTGCGCTGACAGGGCTGACGAATGGCGCACCGCTGGTGTGGCCTGATGCGCAGGACGGCATCGTCGTCTCCGTATGGCGCACCCCCACTGCTGCCTGCCGGGGAGAGGGGGGCGGAACGGGGAGCACAAGGAGCGCTCTGTGCGTTGAAGGGCCAGCAGGGCGTTGCAGGCGGGTCGGCGGGCCCTGTTGCGGGTGCGCCCCAACCCCATTCACAGCGAAGCGGCAGCACAGGCGCGCATCTGCAAATCGCAGCACGTGCAATGCAGGCGCTAACGAACGCGGCGGCACCCTCACCAAACGACTCGAAGCCGTCCTGGTCCCCACCGCCCTCCCCCAGCCCCTCTGCCAGGCGGGCAAAGAAGGCCTCCACAGCCGCACGCTGCGGCCCCGCCAGTGGCGGCAGCGCGCCGCTGGCCTCGGCCGCCGCCACAGCCGCCGAAGCGATGGCATTGGGCCCCACGTCTCTGCCTGCAGGCGAGAAAGGTGGGACAAGAAGCAGCGCTTGTATCACGACAGCATGAATAAGGACATGGCAGTGACACGCAGTTGTGCAGACGTGCCGCAGGAGCTCCTGCTGCCGCCCTCCTGCTTTGCCCCGCGCGCCTGCGCTGCCCTCCGCCAGGCGGGCCCGCGTCTGCAGCAGCAGCGGCCTCATGGCGCCCGCCAGCTCCCGATCCACATCCAGCTCCCGGCTGGGCGGGTCGGAGGCGCCGCCGCCGGCAGGGAAGGAGCCGCGTGGGCCTGCAGGGCCAGCACATGGATGGGGACTCGCTTGACAGGACAGCGCGTGACACAGACTCGCTGGATTCAATACGATATTTTGGAACAATGTGACGTAAAGAAGGTGTTGGGAATCAAGGGCATAATGCATCATATTTTCAGGGAGCCTCAATTCAGGGAGCACAGCTGCCCACCCGACGGAGTGGCCCCAGGGAGGTGGTCGGCGGCGGTGGGGTCCAGCGCTCCCATCTCGCCGCCGGGCTCTGCGGCAGAGGGCTGCAAGCTGGTGATCTCCTCCGTCGTCAGCTTTTGCTTACTTCCCTGCTGCAGCGCAGCGGTGAAGCGGCGTGCGTCAGCCAGGAGAGCCGAGCTGCGTAAGAAACAGCGGGCGGTAGCGCCGGCGCAGGCGGCGGCGGCTGCGCGGCGGGGCGGCACCTTGTCGGTGCCGGTGCCTTGGAAGCAGCGCGGCGGTGTCAGGCGGAGTGCGCATGTCCTGCTGCGCCTACTGGCCGCCAAGGGCAGAGCTGGGGCTATGTGGATGCCGAGCTGCATGGTGAGATGGCGTTTCACCGTTTGCGGGCACTCTTCCGAAACCTCGATGAAGGTCTAGTCAAGGTTGAATTGCAATTTCGACCAGCCTCCGCAACAAGAGGGAAATTGCGGTGAGTCAGCAGCGCGCCGGGGGTGCATCGCGGGCTGCTGAAGAACTCAAATCTGTCGTGCTGGATGAGGCATTCCATGCATGCATGAGTAGCGCCCGAGCTCCCGCTATGCCAATGGGCGGCAGGGTTTTTGTCGCGAGCACCCTTACTGGTGCAGCCCGACCCTGCCCCCAAAGGACTCACATTTTGCAGCGCAGCATCTACATCGCGCAAAGGAGGCGGTGCACGCACGCAGCAGCTGCCAGGCAGGCGAGCGATCACATGCGCACGGTTGTGCGGCCACCAGGCCCCCCACCAGCCAGCGCCTGCATGTGCCATGCCGAGGCGCCGATGCAGCGCGCTCAACGGTGTCGGGCAGTCCGGGCTGGACAGGGCCCCGCACGCCGCTCCGCCGCCGCTCCGCCGCCCGCCAGCCACCAAGCCGGGCCCCTGCTTCGCCCCTGCCACCACCCTCGCGCTCGGCCCCTGCAGGACCGCGACCACCCGGTGGCCCGCCCTTTCGACGACCCGCACAATACGCCGCCGCCGCGGCCGCCCTCACCCGCCACCTCCACCATCGCCTCCTCCTCAGACCTCGAGCTGGGCTCCGATGCGTTCAGCGGCGGCACCCTGGAGACGCCCGCGCAGCAGGCGCGGCACCACGACGAGCGCCTGCACCAGCAGGACCTGGCCCGAGAGGCGTACCAAGTGAGTGGGCGGGGCGCTCTTCGACGGCAGCCTTTCTGGCGGCATTCCAGAGAGGGCGTCGGCGGCCCGTGACAGCCGCCGCCGCCGCCGCCGCCGCCGCCGCCTGCGAGCCGGTTCAGGCCAGGGAGGCCGCGCAGGGCATTGCGCGCCTGGTGCTTGAGGATCTGCTGGAGGAGATGCCGCACAGGCCGCAGCAGCAGGTCTGCGCCAGGCAGGGCCTCTCATCCCTCCAGCGTCTTCACTTGCCCCCTGAGCGAGCTTTGCGCTTCACACCTTACCTTTCCTTCCTGCGTGTAGCCCCTGAGCCGCGCTGCTGCGATGCCTGCCGCTGCCCCGGTGCAGAGGAGGGAGGCCCACAAGGTGCTGGCCGCAGACGAGAGCACCGCAGAGGAGCGGGAGGTGAGCGGGCGCCTTGGCCTGGCGCAGGCAGGCATGGGCTGAGGCCGTTGCGCAGCCCCACACGCCAGCCAGCCCGTCGGGCCGGCGGGTGCATCTTCCCACCTCACTCCGCGCCCCACCAGCCACGCATGGCTTCCACCTCGCCCCGCCCCACGTGCTTTCCTCCCTGCCCAGCAGGACCGCTACCAGGGCATCCTCCAGGCCATAGACTCCCTGGGCGCCCAGCAGGCAGCCGCCGCCGCACCCCACCACCCTGCCGGCGCCTCGCTGGCCCAATCCATGGCCGGCGCCAGCGACGACGACGAGCAGCTGTCGCCCGAGGCGGCGCGCCTGGCCACCACAGGCGGCGGAGAGCGTCAGGTGGGGGGCTGCCGGGAGGGGAGGCGCACAGCTGGCATGTGCTCGGCGGCAGGGGCCGGCGCCTGCCTGGCTCGGGAGAGGGAGCAGAGCAGGGCGAAGGCGCGCAAGTGGCGGGACTGGCGCACGGCGCAGGTCAGATATTTATTATCCTCGTGCCATGCACTGCCTGAGATGTGTGATGCCTGAGAGGCCGCCGGTGCATGCCGTCCGCGCGCCGCGCTGCCGGCAGGACAGCGAGCGCTTTGACGCGCTGCGCCACACGGTGGATGAGCTGGGGGAGGGGGAGGAGGCGGCCAGGCTGATCATGGAGAGCTACCAGGGGGTGAGCGAGGGCAGGCCCAGCCTGCAGGCATCTGCTGAACTGGCGCAGCTCTTGCTTGTGTGGGCTTGCAGCCTGGTTTCAGCCAGAACAAGCTTGCAGCACAGGCTGCTCTCCTGCCGGTCCGTCGCTCCTCCGTGGCCTCTCCTGCTGTCCTTCTTGTGCTGCTGAGTGTCTCTCTTCGTGGATCGCCTGCCGCGTGTGCTGCTGCTCTCCTGACGCTGCTCTGCAGCCTCACGCCAGCCCTGCGCGCTTCCCCCCTGCCCTGCAGCGCAACCTTGAGCAGGAGGCGATGAGGACGATGGACCCTTCAGATGCTGACCACATGCCGCACCCGGTGAGCGGGGAGAGAGGGCGAGAGAGGGAGTGTTTGTGGAGCGAGGGAGGGTGAGAGAGAGAAAAAGAGAGTTTGGAGAGTGTGGCAAGCCACCAGCAGCTGAGACCAGCTCGTCAAGTGCACACACGCGTGCTCGCGCTGTGCGCCGTGCGCTGCCATGCCTCTGCCGCAGGGCGACCGCTACCTGCCGCCGCACGCGGTGAGGACTCGCGCGCCTCCCGGCGGCGCCATGGCCGCCCGCCTCAACCACACCCATGCCAGGCGCGGCCGCTGCTTGCCCGCCCTTGGCCCGCCCCGGTGCCGGGTCAGCTGTTTTGGTGCTGCCCCGCACCATGTTACTGCCACTTGGCTCCATCTGCGAAGACAGCTGAGAGAGGGAAGGCCTTGTGACGTGGTACTGCAGCTGCCGCCCTTGCTGCTGCGCAGGCCGGATTTTGAGCGTAACCGCGTGCTGCCGCTGCCCCCGGCCCGCGGTGGCAACAGCGGCAAGGGGCAGCACGCGGCGTCGGCGTCGGCGGCAGCGGGCGCCTGGATGCCGCCTGAGGGCAGCCCGGCAGCAGCTGCGCGGGCCCAGCACGAGCCTGTGGGGCAGGAGGAGCAGGGGCAGGGGTGCCAGCCATCAGACGAGGGCGGGGCAGCACCAAACGACGACCAGATTGGGCTGGGGGGCGCCGAGGGCGCCACCGGCGGCCCCAGCGAGACGGCAGATGACCAGATCGACTATGAGCAGGGTGGGCAGGGTCTGAGGGTGGCTGCATGGCCTACCCGGACAGCAGGAGGCAGCCTTGCGGGCCCCGAGCAGCGCAACTTCCACGCCTCCTGGTCGCCAGCCGCGCCCCCGGCCGATGCCACCGCCTGCACGCCCCTGCCCCGCCCGCGCCCCGACTGCCGCCGCCGCCGCCGCCGCCGCCTCTCAAACCCATTGCCGCCTGACTGCAGACGCCATGCGGGGCGCGGATGCGCTCTACTATGCCGCAGAGCACGCCGCCAACCCAGCGGTGAACGACCCGGCGCCAGGCGGCGGCTTCGCGGGCGGCGGCGGCAACATCGAGGCCCCAGGCGCGGACCCAACTCCCCTGCGCCTTGCCAGGCAGTGCTGGCCTGCTTGCCTGTCCCGCGCCCTGCTCTTCCTGCACCCCCTCCTCGCAGCAACCCAGGCCTCTTTCCTGGCAGCTCGCCCCTGTGCCGCTGCGCCTCCATCCAACCATCCAACCCATGCCCTCCCTCGCCCTTCAACATCTGCAGAGGAGTTTGATGTCGAAGGTGGCGCGCTGCGCGGCTCAGACTCCATGTTTTACTTCAAGGCTGGTCCGGCCGGCAGCGGCGGCAGCGAGGAGGAGCAGGCGGCGATCCGGGGGGGCGCTGTGTGGGGTGAGTTTTGAGGAAGCTTTTGGTGGGAAGTGTGTGTGTGTACATGGTGGTGCGCGGTTGGGAACACCCTTTCTAAGCCGCAGTCATGGCTCCCATGCCGCCGCCGAATGCTGAGCGGACAGCGGCCCACCCTCCTTTGTCTTGCCCTCCTTGCGCTCTGCCCCTCCCCGCAGGCGCGCTGCACTCCAGGGATGAGCAGCACAGCGCCTTCCGCCGTGCCATGGAGGATGCTGCCCCTGTTGCCAAAAGTGTGGCCAGGGGCGGCAAGGGCGGCGCGCGCTCGCCGCGCCGCCGCGGCGCAGTGGCACCATCTCCGCCGCCGCCGCATGTGCAGGCGCGGGCCACGGGAGTGGCTGAGCACACCGCGCAGCTGAACAGCGCTGCGAGCCCCCAAAGGGGCACCGTTCAGCACTCGGAGGGCGTGCTGCTGTCGCTGCGCAAGCGGCAGGCGGAGCGTCAGGCGGACCAGGCCAGCATGCAGCAGCTGGCTGATCGGCTGAGGGGATCCAGGTGGGCTGCCCGCCTGCCTTCTCTCCTGCCCACCAGCCTGCATGCCTGCCTTGCCCTCCCGGCCTGCCCTGCCTGCCATCAACCGCAGGGTCGCTGTCAGCTCGCCTTTCAATGGCTTGCCGGTCTTGCCGGTTCTGCTGTATGCCTCTCAGTACGCGCCTGTGCGCCCTGGTGGTGCAGGATGGGAGGCCGGCCGCCGCCAGATCCCAAGACGGGGCTGGGCCGTGTGCTGGAGATTGCGGTCGGCAGGTGTGCGGCAGGCTGGACACGTTTCGTTGGCCGAGGAGGGAGCACAGGGTGACGGCTGCCTGGCTGCTGCCGCTCCCTGCAGGGCGGCCGCCGCGGGGCTCGCCTCTGCTTTCTTCTCGGAGCTGCTGACGGGGCAGAGCGTGATCAGCCAGCTGCTGGGCAGGTGGGTGGGCTGTGGGAAGGAGGAAGCCAGCTGAGACGGCCAGCAGAGACAGGGGCAAGCTTGTGCCCAGGGTGCCGAGCTCATCGGATGGCGTTGCTCTGCCTGGCCTGAGCAGCTCACCACGACGCCGCACATGTGGGCGTCTGCGCTTGCTCTGCAGGTTTGAGGGACCTCGCCAGATCGAGTTTGCACTGCCGAACTCTCAGGCGCTGGCGGCGGCAGGTGGGGTGCCTAGCGGGGTAGGGTGTGCCTTCGGCAGCGGCAGCATGACGTGGCGTGTGGTGTGGGATTGGGAGGTGGGTGTGACAGTGCCGTCTCTGGCGATGCCCCTGTTGTGCAGTGCTGGTGGCAGCTGTGGTGGTGACCGTGGCTGAGCGTGTGGGCGGCAGCTCCAGCCCCAGGTGGCGCCCCCTGGGCCTCACCCCGCTGGCCCAGGCAAGCTGCTGCAGATGTGCTGCTGCTGCCTCTCCAATTCTGCATGGTGGGCGGCGAGCAGTGCTGGGCAGAGCACGGCTCCGATTGCCGCATTCTGCTTTGTGCGCTGCGCGCCACGCCGTGGCTGCAGGTGTGGCTGGGCCGCGCTGCCATGGGCCTCTTTGCCCTGCTGCTGGCGTACGAGAGCGTGCACAGCAACCGCCCCGCCTTCAGCACCCTCTTCTACTTGTGGTTTTGATGGCGGCCCAGAGGTGGAGACAGATGCGCGGGAGAGACGCCCTGGAATGCCCGCCCGCTGCCAACCCAGCGCATTTGGTCCGCAGACCGGCCCTGGGCAGCTGATTTTTGAACTAGTGTGCTGCCGCAGCAGTGCGGCACGCGAGTAGAGTAGACCCCCACGCAGCGGCAGCGCCGCGGCGATCCATCCAGCACCCCTTTCAAGCCAGGCACACCCTGCGCAGCAGGCTAATACATCCTGCAAGCATCGGTGCCGTTGCTTTTATTCCTGTACTCCCTTTTCCCCAGCCCCTGTGAGTGGGGCATTTTTTCAGTGCACCATTTTACAGTGCTCCCCCTGACGACAGAGCTTAACCTGTCCCCAATCCGCAGCGGCTTTCAGTCGCAGGCCCATTTTGGCTGCTCACGCTTTTCATGAACCTGCCACAACACAGAATGTGATTAAATGGATCTTGGGGAATGGAGGGCGTGTTGCTTGAGGAGAAACAGCGGCACAACCGTGGCTTGCGGGTGCCGCGTCAGCGGGGGGGCGGCGAGGTACAAAAGCCCGAGCTGGCCCCAAACCGGCGCTGCGCCCGTCCCCCTCGGATCGCTCGACCGAGGGGACATTGTGAGGCGGCTTCCTCGCGCAGTTGCTCCCCTCCAGAGCGCAACCATGGCCTTTGCAGAGTTTCTGAGCGGGGCAGGGCGCCTGGAGACCGCCGTCCTGCCTTCCGCCACTTCTTCAGCCAGCCCGCTGCTCTGCCTGACGCGCGGCCTCTCCGCCGTCATCCCGCCCTCGAGCGGCGGCGGCGGCGGCGGCGCCACCAGCAGCGCCCCGGCTGCACCGGCTGCTGCCCAGCTCACGCTGCCCGACGGCCGCCTGAACGTGGGCACGCACCTGCCCCTACTGGCGCGCCGCTACAAATACTTGAGCTCTCTGGGGGAGGGAGTCTCTGCACAGGTGAGCGCTACCGGGTGTGTGGGCGCCACCACAAATGGCCCAGTTGCGTGGCCGACACGGCAGAGGCAGCACACTGCTCCCAGAGCCGCGGGCGGCCGCTTGGGTGCTGCCGCCGCCAAGCGTGCTTTCCACTGCAGGTCATCCTGGCTGAGGACACGTTGGCGGCTGCTCCAGGCACTCTGGTGGCCATCAAGTGCCTGCGGCGGCAGCACGCGCTGGCGGGCCAGAGGGTGCGTGCGCCTGCTTACACGTCTGCCTGCGGCTCTCGCTGGGGCCCAGTTGGGGAGAGGGGCACCAAGGTGGCAGGAGAGGGAGTATCGCGGTGGTTGGTGTTGGTGCGGAGCCCACAACATGTGCATGCAGCGGCTGACTGATGTCCCGCGCCTGCGCCGTGCCTGCCCGTGTCACCGCCACACCACAGGAGGCGCGCGCTCTGCGGTACCTGCACGCCGCGGCGCCGGGGGGCGTGGCGCCGGGCGTGGTGCGACTTCTGGACAGCTTCATGCTGGGGGCGCACCACTGCCTTGTCACAGGTGGGTGGTGGTGTTAAGCGGAAGGGGCCACGGGTTCCTGGTACTGCCTGCTGCACAGCAGCTGCCACCGCTATGCCTGGCAGCCTGTGCCCGCTGCTTGCTGGCTGCGCTGGTGCAAACCTTGCCGCCGCCCGCTCTGCGCTCCGCCCTGCATGTTTCCTGCCGCAGAGCGGCTGTACCCGTGGCTGCTGGACTGGGTGGCCGAGTCGTCGCAGCTGCCGCAGGACGAGGCGCTCGCGTCGCTGCGCAAGATAGCGCACCAGCTGCTGGTGAGGCGGGCGGGGAGGCGCTGGCCGCATGGGGCCTCGTACTGCTTGCCCGCTGGCACGAGCTGCGCCCCCGCACCTGCCTTCTGGCCCCTGCACCGTCATCGCTAAACGCACACACACCCCACCTAAACGCACACACACCCCACACGCACACACACATTATCACCGCTAAACACACACGCCACCCCACCTCCCCACCCACCCCACCCCGCAGATGACCGTCGCCTTCTTGCACAACCTCGGCCTGGTGTGCGCCGACATCAAGCCAGACAACCTGCTGCTCTGCCACCCGCCAGGTGTGGGTGGGGCAGGGTGGGAGCTACCACGTCGCTGTGTGGCTGCTGCGTTTGGCCGTGGTGGCGCTACCGATGGCGCTGGCGGCCTTGTGGTTGTGCTGCTGCTGCTGCTGCTGCTCTACAACCCGCCAGTTGCCCGCACCGCCGCAACCCACAACACCATGCTGGCCACGCCTGCTGCCACCCGTTGCAGGCAGCCACAGCGTGGCGCTGCGCCTGGTGGACTTTGGCGGCTGCTTCAGCCTGACCGAGACCGACACGCAGGCGGTGGGGTGCGAGGTGCAGACGCTGCCCTACCGCGCGCCAGAGGTGAGCGCGCCGGGACCGTACAGGCGGCGCTGTGGGCGCTGTGGGCAGCGCGGGTGGTGCACATCAGGGAGCGCGTTCGCTGCGGTGCAGCGGTTTGCTTGTGGGCATCAGGGGGCAAGCATGCTTGGTGGGCACAGGCAGCGCGACGGCGAGAGGATGCCGGGCTGGAGCCAGACCTGTGCTGGGCTGCCCTCCTGCTGCCCAGCCAGCCTGGCCACACCCTGCGTACCTGTCTGCCTGCCTGCTGCTCTGGCTGCAGGCCGCCATGGGGCTGCCCTACGGCGCCGCCATCGACCTGTGGTCTGTGGGGGTGGTGCTGGCTGAGGTGGCGCTGAAGCGGGCGCTGCTGCCGTGCGCCACGCCTCGGGACCTGCTGCATCAGGTGCGGCGGCGCGGGTGGCGCCCTGGCGGCTGGCAGCAGGCGGTGCCCTGGAGAGGATGGTGGCGGCAGATGAGCCGCGTGGGCGCGCGCATGCCACGGCGGCGCAGCCGTGCTTTGCTTGGCGCTGCCCAGATGCCACGGGTGGCACCCGACACTCACAGGAGCTGCAGCTGTCGCCTCACTGCCCCTGCCCCTGCCCCACCGCTGCCATGCGTGCTCCAGATGGTCACGCTGCTGGGCCCGCTGCCGGAGCACATGGTTCGCGGCTCGGCGGCGGCACAAGAGATGGGCCTGGCAGCCCTGGGCGGGCATGCGGCGCGGCAGGCGGCGCGCGCGCCTCAGACGACGCTGACGCGCGAGCTGGAGCAGCGGGTGGCTGCTGCCGGGGTGCCCGAGCTGGCCCTGCCCGGGCCGCGCCGCGCGTGCCAGCTTCGCGATGAGCTGGCGGCGGTGGATGCGGGCTGTGCTGACCTGGTGATGCGCCTACTGGCATATGACCCCGCCCAGCGCCTCACCGCGCACCAGGTGGGCTTGGCCAGCAGGCAGGCGGCAGGCTGCTCCCTTCTGTTGGCACGGTGTGGTGCTCAGGGATTCCGCCACTGCTCGCCTGCCTTGCATGCAATACCGCCCGTCCTTTCCTGGAGCGGCCTGGGCAGCGTGCCTTGCTGCTGCCTGCCTGCCGAGGTGCTGGATGCTTGCTCCTGCCTGCCTGCCTGCTTGAACCTTTGACTGGCCCTGACTCCAGGCATTGCTGACCTGCCTGCCTGCTGGCCTGAACCATGTAGGCCCTCCTACACCCCTGGTTTGATGCGGCCTGCCCCCTGCGGGCCGTCTTTCCTCAGCTGGAGGAGCTGTACCGCGTGCAGCAGGCTGCGCTGCGCACAGAAGCCGGCACCACGGCGGCTGGTGCAGCTGCCGGCGCTGCGACGCCTGCACCAGCCAAGCCAGCACCAGCGCCTGCGCAGCCGGCACGCGCGCCGCTGCCGGTTGCAGGTAGCCCTGCCGCGCCGTCCCCGCTGCCAGGCGCCGTGGCCGCGGCTGCAGCAGCGGAGGCGGAGGCAGCCGAGGCGGCGGCGGTGGCTGCTGCCCTGCCTGCCACAGTGCAGCGGCGGTGGCAGGCTGTGCTAGACCCCGGCACCGCACACCTGCTGCTGGGCTCCCAGGCATCCAAGGCTGGCAGCGGCAGGCAGCAGCAGCAGGCGGGGGAGCGCGGGCAGCCGTGGCAGGCGCTGTCGGCAGCGCTGGCTCAGCCCAAGCCGGCGCTGTCCAAGCTGCCTGCAGCCCAGCTGGCGGCGCAGCAGTGGGATCAGCAGCAGCAGCTGGCTTCACGCGACCCTTATGCTGGAGCCTTCTCACTAGAGGTCACCCCACCCAAGGGGCAGGCAGTAGTGCCGGCAGAGCCCCAGCGGCAGCAACAGCAGGAGCAGGAGCCGCCGTCGCCACTGCAGCCGCCACAACCGCCGCAGCCGCCACAACCGCTGCCGCTGCCGCCGCCGCCGCAGCAGCAGCAGCAGCCCCAGGCTACTGCCGCTGCCACGGTGGGCGATGCAGCGGGAGAGAGGGTCCCTGAGGCGGCGCCAGGTGCAGATGGGGCTGCCACTGGCAAGCGCAGAGGTAGTAAGCGTGGTGGGCCCGGCACCGGCGGGATCAGCAAGACGCCGCGTAGAACGAGCGTCAAGGCAGCTGCGCAGCAGCAGCAGCAGCAGCAGCAGCAGGAGGCAGAGGAGGAGCAGGCAAAGGTATTTGACCTTCTGCTGGAGGCAGCAGCCGCAGACAGTGAGGAGGAAGAGCGGCAGGGTGCGCCGGCAGTGGCAGGCCGCTCAGGATCCAAGCCGCCGCGCAGGAAGCAACAAGCAGGCAACGTTGGCAGCGCCAACGCTGCTGGTGCTGGCAGAGGGAAAGCAGGGGCAAAGCCTGCGGCTGGTGCGGGCGCAGAGCGGGGGCGTGGCCAGGCCAAGAAACAGCTGCAGCAGCAGCGCCTGCCGACTCCGTCGGTGGCAGCCAGCAGCGGCGCGGTGCCAGCGGGCAAGACACCAGCCACGGCGCGTGCCATAGCACGCCAGCCGGCTGCTGGTGCAGGCGGCAAGAGCAGCAAGAAGGCGCAGCAGCAGCAGCCCGCTGTGTTGAGCAAGGTTGGCGAGGGCAGGAGTGCTGCCCAGAAGCGCAAGCCGGCTGCTGATGGGGCTGGCGGCAGCCAGCCTGCTCAGCTGGATGGGGCAGCAGGCATAGCCCTGACGAAGCAGAAGGCAGGCATCGCTCAGGAGCCGGCCGCTGCTGGTGCTAGTCCAGCTGCTGCGGACGCGGCGCCGCCAGCCACAGCTCGGAAGAAGCAAAGAACGGACGCCGTTCACGTTGCGGGCGCAGCAGAGGCGGCGCCGCCAGGCACCATTGCCCGGCAGCGGCGGGAGACGCAGCAAGGCAATAAGGTGCCGTGGTGGGTGGTGCGAGGCTGAGCAGGACAACGTAGTTCGCACACTGATCTCCTGAGCTTCTCAATGCTGTCATTTCCCCCCTTCTTACACGTCTAGCAGATTGCTGCCCTAGTTTAATCTGTGGGGAAATGCACCCCATTCCAAGTTTGGTGCCCGTGCCAGTGTGTGGAATTCTTTGATTTGGGGAAAGGTTGGGGAAGGCGTGGCAAAGGAGCTCTCGAGAGGCGGGAGTTGGGCGCTAAGAGTGGCCTCGGGAGCACAGTGCGAAGGTGGGGCTGCTGGCTGGATTCACACAGCTGTGGGCAACTGCGGGCTCTACATGCCGTGGCGCATACTCTCCACGACATGCTGCAAGATGATGGGTAGGAGGAAAGAGGGAGATTGGGAGGGGCTCAGGCAGCGGACGCTGGCGACGCGCGCGAACCGGATGTGACGCTGCGTCTTCACACGACTGGCATTCAAGCTGTAAAGGAGTGCAGCATCTCCCTCCCTCACCTTTGAGTGTTTATCTATAACAAGCATTGCGACCGCAATGGCCAGCATGGTCAGGACCATGGAACCCCTGCGCAGCAGCAGGCAAGCAGCGTAGTCGTGGCAGGGGCGATATGACCAGGCAGGGAGCTGCATCAACCACCGCGCCAGGCAGCAGTTCATGAACTGTGATCACGATGGCAGAGGCATTACCAACAGCCGTACAGGTCTCAGCAGTTGAGCCACTCACGTCTGCTTGAAGTCAGGATCAAAGCTAGAGCAATGCAGGTAAACACCTGCACCGCAAGGGCGGCAGCCCGGCGACGGGCAGAAGTTGCCGCGGGTCAGAAGCGCAGCCCACAGGCAGCAGGCGGTGGCCACCTGCGCCGCTGCACCTGGCATACGCGGTGCAGCGAGGCAGCCTCTCCCCCTCTGCAGTCTCACCTGCAGCGGCAAATGGGGCCAGCGCCATGATGACCCTGCGGGCAAGATCCCGCGCGTGCTTATTCATCTGCAGGTTGGGGCAGGCAAGGGCAGCAGGGCAGGGTGCCTGGATTGCTGTATGCAGGAGCGCCGCACCAGACATTTAGCACTGGTCAACGCAGGGGGCACAATACGCGGAGTGGTGGAGTCTGCACGCAGGCGGCGCCGCGGCGCTGCGGCGGCCGCAGCGACGCATGCGTTGAAGGCACAGTGGGATGAGCATCGGCATACCTGTTCTAGCTGCGCTGCAGCGTCTGCCATGGGGACCTCCAGCTGCAAGCACGAAACTGCATGGGGTCAGAATCCTGAGGGAGGGCGCAGTGCAGGGCTGCTGCCTTATCCCCATGGTGGGCAGGCCTTGGCTGTGTGCAGGCTGTCCCGGCCAAGGCGAGCCTGGAGCAGAGCTGGGCTCAGACCTGCCTGGCTGAGGGTTCAGCAGGCAGGGTGCCTGGGAGGCTCGTGGGAGGCAAGAGATGGAGGCAGTGGCGAAGGAAGGGCTTTTGATCTCAGCTGTGGCGCATTCGCATGCAGGGAAGAAAGGTGACACGTGGGCTGGCTTCTCACCCGTCTCCCACTCATTTGCTTGCATGCAATCATTACGTTAGCGATGCTGAGCAGCACCTCAAGGCAGGGGGGACCTGCTGCAGCCTCCCCCTTCAGTGCCGCCAGGCCTACCCCGACCAACCAGCCAGCCGCTGGTGGCCACATCTTGGTGGCAACGCCGTGCCTGCTCGTCTCCCTGCCGTCGTCGCCGCTACCGCTGCCGCCGCCGCCGCCGCCGGAGCAGCAGCAACAGCAGCCCCAGGCTTCCTTACTGCCAGAGTGGGCGAGGCAGCAGCAGAGGTGGCCATTGAGGCGGCGCCAGCTGCAGATGGAGCTGCCACTGGCAAGCGCAGAGGCAGCAACGGTGGTGGGGACCTGATCGTCGGCGCCGGCATCGGCGGCAGCGGCATGCCATCGCACAAGACGAGCTGTCAAGGCAGACCGCAGCAGCAGCAGCAGGAGGCAGAGGAGGAGCAGGCAAAGACATTTGACCTTCTGCTGGAGGCAGCAGCCGCAGACATTCAGGAGGAGCAGAGGCAGGGTCGGCGGCTGCAGGCCGCTCGGGATCCAAGCCGCCGCGCAGGACGCAACCAGCATGCTGGGCAAAGTTGGCAGCGGCAACGCCGCTAGTGCTGGCAGAGGGGAGATGGGGGCGAAGCATGCGGCTGGTGCCACCAGTCACAGCAGTGCTGGTGCAGGCGCAGAGCGGGGTCGTGAGCGGCCCAAGCAGCAGCAGCGCCTGCCGACTCCGTTGGTGGCAGCCAGCAGCGGCGCGGTGCCAGCGGGCGAGACGCCAGCCACGGCGCGTGCCACAGCACGCCAGCCGGCTGCCGGTGCAGGCGGCAAGAGCAGCGAGAAGGCGCAGCAGCAGCAGCCCGCTGTGTTGAGCATGGTTGGTGAGGACAGGAGTGCGGCGGCGGGTGCTGCCAAGATGCCAGCTTCCCAGAAGCGCAAGCAGGCTGATGGGACGGGTGGCAGCCAGCCTGCTGAGCTGGGAGGGGCAGCAGGCACAGCTCGGAAGAAGCAGCAATCGACCACCATCCACGCTGCAGGTGCAGGACAGGCGGCGCCGCCAGGGACCGCCGCCCGGCAGCGGCGAGAAAAGGAGCAGGGCGAGAAGGCGCCGTGGTGGGTGGTGCGAGGCTGAGCAGGACAACGTAGTTCGCACACTGATCTCCTGAGCTTTTCAGTCCTGCTCCGATTGCCCCTGTTACACGCTCAACATATTGATGTCCTATTAATTCTGTCTTGGCCCACAAAGATCGGGTTACTGCGGTGCCAACATTCAAACACGTCCGCAGTGTCAAGAGCTGCCGCTGACAGCCGCCAGTCAGCCCAGGCTGTAGGGCCTCCAGCAGCCGATGGCCTGCACCTTCAGCGCCTGCATGTCCAGGCAGGCCGGGTGCGGCGGCACGGGGCACACCACGCCCTCGCCCGCACACACTGCGGGGCTCTTGCCTGGAACAAGGCAGCACGTGCGGGCAGGTGTGTTGGGGAGGGCACTGGCGCGGGGGGGTCAGCCAGGCACAGCAACAGCAACAGCGTGCACTCCACCTGCATACCCGCTTACCCGAGTAGTCGATGCGGATGGGCACGCGGGCAGCGCAGCGCTCGCTCATGATTGACTCCAGCTTGTCCTTCAAGCGGTCGCCCTTCCGTTTCACCAGATTGCTGGGCACGGCCACCACCACCAGCACCGCCACCTCAGCCAGCACCTGCACCTGGCTCAGCTCGGCTGCAGACAGCGGCGACCTGCTCCAGGCAATCAGGGGAGGGGAGACGAGCGGGCACGTCAGGTGGGGTCGCCCTGGTGCAGCGCAATCTCAATGCGCAGGCGCATGCCCGCGCCGCATCTGCGTGCAGCAGCAGCAGCGGCGGCAGGCCGCCATCGCCAGGGGCTCACCCGCTGGCTGCCTTCTGACTGGCTGCCAGCCTGCGGACACCGGCTTGAACCTCATGCGCCGTGCCGGGGGTGCTGTGCAGGTGCGCCATCATGTTGCCAATCAGCTCGGCATGAGGCGCCGCGAGCACACCCTCCCTGCAGCAGGCAAGCAGGACAGCACAAGCTGAGGAAGACGTGGACGGGCGTGCAGGTAGACGTCTGTGCTACGCTCGTTCAAGCCACAACCAGGCAGGCAGGCGCGCAGGCAGCAGAGCAGCCGACTCACGGCAGGTATAGCCCGTTCAGGTTGCATGCGCGCCCGCCGCGCTTGATGGAGATGGCCACCATGCTCAGATCCACATCCTGCTGCGACAGGATGTCGGCGCGCGCCACAGCGCTGCCGGCAGGGAGCAGGAGGCCGTACAACGGCTCCAGCTCTTCTGCTGCCTCCTTCTTCTTCTTGTTGCCGCCCTTCTCCCCTGCTGGCGCCCAGCCCTCCTCGTCACCGCCCTCCTCCGCTGGCAGCGGCGGCGCTGGCAGCAGGCGCCGCACCCCCGCCTGCATGCCCAGCTTCAAGCCATAGATCTGCGGTGTTGGGCGTGAGAGAGGGCGCATTTGAAAACATGCGTCGGCCGGCGGCCTTGGCTGTGTTGAGGGCGCGCGATGAGCAGGCAGAGGTGGTGGGCGATGCTGCAGCCTGCCTGCACCAGCTTCCCCAATTCCAAGTTGAACCAAGTTGAACCTGGAGGCACCCAGAGCTCACCAGTCTGTTCATAGTGTCTTGGATGGGCCGGAATTCTTCCCCGATGCCCACATACAGCTGGCTGTGGCCCAGCAGGCTGGGCTGCGGCAGGCAGTCTAGAGCCAGGGGCTGGAAGCGGGCCGTGTCGATGGAGGAGGGCCCTCCCTGCAGGACAGGTTTTCACGAGGAGCGGCAGGGGGTCAGACCACCAGGTGGTTGATGTGCCGGCGTGCCAGGCAGTGGCCTGCGCACATCAGGACGCGCGTGGAAGCGGCCGCAGCATCAAGGTGGCTGGTGCTGTTGCCAGAAACAGGCCCCAACCCACCTCGCCCAGGCTGAGCTCCTTGGCGGCGGCAGGCCCCCGCCCCACATTGTTCTTGCTGGGCAGGCACTTTGGGGCAATGGCCAAGCGGCTGGCCAGCGGCCAGCCAACCATCACCACTGCTGCGTCGCCCAGCCAGCGCAGCTTGAAGTCATCGGCAGCAGAGGCGTCCCCGCCAGGGTGCGCTGCCGTGCTGCCGGCGCGGGCGCGCCGCGGCAGGCGGCTGCCACGTGGAGCGGGCTGGACTGCTCCGGTCGAGGTGCCGCTGCTGGAGGCCGAACCTCGCGCAGCTGCCTCGCGGCCAGCAGCCTCCGCCGTGCGCCTGCTGGCTGCCCTCGCCTGCCTGCTGCTGGCACCAGGAGGGATGGGCGCGGTGCCAGCTGCCGCCGCAGTGGTGGCTGCAGCAGTGCTGTCACCTGGCTGGGATGCGCGCCTGCTGCCCGGCTCCTGGCTGGGTGCAGGCCAGGCTCCCAGCTGCTCAGCCTTCACATGCAGCAGCGGGAAGCCCAGGTGCGGCAGCTGGCCGGGTGACGGTGGCAGCTGATGCAGCGGGTGGCGTGGTGCCGATGGCGACGCCAGTTGGCGATCTCCGCATGATGCGGGCTGGAAGACGGGGGCGGCCTGCACAGGGAGCACGCGGCGGCGGCGAGTCCAGCCCAGTGGATGGGGACTAGCCGCCGCTGCCCTGCTGCTGTCGCTGGCGGGCACCGCCTGCCGCCGCCACTCACCTGCCGGGCCCGCGCCATCCCCTCTGGCAGGTGCGGCGCCTCGTCCTGCATTCCAGGCGGCACGGGGCGCAAGGGAGGGAGGGCCTGGCTCGCGATGGCGCGGTTCCAAGGGTCCCAACCGCCAACGATGGATGCCACCAGGCCCCTGCCTGCCTCCCTGACGCCCACCTGGTCCTTCAGGGCGCCCGCAGGCAGGTTCTCGTCCTGTCTGAGGGCTGCCTGGCGCCGCATGGCCGACATGGCCGGCTGCAGCGAGGGCAAAGGGGTGCAGGGTTCCGCTGCCTGTCGAAGGGCTGGCTATGAAGTTCCCAATGGGCTTCCCTAGCTTTCGGATTGCCCCCTCAGCGCCTGAGTTGCCTGCTGCGTGGCGCGGAGCCCACTCCGACACTCCCGACACCTTTGAACATTCAATTGTAGCTCTGCATCATCGCGGCAGTCGGCCGGTGTGCCAGGCAGCACCTGTGCGGCGCAGCGGGAGGCGATGGCGCGCGGCACTTCCCCGCCAAACCCGCAACGGCGGCGCCTTAACGCCGCTGGTGCTCCCTAACTCCCAGCTGCTGCACCCAGTTCCAGGCATCCATGTGGATTGCACACGTGGTAAACACGACGCTCAAAATGAACCACCTGCTCCCCGGCCGTGTCGGGAGAGTGCAGCGCCATCTGAACCGCTGGGTGAGGGCGGCGCCAGCGCCCTGGGCAACCTCAAGTTCCAAGTGTTACAGCTTCGGAGCTGCCAGACCCTCCCAGCCGCTGGGGATTTTTCGGGGACTTTTCCTGACCACACCCTTTGTGGCCTACTCCTCGAGCGGTTGGTCGCTGGCTGTCCTCTTGTCGCTTCGGCGACGACTCCTGTGTCAGTAACCGGGCTGCTAGCATTCCATATTTAACATGCTTTCTGTCCAGTTTTCAAGCAAGATTTTATGAGGCAACGCGCCGCAGCTGCACTGCAGATTGTGAAAAGGACCTGCTTTGCCGCTGCCGGCCAGCAGCAGGGTGACACCCAGCCGTGGCGGTTGGTGCAAGGCCAGGCAATGGGTTGCAGCAGGTATTCACGTCATTATTTCCATCTTATCTTCAGCTTCTGCAGAGGGAGCGGCCGCCTGGGGAGCTGGCGGCGCGGCGCGCTGCGCCGCAGCGCCAGCAAGGCGCCACATAGGCAGAAAGCCATCGAGGATGTCGCGTCCAGCCCCATTCCTACCTCCACACACGTCTCACCACAACCTCCAGACGCAACAGCGACACGGTTCAATCAGAAGAAGCATGCATGCAGTGGACCACAGAGCAATCAACCTTCCAGCACCTTGCCCCGAACACTGTGAGTATGCGGTCAATGCACGACATGCTTGAGCTAGGCAGCAGGCGGTCCAGCCGGTGCCGCTGAGCAATTTGCGTAGCGATCCGCAAACCCGTGCTGCAGCAACGCCCATAGCATCTCGGCTGTCCATGTTCGCGGCCTCGTTGAAATCCGGCGGTTACGAGGTGTGTTTGGGAGCGGCGCCGCCGCGTGACGCATGCCATTCACGTTGTGCAATAAAGTAGACGCCCCGCTTCTGGTGCGGTGCTCGCGCAGGTAGTTTCGGCAGCCAGCAGCACCTCCCCCCAGGCCGGCCGCGGGCAGCCAGCCGAGTCATCGACCGATGCTGCCGCCGCCACCATCGCGGGCGCTCCTGCCAGCTGCAGCCGCAAGCTGGCAGCGCACCGCAGGTGGCCCTTTGGGCGCTGCGACAGCGCCTTTAGCTGCCAGGCAGGCAGCCGGGCAGGCAGCAGCAGCAGCGGTCGTGACCTGGAAGCCTCCGAGGCCGGCACTTGCGCTGAGCGGCGGCAGCTCGAGGCCGACGCACAGGCAGCCAGGGAAGAGACGGCGAGCCTGCGGCAGCAGCTCGCTGCCCTGCTTGCGCAGCAGCAGGAGGAGCGCGAGGCGGCCGCCGCTGCCGCTGTGGCGCTGGGAGCAGAGGCGGAGAGGCAGCGGCGCCGCGCTGAGGCGGCCGAGGGCGAGGCGGGCTGCCTGCGGCGCCTGAGCTCGGCAGCCGCAGCGGCCCAGGCACTGGCTGAGGCCGAGGCGGCGGTGCAGCTGGCGGACCTGCGGCTGGCGGCGCAGAAGCGGCGAGTGGCCGGCCTGCAGGAGCAGGTGGAACAGCAGCGGGGCGTGATTGCCACCCTGGCAGACAGCCGCGGCGACGCCTTTGAGGAGCGCTTCCACCTGCGGCTGGAGCTGCGGCACAGCCGCGCTGCCGCCCAGCAGGCGCAGCGCAGCGCCGCCAACCTCAGCCAGGCGCTGCAGCAGCAGCGGGACGCCGCGGAGCAGGCGGTGGCGGCGGCCAGGGAGGAGGGCCAGCGCGCGGCGGCGGCGCGCTGGCAGGCTCGCGTGCTGGAGCTGCGCAAGCAGGTGGGCTGGCAGGGGCCGCTCATGCTGCGTGGCACTGGCTTGCATGACTCGCTCCGCCGGGAGCTGGCATCGCCGCCGTCTGCCGGCTGCCGTGTTGGCAGCAGCAGGCACGCTGAGCGGGCGGCAGGGCGCTGCGTTTGCCGCTGTTAACAGTATCATTTCTGACTGGCGGTGCCCTGCCTGGCATGGTGGCACCCCCGTGCAGTTGGCGGAGGCGCGGCGCAAGCTGCAGGCGGCGCAGGAGGGCGAGGCGGCGGCACGAGCGGCGCTGTCGGCCCAGGGCTGCATGCTCAGCCAGGCCCGCGCCGAGCTCTCGGCAGACCATGCGGTGCTGCTCCAGGCGCACAGCAAGGTTGCCGCAGAGCTGACAGAGCTGCGCAAGCTGCCGCAGCAGCGGCAGCTGCGGCACGCGGCGCCGCAGCTGCCCCAGCAGCCCGACGGTGTTGAAGGTGGCCCTCCCAGCCCCTGTCCCTGCAATGATAGCGGGGCTGGTGGGGTCTGTGCCAGGAGCCGCAGCAGCAGCCGTGAGGGCAGCGAACCGGCCAGCCCATGCAGTCCATCCAGCCCCTGCACCTGCACCAGCACAGACCACCAGCCCTGGGACTGATGCAGCCCCGCGTGCATCCACAATGGCGAGCCAAGAAAGTCGGCAACAGCCTGTCATGCCTGCTCTGCTGCAGCTGCATGGTTTTGCTTCATGTTACATGCAAGTCACTCACAGCGCTTCTAAGCCTCCTCGGCCTCTCTTTTCTTCCCTCGTCTCCGCTTCCTACTTTTTCAATGCATGCAGACGTGACCCCCTGTTTGTCCCTCATTTTCCTGCTTCTGCTTCTGTCTTCTTGGCTTTGATACTGCTTGCTCGTCAGTGTTGCTCAAGGCCCTTGCCATCTGTCAGTTTCTCAAGGCCCCATGCCATCTGTTGCGTTTGCACTTGCTGCATACCGCTTTGTGTTGCCCATTTCGGTGGCCGCTTCAGCGCCCCATTTTCGTGGAGCACTGCCACACATAGTGCCCAGTTGTGCATGCCTGCCACATGTCCCCTTGGCTCGATATCGCCACTGGGGCATCTCTGAGACTGTTGCTATTCTTTCGCTGACTAGAGTACCCGTAATCATCACTTCTTTCAAAACTTGAGGTTGCCCACGGCGCTGGCGCCGCCCTCACCCGGCGGTTCAGATGGCGCTGCCGCTGCACTCACACGGTCGCCTTTTAAGACACCTTTGATTTTGGTCGTGTTTACCACGTGTGCAATCCACATGGATGCCTGGAACTGGTGGCAGCAGCTGGGAGTTAGGGAGCACCAGCGGCGCCAGGGCGCCGCCGTTGCGGGCGGGGAGTGCCGCGCGCCATCGCCTCCCGCCGCGCCCACTGCCGATCCTGGCACTCCAGCCGAGTAGTATAGCGATGATGCAGAGCTACAATTGAATGTTCAAAGGTGTCGGGAGTGTCGGAGTGGGCTCCGCGCCACGCAGCAGGCAACTCAGGCGCTGAGGGGGCAATCCGAAAGCTAGGGAAGCCCATTGGGAACTTCATAGCCAGCCCTTTGACAGGCAGCGGAACCCTGCACCCCTTTGCCCTCGCTGCAGCCGGCCATGTCGGCCATGCGGCGCCAGGCAGCCCTCAGACAGGACGAGAACCTGCCTGCGGGCGCCCTGAAGGACCAGGTGGGCGTCAGGGAGGCAGGCGGGGGCCTGGTGGCGCCATCGTTGGCGGTTGGGCGCCTTGGAACCACGCCATCGCGAGCCGGGCTCCCCTCCCTTGCGCACCGTGCCGCCTGGAATGCAGGACGAGGCGCCTCGCCCGCCGGAGGGGATGGCGCACGCCGGGCAGGTGGGTGGTGGCGGCAGGCGGCGCCCGCCAGCAAAAGCAGCAGGGCAGCGGTGGCTAGTCCCCATCCACTGGGTGGGTCTCACCGCCGCCGCGTGCTCCCCATGCAGGCCGCCCCCGTCTTCCAGCCCACATCATGCGGAGAGCACCAACTGGCGTCGCCATTTGCACCACGCCACCCGCTGCATCAGCTGCCGCCATCCCCCGGCCAGCTGCCGCTCCCCCGCTCCCTGCTGTTGGCTGGCGCCGGGATGCTCGGTCCTGCCTCGCCGCTGCAGGAGCTGCTTGCCGCGCTGCAAAACCGCCACTATAAGGAGGCGACGCAGGCGCTGCCCGAGGTTCAAGCGGCTCTGCAGGAGGGATGCAGGGAGCCCTTCCAGATGTGAGTGCTGGCTTTGGGGGGGCTGAGCGGCTGTGGGCCCTCCCAGCTGATCAGCTGCTTATATTAGCCTGATTGTGCCTGACACCTCCCTGCAGTGACCTGCTGGCATCCAGTTTGACAGACGCCCTCCGGCTTTATGGCTCCGATGCGGACATCGACTCGCCCTCGGAGGGCCTCTTCCAGCTGGTTGCGGTGAGGGGTTTGGCGCGCCGGGCGCCGCGCGCCGGGCGCCGGCGCGCCCCCTGCTGCCCGGCGGTCAGCAGCGTGGCAGCATCCTTCGCTGCAAAATTCTGGTGTTGGGGTGTGGCGGATGTGTATGGCCCTGGGGCTGGCAGCTAGGCTGGCAGGGCAGTGGTGCCTGCTGCCCTTCCCTTTGCTGCTGCACCATGCAAGCCGGTTCGGCGTGCATCCTCTTGTCCCCGCGCTCATCCACCTGCTGACCCATGCGGCCTCCTCGTTCCCCCACGGCGCACGCTCCCTGCAGGCCAGCCTCTCATTCATCAGTGCCGTGATCAGACCCATCCCCTCAGTCCAGGCACCAGCCTCTGCCTCGGCCCCCACCACTGCCGCCGCCGCCCGCGCCCCATTCTTCACCGACGCCCAGCTCAGGGCGTTTGCGGGCCCACTGGTCAGAGCCACTCTGCGCATTGCGTACGACGTGCCGGCCCGCTCCTACCGTGGACCGCTGGCCACCGGGCTCAGCCTGCTGGAGGTGTGTGCTGATGCCCAGGGGCTAGCCCAGGAGCGCTCCTGCGGGCTGTAGCTGGACTGCCATGGCGACTGCGGGGGCCACGCACTCAAACTGCTGGCGCTCGGCAAGGCTGCTGCCGACACCCACCATGTATGGCGACCGTGGAGGTGATCTCCCTGCCCTCGCTCCCCGCAGATTCTGCTGCAAGTGCCGGGGACCCTGGCGCACCTTCTGGGCCCCATTCCCGGCATCAACGACACCATTCTGGATGACGATGACAGAGGGTTGCTCATGACGATGCTCAAGCGTCACTTGCGTCTAGATTCACTGGACAGCGGCTTTGGTGCCGCGGTTCTGCGCGCCGCCCTGCTGCGAATGGCACAGGCACAGGTGGGTTTGGTGCCGGGCCAGACTGTAATCACCCGATCCCAACACTACTGCATGTGCATGCCATGCGATTGCGACTGAACTGTTCCCGACTTCCCCCGTTGAAGCATGTCCCGGCTTGCCTAACTGCCGGCCGCCCTGTCCCTGCCTCATCTTTAACCACTGCAGGGCGACACAGATGAAGGGCTGGTTGCGGTGATAGAGCTGCTGGGTGGCTTGCCGGGTGTGGATATGTTGGTGGAAGCCTTTTCTGCGAGGTGGTGTTGTTCGATGGATGCCTACATTGAGGAGGCTGCCCTGGTGCACCTGCTGCCTGACGAGCGCATTGGAGCAGGCGATGCTGTGGAAGTGATCAGCTGGTTCTTGAGACGCCTGGTGGGCTGGGGCCGGCGCAGCCTTCCTGGCTTTGGCGTGCTGTCGTACGGATGCAGAAGCTGCAGATACACCGCTCATTCCAATCCCCCCTTTCTCCCTCATCCTCTGCAGGGCGTGGTGGTGGAGATGAGGGATGAACTGGTGCATGCCAACGAGACTGACGAATACTGCCGGCTCATGGACGCCTACCTTGCCACCAGCGCCGCCAAGCGGGTGAAGGTGAGCCTGTGTAGGAGTGGGGACGTGGCGGCTGTGGAGCACCAAGAAGCAAGAAAGAAGAACTTGCGGCCTGCGAGTGGACCTGCATGCCTCGCTGTGCTGACTCGCCGGGCTTGTGCCTCCTTATTCCTCATATCCATGTTACAGCTGGCACAGCTGGGCCTGGATGATGGGGGAGGCACGCGTCACGTGGCCGCTGGTGGCAGCATGCATGCCTCCCAGGTGTGTGCCTTGCCTACAGTCAGATGGATGTTCCCCAAAGCGCTGAGGCGTGGGGTTAACCGCTCTGCAGCAGCAGCAGCAGCAGAAATTCCTCACCCAATCCATCGCTGACTGGTCTCCCTAGCCCTAGCAACCACACCCTTCCTTACCTGCAGCACAATGCGCTCGCCCCAGTTCTGGAAGCCCCACACGATGTGCTGGCGCTCATCGCTGACCAATTGAGCTTGAAAGACAGGTAAGGGCGCCTTTCACTGTGCTGCAATGCGGGGGTTTTACCATCCAACCTGCCAGCTGCCCGCTTTCCCGCCTGCCTGCCCACCTGCAGGAAGAGCCTGGGCGCCACGTGCGCCTACCTGCGCCATGCCTCGCTGGGCTGGTTTCCCATCGTTGTGCTGCGCCGCCTGCCAGAGGACCTGAGAGTGGCAGCCTTCCTGGCGGATTGGGCGCAGAAGCGGCAGGGTGAGCTGGGCCCCTGGCACTCCTGCCGTCCCTGTCGCGAGTAATGGATCTGCATGGCAACAGTGACTCCTGTGCCTGATTCCCTCCTAGCGCGGGCCTCATGTGCGGTGCAGCTAAACTTCATGTCCACGGGCATTACCAGTGGTCCCCATCCCCCGGCTGGCAGCACGTGCTGCCGGTGTTGCAGCCGCAGAAGGTCCAGCTGCGAATTTGTCAGCTGCCCCAGATTCCAGTTGCCCTATCACGGCTTACAGCTCTGCAGACACTTGTCATAGGCCTCGGCCCACTATGGAGTGGCAGTCAGCACCTCGCGGGCCTAACTCAGCTGGAGGAGCTTGAAATTGGCGGATGCCATGGGACCCGCCTGCTACCTTCCCTGTCGCTCCTCACGAAACTGCGCAAGTTGGACATTGGACTAAACCAGGGCAATTGGCAGCACTTGGCGCCCCTGCTGCAGCTGGAGGAATTAGCACTGTCTCCCGGGGCACAACTCCCCGCGGTGATGGCGCAGCTCACAGCTATGACCAAGCTGAAAATTTGCAACATCGGTACCTCCAAACTGCAGGGCGGCTGGCAGCACCTGGAGCTCATGGCCCGCCTGCGTCATCTAATTATGGAGCACTGCAAGCTAGACCAGCTGCCACCTTTGCTGGCTCGGTTGACCGCTCTGCGCCACATTTCTATTTCGGGCAACCCTGGCCTGCCTGGCGGCTTGCATCATTTGCGCCACCTCCACCAGCTGCAGGAGCTGCACCTGGAGAGGTGCGACGTGACCGAGGTGCCGCAGCAGTTGTCCCATTTGACAGGCCTCACAAGGTTGGACATATGCAGCAACCCTCTTTGGGAGCAGAGGTTTGTGGGAGGCTGGCAGCACTTGGGATCCCTTTGCCAGCTGCGGCATTTGGACCTGACTAGTATGCACTTGACGGAGCTGCCAGAGCAGGTGTCACGTATGACATGCCTGACACAATTACACATCAGCAGGAACCCGATTGCAGGCGGCTGGCACCGTCTGCTTCCTCTGCCGCATCTTGTCAAGCTGAATGCATGGAAATGTCTGGATGCCGTCCCTCCTGAACTGGCCACTCTGCAGCAGCGCCAAGGGCTGCAAATTTGCACGAGTAGCAGCTGTCAAACTTAAGTGACTGTTTTGAAGCACCGCTGTCTTTCTTTTTGTTGAGTATTACCAGCGAGTGTTTCTCAGCAAGCAGTTTGTAATGGTAACAGCATCACAACCAGGTGCAGTGCGAGCTTCAGTATGGTATGGAAGTGCAGGGCCAGAGAAAGTATGCATCGGAAGCGGGAGTGCTGCAAGTCAGGAGAATAATGGGGCAGGGGAGAGGCAGAAGAAGTGGTGACCATGACAGAGAAGATGCCTCACCGCGCCGCAAGAGCGTCCTCCTGCTGCTGCTGGGCCTGCCGGGCGGCCGCCTCTTCGGCCTGCTTCTTCTTCTTGGCGTTCCACTTGTTGTGTTGGTAGATTTGGAAGAAGCCGCCCGCCTGCAGGGCCCCACAGGCATTGCAGCTCAGCATGCACAGCACAACACACGGCGCCTGTTGCCATGAAGGGCCAGCTTCCCGCTTCTGTCCCCTCCCGCGCCGCTGCCGGCACCGCTGCCTCCCTGCCACCACCGCCAATGGTGCCCGCCGAAGCAGCAGTTTCCTTCCCTGCTTTCCACTGCGCACCTGGTTGCGCTTGATGCGCTGGTGCAGCTCCCCATCCTCCTTGTGGATCTCCACCGCAACCGCCGCAGAGCCGTCTGCAGCAGAAACCAGCAGCAGGCCCGCTGGAAACAAGCTACCTGGCACGCCAGAGAGGCAGATCTGGCAGGCGCATCACACTGGCGCCGGGCCATCCGCGGCTCTCCCACTCCTACCCTGCACACTCCTGCCCGCATCCCACCACAACTAGCGGGCCTGGCAGGCGAGCCACCCAAGGTCTGCCTGAGCGACCAACACCCGCTACCCCCGTGAGCCCGGCCCGCCCACTCACCCGTGTGCACCGCATCCACGGCCCGCCCCTGCGCATCCACCAGCCCCACGGAGCAGTCGTCTGGCAGGTCCATGGACACAAGGCCGATGGGCGACATGCAGCGGGTGTCGTACTCGACGATGATCTCGTCCTGCGCGGCACAGGAGGAGGGGGCAAGGGTGGTGGGGGGAGGGAGCAGGGAGCGATCAGGGAGAGAAGGACGAAGGGAGGGAGGGAGGGAGGGAGGGAGGCAGGCAGGGAGGCAGGGGAACGAGGAGGATGAAGCAGGCTTGCGCGACCAGCTCGGCACCAGGGAGCAGCGAGGAATGAGCAGGGCAACAGAACTCGCAGGGAGAAGCATGTCAACGGCAGCCACAGTGAGGTCGGCGAGCCCTGAGGGCAGCGAGGCGCTCGCCTGCACCGCCAGCATGCAGCCGGGCCCCGCATTGAGCCAGGTCACGGCGGGGGGGAGGTCGATGGCCGACGACAGCTGGCTGTCGCTGCAGGAGCGGGGCGGCACAGCGCCAGGTCAGCAGCACCCCACAGCAGAGCCTCCAAGCAAAGTATGGCTGGCAGACAGCAGCAGCACCTCTGCGGCCACCAAGACTCATCAGCTGCAGCTGCAGCCACCCAACAGCAGCAGCGGCAGCCATGACAGCACATCATCATCATCATCGGCAGCAGCAGCAGCAGCAGCAGCGGCGACAGCAGCCGCAGCCAGTGGCCACACTCACTCCACGGAGCACTCCACCTGGCTGCACAGCCAGCCCGCCGAGGGGTCGCAAATCAGCTCCTCCTCTGGGAGCAGCGGGTGCGGGGCAGACGGGTCGTCCCAGCGGTGGGCCAGGTCGAGGCGCAGTGCTCCCGTGTCGTGGTCCATCGTGTACAGCTCGTACCCTTCTGCGGTACCTGCAGTACCTCCGGCGGTACACACAGCAGCGGGGCTGGCGATAGCGCAGGCGGCGGACGGCGCAGTGCGGTGGCCGGCACGCCAAACCAGCAGCAGACAGGGCGCGGGCAGCCCGACACGCTGCCGCTGCCGAGTCGGCCCACCAAAAGCAAGGCATCACCGCGGCCCCCGCACCCTTGAGCAGGCGGCTGTGGCGGAAGCCGTCGCGGTTGCACTCCCCAATCACCCCCGTCAGCACAAAGGCGGTACCGCCCACAACCGAGATGCTGTCTGCATAGTTGTGGCTGAGGTGGAAGTGGCCGCTGCAGGCAGGCAGGCAGCGGGCCGGGGAGCAACAGCAGGGGCAGATACGATCAGAGAGGGAGGAGGCGGGGTGCTGCAAGGTTCAGGCATGGTGTTTGGCAGCCCTGGTGCCTGCATGCACAGATGACCGGGAACCAGCCCCTCCTGCCTGCTGCACACGCTGCCCCGGCCTTGAGCGCCATGCACCTTGTGCTCTCGGAGCACCACCAGCCCCTGCGCGCACCTGAACCAGAGGCGTATGTTGGGGTGCTGGTGCACCAGGTCTATGAATTCGTGCGGGTTGCTGCTGTGGTTCAGCCATGCACACCTGCAGCCAGGCGGAAGCAGGATACAGGATGCTGCATGAGCGCGCTTCACACAGCAGCAGGAGTGCGAGGCGTAGCTGGCAGCGTGCGGCTGCCTGGCGGCCTGGCACTCCTGCTGCCAGGCAGCCACCGACTGCTGCACCGGTGCCCCTCCACCCCGCCGCCGAGGTGTGTGCCTTTACAGCGCCAACACACACACAGACACACACACACACACACACACCTGTTTTTGACGTGCACCGTCTGGACCACCTTGAGGCCGCTGCCCAGGATGGGTGCGTGCGTGAACACCACAACAGGCCGCCCAGCCGCCGCCGCCGCCGCCAGCCGCTCCCGAAAGAAAGCGCGCTGCTCCTCATCCACATGCACCTCGTGCACGCTCCAGGGGTTGCTGCGGGGGAGGGTGGAAGGGGTGTGCGCGGCAGGCAGTAGGTGCCCGGCAAAGTGGGCAGCCCTGGCGGGGAGGCGGCAGGGAGGCGAGCGGGCGCCCTGCAGGCCGCGCACGCAAGGCCGCCGCCCGGAAACATGATGCTGCCTCCGCAGCCGCCTCCCACCCACAGCCCCCACCTGCGGAAGCGCACTGTGGACAGGCCGATGAAGGTTGCAGGCCCCACATCGGCGGCCCAGAAGTGCTTCTGGCAGAAGGTCTCGTGCCAGGCCGCCAGGTTCTCCTCATCCGTCTCAAACTCGTCTCCCTCCAGGCTGCAGGGGCAGGGCAGGCTCTGGCAAAGGAGCGTCGGAAATGGGGGCTTTGGGAAGCGGCACATGCCAGCTGCCGCCAGGGAAACTGCCCCAGCCGGGGCCCTGCCAAGCACGCTCGCCAGCAAACTCGCCAAGCACGCAGCCCATCTCTGCAGGCTCAGATGCCCTGCTGGCGCCACCACCACCACACCGCCTGCTCACTCGTGGTTGCCCAGCACAAGCGTGGTGGGCGCCCCAAAGCCCGCCAGGTACTCGAGGCCGCGCTGGAAGCAGTCGCGGCTGCCGGGGCGGAACTTGTAGCCGCCCAGGTCGCCTGCAGGAAGCGGCGGGTGTGCGGAGGTTGGGAGGGGAGGAGGTGTGATAGCATGCACAAACAGAGAGGGTGGTGGAGCAGTGATCGCAAAGCAGCAGACAGCTAGGTGCTCAGCAAAGTCATCAATAACGGCACCAGAGGGCCTCAGAGCCGATCCACAATGTGGAGGTGAGCCTGCCGCACCCAGCTGCACGACGCGGGGTGCCGCCACGCCCGGCTCGTTGATGGCGGTGATGAGCTGCCGCCGCGCCTCCTCAAACTGCGCCATGGCATGGCCAGGCTCCAGGTGCAGGTCGCCCATGATTGCGCAGGCAAAGCTGGGGGCGTTCCTGCGGGGGCAGGGCAGGGCGAAGTGGTTCGCGGGCGCAGGCACCTGCTGGCGGTGGCGGCGGCGAGCGCCGGAGGTGGGAGGCGGTGGGCCGCGGTGCACCTGTCGTCGAACCCCCGCAGCCCCTGGAAGTGTTCCGCTGGCCCAGAGGGCGCCCCAGCCACCCCGGCTGCCTGCACCATTCTGGCAAGTTGGTGGGTCGCTGCTGGGAGTCTGCCACGGGACACCAGACCCTTTGCAGCTAATCGGAATGCTGCTGCAGGGCCGGGACAGTGCCTCTGCGGTGGGCGCGCAAAAAGGTGGCACTGCACAGCCGCTGCCCAAGCCATGCCTGCAGGAAATCAAGCACCCGATCATGCAATTGCCGCGAAGGCGGTTGAGATGCTCTTCACCGAACGCAAAAGAAAGTGGTGACAGCGTTGAATTGCAGCTCGCGGGAATTGCGCATTCACACTGGATGCAGCCCATGTCTGTACACGCGCAGCGATAGCGGACCTTGGTGCTAGGCTGCCGGGGGCGCTGACCATCTCCGAGAGCTCGACATGAGCAGGCCCGCAAGCTCAGAAGTGCTGCTGGCCAATGCTGAGGTCGTGGATAAGTTCTCCAGGTGGGTGAGTGCACCTGGCGCCCCGCGGATGCATATGCTGCCGTTGCCGCCGCCGCTCCCACCTGGCGCCGTCAACGCTCAACATGCCTCCTCCCCCATTGAGCGCAGCTACGAGGAATACCTCTCCTCGTTTATCACGCAAGCAGACTTGACATATCTGCCCGATGCGGCGACCGCGCGGCGGGTGGTGGAGCTCGGGTGAGACACAACCCCGGCCACACTCAAGTAGTTTTCACTGCTTATGCATTAGAGCGAGTGGCATCGCGACCTGCAGTCAACTCCCCACTGCAGGTACATGCACGGCGGCGGCGAGGTGCTGCGGCGGGAGGAGTTTGAGGCCAGCAAGGCGGCCCTTGCTGCACACCGCGAGGCGCTGGCCAACCCGCAGCCCAAGCGCCTGCTCAGCGCGGGCAGGTGAGCAGAGTTCCCAGTGCATGGCATCCACGGCAGCCTCAAAGGGACTCTCTCGGCAGCAACAGCACCGGCAGGGGCACTGCACAGATTCACAGCATCTGCCGTGCTCATGCCGTGTGCAACCCGCTGCCGCGCCGAGGGCTGGTGCAGGGACCTGTCCCGGCACCCCCTGCTGCAAGCGCTGGCGGAGCGCGAGCTGCCTGTGCGGCGCGGCATGCTGGCCACAATTGTGTTCCTGCGGGACAGGAACACGCGGGGGCAGGTGAGGCGGGTGCCAGCTCGCCGGGCTGCTTCCTGCACCGCCGCGGCTGGGCTCTGGTGCTGGCTGGCCGCGAGCCCTACACTGTGGCAGCGGCATTATCGGCTCGCTGGCGGCCTCCGTGCTGACCTGGCATGCCGTCGCTTACGCAGGAGGTGAGCGGGTACATCGACCTGGGGCAGCGCCTGGCGGGCGACGAGGCGGGCATGGTGGCGGCGTTTGGGCTGGAGGCGCGCTTGCTGCCGCAGCCCACAGACCTCTCCTGCCTCAACTGGACCTCCAACCGCCTCGACTCGTGCAGCAGCGCCAACTTCGAGGCAAGCCGTGCGTCATACCGCCTGGGCTCCCGCCTACCCGCCTGGCTGCATGGCGCGGCTGGGCGCTGCCAGCAGCAGAGGGCGTGGCACATCTGGCGGCGCATGCTGCCCTAGAGCTGACGCAGCCTGCCGCGTGGTGTTGAGTGTGCAGGTTGTGGCGGACCCAGAGACGGGGCTGTCGTTCAAGAACCGGCGAGACCGCAAGGTGCCTGCTTTGCCCACGTCTGACGCCAGGCCGCCGCCGCCAGTGGTGGTTGTGGAACATTCCGCATGCCATGCCTGTACTGCACTTCTCTGTCTCCCTCTCATTTGAACCTGCATCGTGTGCATGCTTTGCCCACCACCTGCTAGCCCAGGCACCGCGCCTGCTGCCGCCACACGACCCCACTGCCCTGCCGCGCTTTCCTCCCACCCCCACCCCGCCGCCAGGTCATCATCGTCGACCCCGCCGCCCCTTCCCCTGGAGACTACACCACACGTATCGAGGTGCAGACGGAGGAGTACGAGCAGGCAGTCATATTCGACCACGTCATTGGCAGGAGGACCTAGCTTGGACTGCCGCTGCTGCTGGCTGATCCGGGGCCCGTGCCGGCGCAGCGCCGTTGATACCCTCCTGAGCTCACAGATCAGATGGTGGCCGAGTCAACAATGTGAACAAGGGTAGTGGAAAACAGCATAACAACGTGTGATAGGCATAGAAACAGAGACACGCAGATAGCTAGGACGACTGGGCTGGCGCAGGCATCGTCAGTAGCCGCCCCAGGCGCACAGCGAGCTCAGCTTGGCCTCGGCTGTGGCGTTGCCCGCCGCGGTGCTCCACACCTTGCCCTCCTGCGCCCACTGCTCCTCTGGGTTGCGCTCTGTCATCCCCAGGGCTTGGGCACGCGGCAGGCCGGAGCCCAGCATGGCGGCAAAGCGCTGGGCACAGGCCGCCCGCGTGTCCAGGTGCTTGGGCTCCGAGCTGATGCCGGCGCCAGACAGAAAGCCCGTCTCCAAGAAGCAGCGCGGGTTGACATACAGCAGCACCGGAGAGGCCTGGCTGCCGCCGCTGGCACCTGGGTCACCGCCAGCGCCAAAGGCCGCGCGCAGGCGGTTGTTGAGTGCGGCCTGCCAGAGTGCAGGCTGGGCCGTGCGCCCAGTCGCCACTTGGTTGAGGGCGGCGGCGGTGGCGGCAGCAGAGGGCGGCTGCTGTGCCCGCTGGGCTTCTGCCGCCACCACAAAGTTCATGAGGATGTCCTCGCAGTTGAACAGCTCGTCCACCAGGGCCCGGCCTGCAGTGTGGTACCGCAGTACGGGGCGGTGCTGCTCAGCTTCTGGATAAGAGAAGCATGCACCCTACATTTGCAGGCTGAGTTGTGCAGGGGTCTTTCCCCAACGGGCCTTGCCCCGTGCCCGGCGGCCACCCGCTCCTGCCGCTACCAGTTCTGCCAAGCCCACCTGCGGCGTATGCCTCGCTCCAGTACGCAGGGTAGGCGTGCTGGGCGTCCTGGAATGCACCTTTCGTCAACAGCACATTGTAGGTCCGGGTGCCGCTCTGGGAGGCGTTAAACACGTCGGGGATGTACTGCGGTGTACCGCCGGGGGGCAGCCGCACCTCCCGCGGGAAGAAGCCCACCAGCCGGTCGGGGTGGCGGCGCCAGGCCGCAAAGCCGCGCGCCAGGTCCTCGCACCTGCGGGGAGCAGGCAACCAGGCAGGGGTGGGAGCTCAGGCAGGCGCAGGCAGGCAGGCAGGCACAGCGGCAGCCGCGGGCAGGCAGGTACATCCCCAGCAGTGAAGGAGCAGCTCCTGTACCCGTCCCAGTACCAGGAGCTAACGGTACTGCTGATCTCAAGAAGCTGGTGGGCCGCGCCGCACCTGAGGATCACATCGTCGTCCAGCTGCAGCACCGCCCTCGTGCGCAGCAGCGGGTCGGGCCTGAAGCGGTTGTTCAGGCTGTTGCTGGCCTCCTGCCGCACGCGCACGGGCACCGCCGCCGGCACGCCGCCGGCGTGCGCAGGGAACTCGGCGTCGGCGTCGGGGGCCGCCCCGCCGCTCCACACCAGCACAATCTCTTCCACTGCACGGGCGCAGATGCAGCGGGGCAGGAAACATCACATATCTAGGAAGATGTAGTGTCATTGGCTGGCCTGGTGAGTAGCTGTGTTGCACATAGGACTGCACTATGCCCTGGCTGCTGGTGCGGTCCGGCCTCACCCTGGCTGCAGTTGCGGTAGTGCGCCACATAGACCTTGAGGGAGGGCATGCGCTGCGGGTGGGTCAGCGCCATCAGAGTGAACTTGTCCTCCCGCAAGCTGGTGCCCGCACCGGCTGCTGCTGCCTCCGCAGTGGCTGCTGCCCCAGGCACCGGCAGCTGCGCGGGCTGGGACCCGGCCAGCGGCGGGAGCGGTGCCGGGCCAGCGCCCTCGGCAATCAGGGTAGCCAGTGGGCTGCTGCTGGCAGCCACGGAGGCTGCCCGCGCGCGGTGGCGCCTCAACAGGGCCGGCCTGACGGGATCGAAGCTTTGGCGAGGCTGGGTGGCGTCTGTCTTTGCTGCCGGCGGCGGCGTCGCAGGCGGCTGTGGTGGTGTGGGCTGGGCGGCAGCGTGTGGTGCAGTGCTGCTGTGCTGCCGATGCAGCAGCGATGGCCTGACAGCATCAAAGCTCTGGGCTGGCTGCGCGGCAGCCTGCGTCTGCGCTGGCGATGGGGGCGCCGGCGTGGACGGGGGTTGGGAGTTGGCGTATGGCGTGGCTGCGCTGGCTGTCTGCCGCGCTGGCGTAGCAGGCTGGACTGTTACGGGCTGGCTGGGCTCTTCGACATGTGCTGCCTTCCTGATGCTGGCTGCCTGCTGCCCGTGATTGATGTCGCCGCCGCCAGGCAGCGTTGTGCTGTCGGCCCGCTCCGCCGCTGCCGCTCCAATGCTCAGGTCGCCGGCGTTGCTCAACTCTCCTGCTCCAGTCATCCTGCACAGGGGCACACGGATTGCAGGTCTGCGGTGCTCTTCAGCCTCGCAGGTCGAGGCAGGCCAACTCGCCTGGCTGGCTGGGCTGCACGCAGGTGGGGTGCGCCTTCGTTGGAGTTGTTGGCAGCCAGCAACACGAGCAGCAACCCCACGCCCACAGCCGCGAGCAGGCAGCCCCGAGAACGCATCGACGGTCTGCGAGCGTGCGGCCTGTGGTGATTCATGGTGTTTGGTGACGGAGCAGGAAGGGGAACGCAAACTGGCCAACGATGGAACAGCAGCAGGGTAGCTGGCGGGAGTCCAGCAGGCACAGCACAGGCCGCCGCCACTGCTGTTTTTGAATCGCCAACGCATGCTTACAGTAGAGCAACCTTTGTAATTTCAAGTGGCAAGGACAACAGCATATGGCACATTCACATTGTGCAACTGGAGCAGAGGGGGAGCCCGCATCACGCTCGGTGCCAGGGTGCTATGGGTACCAGGGTGCTAAGGGCGCTGGTGCTAGGTCCTCAACGGCACCCTTGCTGGATCAGTCCTCCTCCTCAAAGTTCTCCTCTTCGTAGTCAAGCGCCACCCGCGGCTTCTTGGCTGCCGGCGGCGCGGCTGCAGCGTCTGCTACCGCAGCGCCGCCGCCGTCGCCGTCCTGCTGCTCTTGTTGCCCTGCCGCAACCGTCTCCTCCTGCTGCTGCCGGGCCAGGCGTGCCGCCACTTCTGGGGGCAGCTCAGCGCCGATCACCGGCGCAGGTGCCTCCTCCTCCTCCTCCTGCTCCTGCGCTGCTGGCGGCGGCGCGGCGGGGTCCGCCTGCTGCTGGCCGCCGCTCCTGTCGCCCTGATGGCCCTCCTCCCTCGCCCGCCGCACGTTGCGCTGCTTCTTCTGCTGCTTGGCGGCATCCACCGCATCTGCGGTCAAGGCCAGCAAAGAGCACAGCAGCACTCAGAACATGGGCGCGGAACTCCAGCTGAGCTCAGCTGGCAGGCCAGCAGCGAGCCGCGCACCACAGAGACAGCAAACCAGGTGCAGCAGCGGCCGGCCGCGACGGCAGCACCACGCCCTGCAGCGAAATGCGCCGCATCTCCCGCCGCGCAGCCCACTCACTGCCGGCGGTGGAGTCGTCGCGCTGGGCTTGCGCCGCTAGCAGCAGCTCCTTCAGCGCCTCGACCTTGCACAGGTCGGCGGCTGTCTGGCCGCGCTTGTCGGTGGCAGACGGGTCGGCCTTGCGCTCCAGCAGCAGCTCCACAGCGTCTGTGTGGCCTGGGGGTGTGCGGAGGCAGCGGCCGCAGGCGTGGCGGTCAGATGCACAGGTGCAGCCAGCGCGCAGGGAAGCAGTGCCCGAGCAGCATCTGAGGAGCTCACAGGCCAGATGAGGAGGCGTTGACCTCCTGGCAGCAGTTTCAGGCCCCGTAGCCTCCACACACACGCACCTTGCTTGGCCGCCATCATCAGCGCGTTGCTGCCGTTGCGCATCTTGGCGTTCACTTTGAGGCCTGTGGGCAGGCAGGGTCGGCAGGATGGAGGTGAGGAGGGGGCAGGAGGGACATGTGACGAGGGCAAGCGCTGGAGAAAAAGGGGAAATCGGGAAACGTGGACAGGTGGTGCGTGCATTGCACCGTCCACACAAGCAGGCAGCCGTGGGCAGAAGGCGCGGCAGGAGGCGGAGCGGCAACGTGGGGCTCCCGCCACCGCAGCCGCACCCGAGTTGAGCAGCCAGCGGATGACGTCGGTCTGGCCCTTGACGGCGGCAAAGTGCAGGGCTGCACGCAGGGGAGCACAGCAGGGCGGGTCAGCCTGAGCCCGTAACCTGAGCCGCCAACCAATCCACTGTACCAAGCTGCCCACTCCACCGTATTCAACTTGCTGCGCTGCCTCCTTGCCGGCGCTTTCCGGCGCACCGTTCATGTCGTCTTGGGCGACGGCGGTGGCCTGCGCTCCCGCCGCCAGCAGCGCCTTGACGCAATCCACGTGCCCCGCCCAGGCCGCCAGGTGCAGCGCGGTGCGGCGCTGCAGCAGCCAGGGCAGCAGCGCGCGGCGTCACGATGTGCTCAGTGCTCATTCCAAGCACATGGTGAGAACGGATCAGGCAGTACAGGGAACAGTGTACACGGTTTGGGGGTCGGCACGGTGCCGCCAACCCAACAGCTCCAGCAGCTTGCCTGCGGGTCACGCAGCTCCAGGTTGGCTCCCTCCCCGATCTGGGCGGTCAGCGCCGTCAGGTCCCCATTGCGGGCGGCAGCATGAAGCGGGAAGGACATGGCCGCGAGGCGGCTGGCACCGGTACAGAGGTGCGGGCGGGCAGCCGCAGGGCGGCAGTGGAGGCGGCGGGGCGGCGGGCCCTGGGCGCTGGGCGAGGAGGCGGGGTCAGCTGCTGTGCCTGATCAGACTCTTCAGACAGCGCAGGGAGCTGCACCAGGCTGGCCCAGCGCTTGGCGGCAGGCAACAGGGGTGATGGGACGGAATGGGGGAGGCTGCCAGGCCTGACACAAGCTGTGAGCAAGCTGTCAAAGTCGATCACGATCGGCTGCTGTTGGCGCCGATGGAGGTCATCCAGCTTGGAAACGCAAACCTCCACGTTGGCCTCGAAGTTCCTGGCGCCCTGCCGATTGAAACTCCGCATGCATGCATCGTCGCCTGCGATCTGAGCGATCTGGGCGCCCTTGAGACAGGGTTCAAGGGCGCAGCGCTGCACGATGTCAATCCTTCGCACCTTGCTGGCAAGTCACAGGGTCCCCGGCCCCGCTTGGCCCACTCCACACCTTCGGGTGACTCCTGCTGCAACCCCATGTCGCGGGAGGCTCCCCCGCTGTGCGATGTGGCCACCCACCGCCACGCCTGATCGCGCCGCCGCCCCTTCCTGCCTGCAGCGCAGGGCGGGGTACATGGCGGCTGGCGCCACCGCCGCCACGGTGGCAGTATACCGCAAGGACCTGAAGCAGCTGGAGTTTGACCTGGCCAGCGCCACAGGTGCGCCCTCGGCCGCCGCCTCTGTGCCACTTACCCGCCTTGGTGGCAACCGCCTTGCATGCGGCCATCCGCCTGCCTGAAAGGCAGGCGGTCACAGCCACGGGGCCCAGCCCCATCCCTCCCTTCTGCCGCAGGTCCCCTGGTGCGCCTGCTGGATGCGGAGAGCTCCCACAGGTTCGGCATCCTGGCGGCCAAGCTGGGCCTGTTCCCCCGAGAGACGCGGCCCGACCCGCCCTCGCTCCGCACCACAGTCTGGGGCCGCCAGTTCCCCAACCCGCTAGGTGATCCTCCGCGCCGGGATGCAGTGCTACTGTTGGATAGGCAGGGTGCGGCCTGCCTCTCTGCTTGCCTCCTGCCGCGCTGGTTGGCACGCATCCCACATCCCCGCTGCCCTGCCTGCCTGCCTCCCTGCCTCCCTAACTTCCCTCCGCCTCGCTCCCTGCCTGCCCCGCCCCAGGCGTGGCGGCCGGGTTTGACAAGGACGCGGAGGTGGTGGAGGCAATGCTGGGGCTGGGGTTTGGCTTTGTGGAGATTGGCAGCGTGACGCCGCTGCCGCAGCCGGGCAACCCCAAGCCGCGCGCCTTCCGCATCACCGAGCATGGGTGCGTGGGCCTGCGGTGTGTATGTGTGCGCGTGGCGGTGGTGGGCGAGTGTATGTGTGGGTGGCGTGTCGCACTTGGGGGCAGCAAGAGTGGCTGGGCAGAGGATGGGAGGCTTGCAATTGACGCCGTCCCTGCCATGTGCAGCAAGCTTGGAGCCTGGGTGCTGCTGCGACTGGCTGCCCTGGCCGCCCGTGACCTGCCCTGTGCCCCGCCTCCTGTGCTGCTGCAGCGCCGTCATCAACCGCTACGGATTCAATAGCGAGGGGCTGGATGCAGTGATGTTGCGGTTGCTGGGCCTGCGCGCAAACCAGAAGACGGCCGGCGGCAGGTTCCCTGCGGGGCTGGTTGGAGTCAACCTGGGCAAGAACAAGACGAGCGAGGATGCGGCGGCAGGTGGGAGCGCGGCTGTGGGTGTGGGTGTGCAGTGGTGGCGGTGGTGGTGTGAGAGAGGGCTGGCGAGGGCAGGTGGCATGGGTTGATGAGATGCTTTCCCTCCAGGTTGCTGACTCCCTCTCGTTTTTCTGGATCGTTTCAGTCATCCTCGCCCTGCCTGCCCTGCCGCACCCCTGCAGACTACCGCGTGGGTGTGACCAAGCTGGGCCCTTTTGCCGACTATCTAGTGATTAACATCTCCTCTCCCAACACGCCAGGCACGTGCAGGCAGCCAGGAACCATGCTGCTGATACTGCTGCTGATACCTGCATGCGTCTAGCAGTGGGCGCCGATTCCAGGCGCTGATGTTAGGCTGCTGACTGTGGCGCGTGGGCGCATGCCGCTTTCATTGCGACAACAGCCTGCAGTCCTGGTCTGGGCACCGAGCCGCTGTGTGTGTGTGTCCCCCTGCTGCAGGCCTGCGTGCGCTGCAGGGGCGGCAAGAGCTGGAGGCACTAATTTGCAGCGTGAAGCAGGTGGGCTGGTTGGGCCCTCACGGTTTCTGCGCCCACATTTGGGCTGTGCTCGGCGCGCTGTGCCATGGCCCCAGCCGCCCGCGACACGCTGCTGCTCCTGCCACCACATCTCTGCCTGCCAATGCTGCCCTTCTTGCGTGTGCCTGCCCTGCGTGCCACAGACACGGGACAGCATGCGGTGGCCTGCTTCCGACAGCATGAGTTGGATGGAGGCGGGCCCGCCGCCGCTGCTGGTCAAGATAGCTCCAGACCTCACAGAGGCCGACATGGCAGGTGGGTGGGGCGTGTGGGCTGTAAGTAAGTTCAGGATGATGAGGAATGCATGGCGGGTGGGAAACGGCGCTGAAGCCTTACCAGACGCAACAGTGGCAGCCTTTGGAGGTTGCTCAATACCGCTAGTGCCGCGGCCCGCTCGCGCGGACCCTCCCACCCGCATCACCCCATCTCCTCTGCTTTCCTGCCTCCCTTCCTGTCCCCGCAGACATAGCGGCGGTGGCGCTGCAGCAGGGCGTGGACGGCCTGATAGTCAGCAACACCACCATCACGCGGCCGGGGCCCATTGGGGAGCACGCCACCGGCAAGGAGGTGCGCCTGTTGTGCTCAAGGTTGTTTGCCGCGGTCGCAGGCTGGCGGCCTCTTCACGGCGTCAGCAGATGCCATCCTGCCAGCCCCACTGCCCTCCACCGACTCGCGCCGACCTGCCGCCTGCTTGCCTCACCCCCTCCCCCCCCTCCCCCTGGCCCTGGCCCCTGCTTCTAAACAGGCGGGTGGCCTGAGCGGGCGGCCGCTGTTTGATATGTCCACCCGCGTGCTGCGAGACATGTATACCCTGACCGGCGGCAAGCTGCCCATCATCGGTGTGGGCGGCGTGAGCAGCGGCGAGGATGCCTACGCCAAGATCAGGGCAGGTGGGGGCGGCTGTGTTTCGGGAGAAACCGGGAAGGAAGGAGGGGAGATGTACAAGCCGGGGAGGGCAGGAGAATAGGCTAGGGAGGGGAGGATGTGGGCAGGCACTGCCCTCCTTCCACACAGCAACCACACTCCACACCGCTATACAACCATCAACTTTGCCTTGACACTCTGCAGGCGCCTCGCTGGTGGAGCTCTACTCGGCCTTTGCCTTCGAGGGCCCCAAGCTGGTGCCCCGCGTGAAGCGGGAGCTGGCGGCGCTGTTGGAGCGGGACGGCTATGCCAGCGTGGCAGAGGCGGTGGGCGCCGACCACACGCAGCAGCAGGGCGCCGCTGGACGCGGTGGCAGCAGCAAGCCGGCGGCGGCGGCCAAAGCGTGAGCAAGCCGCGTGTCCCAGCTCCGCGCTGCTGCCGCTTGCCAAGCGTTCATTTCCACCTTGTTCTTTCATGCACCAAAACACACTTTCACATCACTATGTACCATGTGTGAGCACTGCTGTTAGACTGCCCTGCCCAGGCTTCTCTGCTGCCGCTGCCGCAGCACCCTCGCAGCTCCTTGCAGTTGCATGTGGTGAGCGGGACCACGAGCGGTGAGCGGGACCACGAGGTATCATTATTACATGAGGATGAGGTACGGAAGGGTGGTATGTGTCATGGGCTGGCTCCACAGCACAGCTTGCTGGCTGCGGCGTGCCGATGCAGGCTCGGAGCGTCACTTGTCATACTGGCGGGAGGGAGGGGCAGAATCACCGTGGACGAGGCGGCAAGGTGTGCTGCGGACCATGGCAGTACATGCAGTCCCGGGTTCCAACCGCCACTTCTCCCCTGCGCCATCCGACCTTCACACACACACACACACACACACACACTCTCTCTCTCTCTCTCTCACCGCCACCACCCCACACGCCACCCCTCCCCACCTTGTTGAACTTCTTGGCATCCCGCTTCTGCATCTGGGCAGCGGCATCGGAGCCTGCACGCCGCGCCACACGCCAGAGCAGGAGGAGGTACATGGGTAAGAGGCATGGGCATGGCACGCTGCGCACTGCAGTGCAGGCAGCGGCAGCGATTGCGGCGGCGGCGGTGGCCAGGCGAGCGGCGGCCTTGCGCACCCGGCTTCAGGCCCGCAGACACCGCGAACGACAGCGCAGTCACTACGATGGCACCTGCACCGAGGGAGGAGCTTACAGCAACTTGAGCAAGCCGGATCTGTTTTCTGATGGTGGGGAGAGCGACGTCGTCGGCGCACCGATCACGACGGCGCCGACGGGCGCGTCCACCGTTCCCGGCGCTGCCTCTGCGATCTGGCTGATGAGCTGGGCCGGCTGCAAGAAGGCCCTAGGGGTCGCCAGCTGCGCCCTGCGTGGAGCCCGCCGAGCAGAGGGCCTGTGCTGCACCGGAGTGGCGATACGGAAGCTCAGCGCGCTGGTAGCGATCATTCTTACAGCCGTCGAGGGTGTGCAGAGCAAGACAGCAGCGGAGACAGGGCGCAAAATGGGCGGGTTTGGCGGGATCGCGTGGGTTCCCGACACGAAAAGAAAGCGCCTTGCATGGGCGCATTTGAGCAAGTTGGCGGCTCCAACGATCGGCATGTTCCAGGGGCACGCCCATGCGTGATGGAGATTGAGGGCCGGGCGATGGCGCTGAGGGGGGAGTCCACTCGAAACCTGGCGGGCTGGTGGCTGCTGGGCCTGCTCAACAACAGCGGTGAGCAAGAGGGCGACGGCCGCTGACCGCTGGCATCGTCCAACGCCGCCGCCAGTCTGCCGCCGGCGGTCTTGCAGCCGCCGACGCCGCCGACCGTCTTCGCCCGTGCCGCTGCAGCCTATGTGATCATGATCGCTGGTGCCAACGAGATCAGCGCCGCAGCGGTGGGGCTCGTCTACTTGTGCGCCGTGGCGCCCTCGCTGCTGTGCAAGGCCAGGCAAGGCGGTGCGACGGCAGCCCAGCGGGCCCCGGCACCCGCCCAGCGCTCCACATGCAGACCATGCCACGCCCCGAACAGCCTGCCCCACCCTGTGCTGCAGCGCGCCCTACTGGTTCCATCTGGTCCGATACACCACCCGCATCCATGCGGTGGCTCTGCTCATGGCTGCCAGCTACACCACAGGTGGGCCACACGGCAGCGGAGTGGAGCAGGTGGCAGGCTGCGGGGCAGCGGGCATCGGCAGGCGAGCGCGGCTGCGCACAGGCAGACCCGGCGCGTGCCTAGGCGGCTCCACGCCTGCACCTTCATGCATGCCTGCCCCATCCCTCCCTCCTCCCTCCCGCCCTCCTGCAGTGGCGCTGTCGCCGAGCCGCGGCTGGCAGCTGCTGGGCGTGGTGTTTGCGTCGCTGCAGGGCGGGCTGGGGGAGGCGTCCTGCCTGGCCATGACCAGCTACTACAGGTGCCGATGTGATGGTACTGCCACGATAATACTGCCTGCCGTGCTGCCATGGTAGCCTGCTGAACAACCGGTGTCCTGTCCTGCCCAAACCACCTGCCCTGCCACTGGCCGACGCTGCCTGCCTGGCCCTGCCCTGCCTTGCCCTGCCCTGCATGGCAGCGGCCGGCCGGCCATCACGATGTGGAGCTCCGGCACCGGCTTTGCCGGGGTGTTTGGCTACGCCTGGGTGGCCGTGCTGCACCTGCTGGGTGAGGGCGGCCTGCTGGTCCAAGTGCCTGCGCTGCACTGAGAACGCCTCCGGGCCGTGTACAGGTTGTGAGGAGCTGTAGGCTGGGGTTTGGGGGCCTGCTCGCCGTATGCTAGCAGCTTCTGTAGCTGCCTTCCGTCTGTGACGCCTCCCTGCCCTGGCCTGCAGGCGGCCTCAGCTTCACCGCCACGCTTCTGGCGGCCAACGCCACCACCGCCGCCTGGCTGGCTGTCTACCACCTGCTGCTGGATCCGCCAGAGCTCCGAGCGCAGCAGCTGACGCGCCACGACAGCGACGCCGCGGTCGAGGCGCACCCGCAGCCCGTGGTGGAGGCGGCGGCGGTGGCGGGGGAGCAGGAGGGGCAGGCAGACGAGGAGCAGCAGCTGCTGCACGCCTCCCCGGAGGCAGGCCCGCAGCAGCCTGCACCGCAGCAGCAGCAGCAGCAGCAGCGGCAGCAGCGGCGGCGGCAGGTGGAGCTCGAGGCGGGCAAGCCGTCGCGGGCGGGGCGCATGACGTGGAGGGAGCGGGCGCACCGCACGGGTGCGCGCCTGCACCCGCCCTGCCTGCCTCGCGAACCCAGCTAGCTGTCTGTGCTTACAGTCTGCACATCCGCAGAGGAGCATGCGGCAAGGAACTAATGCGGCGAAGGACTCAGGCTGTGCTGGCACCCTGGATCTTGGCCCCTCTGCCCGAGGCTGCCGCCTTCCTCACCCGCCTGCCTCCCTGTGGCTGCCGTGCCCCGCCCACCCACTGCCCCCGCTGCAGCCGTGCTCTGGCCCTACATGGTCCCGCTGATGCTGGTATACTTTGCAGAGTATGCCATGCAGAGCGGCACCTGGACGGCCATAGGTGGGGCGGGGTCGGGCGGAGGGAGCTGCGCTTTGGGAGCGGATGGTGGTGGTGGTGGTGGCGGCACGCATCTGCTGCCCACGTGCGCCTGGCCGCGCCTTGCCCCACCCTCGGCCCCCAGCCGCGCCTGCCGCCGAGCCGCGTCCCCGCCGATCCAACGGCCCGCGCTGCGCCCGCCTGCGCGCAGGCTTCCCCGTCACATCCGCCCCGGCGCGCCACCGCTTCTACGTCTACTCCAATTGGACCTACCAGGTCGGCGTCTTCCTGTCGCGGTCGTCGGGCATGATCTACCAGGTGGGGTTGGGGCAGGGGCAGGCGGCTGCAGGGGCAGGTTGGCTGCAAGGGCAGGTGGTTGCAGGGGCAGGTGGTGGGGTCGGTGCCCTCCTGGAACATTTCACGCGGCAGCCCACCAGCCCTGCTCCTTGCGTCTCCCGATTTGCGCGATGGGCCTTACCCCGCCTCACCCTGCCCGCCTCGCCATCCTCCTCCCTCGAAACCCCGGCCCTGCAGGCCAGCCTGCACATGCTGTGGGCCATGCCGTTGATGCAGGTGGGCTGGCTGGCTTTCTTCTTGGCGGACGCGGTAGTGCACTTCTGGTACGACTACCTCCTCCTCCTGCCCTGCTTCGTCACTGGTGGGTGGGGGGCGGTGCCTGTGCTGTGCTGTGCTGTGCTGTGCTGTGGTACGGGTTCTGATGTACCGCCGCGCTGCGCCGCGCTGTGGTCGCCGCCGGGTTGGCATCCAGCCTGCGCCAGCCTCCCCTGTCACGCGTCCCTCCCACCTCCTCGGCCCCGCCCGGTCCCCGGCCCCCCGCAGGCCTGCTGGGCGGCGCGGTGTACGTGAATGCCTTCACCCTCATCTCCCGCGAGGTACCCTCGCAGTACCGGGAGTTCTCGCTGGCCGCCGCCTCGCTGGCGGACAGCCTGGGGGTGGCCCTGGCCGACGTCTGCGGCATCCTCATCCAGGGCTGCCTGTTTCGCGCCAACGGCCTGCCGGGCGCCGACTTTGGGTGCGGTGCGTAGCCTTGCGCCGTGACCATAACCTTGCGGCGTAGCCTTGCGCCGTGGCCGCGGCCAGCCTGCTGTGCTGCAGAAGGGTCGCAGGCCACCCTGGCAAGGGTTCAGTGGGCCCACCCATCCACGCTGTACTTGAGCGCAGTTACTGTTTTGAACTGTCCCTCCTGCTATTGACATTTCATTGTTTCCAGTCCCCTGTAATCTCTCAGTGCTGCTGCATTACATCGTTGCTGAAATGGCCAGCAAGGGACATGGATTAGCTTAGAGCAGGGGAGGCAGGGCGCCAGACACACACCGCACTGTGACACACACACATTGGCAGACAGAACACAAGCAAAGGTCGGGTTGGTTTTGGGGAGGCCTGGCAGGCCTGCGAAATGCCACACACTCTCTCTCGCTCACAAGGCAGGGAGACGAAAGAATGCAGGGGTGGAGGGCTCCTCAGATGGCTCCGAGCTTGGGCTGGGCCAGCTCAAAGGGAGGAGAAGACCTTCTTGATGATGCCTGTGGCCTCGTGCAGCTGCTCCTGGCTGATCACCAGCGGCGGCGCCAGGCGGATGATGTTCCTGCGGGCGCGGGCAGCCAGATAGACGAGGTGGCAGCACATCAGCCGCACAGACGGTGCAGCCAAGATCTGCCGCCCCTCCCTCGCCCCGCCAGCGGCCCCCACGCTCCAGCCGCGGTCTGCGGCAGCTCCTCATGCTGACCTCCCAGCCCGGTGCGCTGCCCAACCACCCCTATACCGACCTGTGGGTGGGCTTGGTCAGCAGGCCCTCACGCATCAGCTTCAGGCAGATGTCCCAGGCCTCCACACCCGCGTTCGGGTCGATCACAATGGCATTGAGCAGGCCGCGGCCCCGCACCTGCGGCCGCAGGGGCAAAGGGGGGTGGGGGGGACTTGACGTGACGCGTGCTTAGCTGGCGGGCTGGCGGGCTGTTGTAGCGGCAGGCAGGCAGGCGGCGCAGCGGGAGGAGGCGCTGCAGGGCGCGCTGCGTGTGTGCAGGCCGGCGACTGGCCGGCAGCACAGCCCTCGATGCAGGCTGCACGGCGCTGACGCCCATCACACGCTCCCCGCCAGGCAAGCCACCCCCCACACACCGCCATCACCTCCCCACACCCACCTTCTGGATCAGCGGGCTGCCCATGTCCTCCAGCTCCTTGCGGAAGATGGGCCCCAGCCGCGCCGCGCTCTCCGCACACTTCTCATCAACCAGAACCTGCGGGTGCGGGCAGCGAGCAGGGGTGTGCATGCATGCGTGGATGCACGGATGCGACTAGACGAGCGCAATCGGGGACGGCGGGCAGGCACGCACCGCGCTGTGCTGTGCTGTGCTGTGCTGCGCTGTGCCACGCTGTTTTTGGCTGTGCTGTGCTGTGCTGTGCTCCGCCCGCGTTCTGTGCAGGCACCCAGCCAGCCGCGGCTCACAGCCCCCCACCCCTCTGCCTGCCCACCTACCTGCAGCGAGGCTACCGCCACCCGCGCCGCCACCGGGTTGCCGCCGTAGGTGGAGCCGTGCTGGCCGCGCCCGATGGTCAGCATGATCTGCGGGCCAGGGGGCAGGGCAAGGTGGGGCCAGACCGCCAGCGCAGAAATGAAGGGTCGAGGCGCCGTGCAGCCACCGAAGCGCACACCCCTTCAGCTGGGGCTTTCCTCCCCCGGGGTGATATGCCGGCATGCCGCCGACACGCAGCGCCACCGCCGCAACCACACACCGCCGCCGCCCACACCCGGCTCCGCCCCGCCAGCGCCGCCCTCCTCCCGCGCGCCCACCTCGTCGTTTGCCAGCACCGCCGACACTGGCATGGTGCCGCCCGACAGCGCCTTGCCCAGCACAGTGATGTCTGGCTTGCAGCCGTCCCACTCGCTGCACAGCATCTTGCCCGTCCTGCGCAACAGGACAAGGGAGAGACAGCGCAAAGCAGCACAGCCGGCAGGGCGTGTGAGCATGCGCATGCGAGGCCCAGGCAGCGGAATGCCAGCGCGCCTGCCCGCAGCCACGTGGGCAGCCTGCCTGCAGCCAGCGCTGGCCAGCCGCCCACCCCCAGCCGCCCGTTCTGTCCGCGGCACCGCACCTGCACAGCCCCGTCTGCACCTCGTCGGCGATCAGCAGCGCGTTGTGCTTGTGCAGCAGCTCCTGCGCCTTTTTCAGGTAGCCATCGTCGGGCACCACCACGCCCGCCTCGCCCTGCGGGGGGCAGGCGCGGGGGCATGTGCAGGCGGCGCGGGTCACACACGCCGCACACATGCGAAGTTCCTGCCTTGTCTGCTGCAGTGCACTCCTGGGACGCAAGCGCAGGCGCCCCACACACCCGCCACCAGCATGGCCACCTCACTCGCCCACTACTTACATACACTCTCTCTCCCACAGCCACTGGTATCACCATCACCACCGACGCCACCACCACACCTCACACACCCACACCCACCCGCACCACCCACCTGGATGGGCTCCACCATGAATGCCACGATGTTTGGGTCGCTTTCCAGCTTGGCCTGCAGCGCGGGCAGGTCGTTGTACGGGATGACCTCGAAGCCCGGCATGAAGGGTCCAAAGCCCTGCAGTAGGAGGAGGGGAGGGGGAGCACACCGGGGCGGGGATAGCTATCAGCGGGTGGAGGGCGGAGGAAGGGGCGCCTCCTGCAGGATGTGCAGCCCGGCGGTCGCCGCAGCTCCGCACACGGCTCCTCGCGCGACCGCCGCACGCCGGCCCATCCGCCGCGTCCCGGCCCCAGAACCTCTCTGCCTGCCCAGCTGCCGCGTGCCGGCCCGGCCGTCCCCGCAGCCCGGCCACCCACCTCGTAGCTGTCTGGGTCGGTGGAGGAGGAGATGGCAGAGGTGGTGCGCCCCCAGAAGTTGTCGGCGGCAAACAGGATCTTGGCCTGGTACTTGGGCACGCCCTTGACGTCGTAACCCCACCGCCGCGCCAGCTTCACCGCCGTCTCGCCGCCCTCCACGCCCGTGTTCATGGGCAGCACCTGGGGCCGGGGTGGGCGGCGAGGGCGGGGGGGGGGAGGGGTCGGCAGGGGTGACGCGTGCTGGCGCAGGGCGGTGCGCCTGCCACGGTGTGGGGAGCCGGCTGGGCGGCTCGGGTTACTTTTTCCTGAAGCTCTCAGGCCAGCATCCCAACCGCCACAGGCACACGCCGCGGCCTCACCTTGTCGTATCCCAGCAGGCGGGTGATGTACTCCTCGTACTCGCCCAGCGCGTCGTTGAAGAAAGCGCGGGACGTCAGCGTCAGCTTGCGGCTCTGCTCGATCATCGCCTCCAAAATCTGTATAAGGCGGGGTGGTGTGGCGTGCCATTGGTGGGTGGGTGGGGATGGGGAGCAGGAGGCGGGGGAGGAGCGGGCAGGCGGCCTGCTGGCTGCTGGGACCTGCAAGCACGTGCGAGCAGGCTGGTAGGTGCCGCGGCCCCCAGGCAGCCCGCCTTCGCAACACGCGATTCTCTTCTACGCTTCCCTGGCAGCTGCAGCGTGTCGCAGCCCCTTGCAAAGAGGGATGTGTTCTACTCCTACGCCTCCTCCCCACCTTGGGGTGGCAGTGCCCCTGGTTGACCGCCGAGTAGCCCGACAGGAAGTCAAAGTAGCGCTTGCCGTCCACATCCCACATGAAGATCCCCTGCAGACAGGTGGACAGCGGGCGCACACGCGGGCGGGGCGCTTCGCTGATGCTGCTCCGAGCTGCTGCTTGGCGCGCTGGTTCCGCGGCGGCCGACAGCTGCGCAGGTGCGGAGGATTGGGCCTCACCTCGCCGCGGTTGAGCACCACTGGCAGGGGGTGGTAGTTGTGGGCGCCGTACTTCTCCTCCTTGTCGATGTACTGCAGGGGTGGAGGGGGCGGTACAGGCGTGGTGCGGGGTGGGCACGCCGCAGCGGCCAGCAGCAGCACAAAGCCATCAGGAGGGCAGCGGCGGACGCGGCGGGCTGGCGAGAAGAGCAGCTCCAGGGCCGAGCAGCAAGTCAGCAGCAAAGGTGAAGCGTGGAGGGCGCAATGCAAGCTGCGCTGTGCTGCGCCATCCATCAAAAGGCATCCGGTCCTGGGCAGGGCGCGCCCAACTCGTCCGGCGCCGACACCTGGCGGCAGCCAAGTCCGCGGCGCGGCGGCAGGTGGGCGGCAACTTGCCTGCTGCTGCAGGGAGCTCTGGGCGGGGTCCAGGCCGTGCCCACTGGCCATGGAGCGGCTGCCAGCCGCCGCAACGCCCGCAGCGGCATGGCGCGACAGCAGCTGCTTGGCCAGCTCGCTGCTCCTGGCCCGCACAGCCATCGTGACGCTACGCTGGCGTTAGGAGGTGTGAACGGTGAAGGAATGCGGGTCGATGGGGGGCTGCAGGGTCCACCCGAAAGGCGTGCAGCGAGGGGGAGGTAGCGGGTGGCCTAGCTGCAGCTCACACACCAGCCCGGCAACTTCTAGTAGGGGAGGATCGGCCCCAAGCGCGGTAAGCATGCCGCGACGTTCTTACCAAATTGGCCAGCTCAGAGGGGAGAGTAGTCTGCTCCATTTCCGCCCGCATGTCCCTCATCGCTCTCTGATCGGCTTGGTGCATCAATTGAGCAGGGCAGCCCAGCCGTGAAGGCGTTGCTGGAGCCATCACTCGTCTTGGCGGGGCTTGTGGGCATCGGCGGGGCGTGAGGAGAGCTAGCAATGGTGTGTGCACGCTGAAACTACGCTGCCGGCGCGCGCAGGCGTGTCCTGCTTCTGCACGCTCGGCTTGTGGGGCCCCTGCACAGCTGCAGCCCTCCCTGCGCCCGCCAGCGACTCCCCTTGGGAACCGCGAGCAGCAGGGGGCAGTGCTGCAGGCAACACCGCGCTGCCACACCACGCCGCCGCTGCCGCCGCCCTGCCGCCGCCGCGGGCCGCCGCCCTCAACCCTGCTGCCCCTGGGCCTGCCTTCCCACGCACCTGGCCTGCCTGCCTCCTCCGCGCCTCCCCGCTGCCAACTCCTGCCGCCGCCCTGCTCCCTCCCACGCAGTCGGTCACGCTGCACACCAACCACGGCGACCTCAAGATCGAGCTGTTTTGCGAGGACGCGCCGCGCACCTCTGAGAACTTCCTGGCCCTGTGCGCCTCCGGCTACTACGACGGCACGCTGTTCCACCGCAACATCAAGGCCTTCATGATCCAGGTGGGGCGCGCGGCAGGCGGGGGCCGGCAGCGCGCGGCGCGGCAACGCGCCGCAGGTTCGCCTGCTCCTCCTGGCACAGGCTGCGAGCGGAAGTCTGCTGCTGACGCCGAGCGCTCACCCACACCCACACACACACACACACACACACGCATATGCCTGGCCGCCGCTCCCAAGCAGGGCGGCGACCCCACGGGGACCGGCAAGGGCGGCAAGTCGATCTACGCCACCCCCAACGGCAAGTTCCCGGACGAGCTGGTGGACCACCTGAAGCACAGCAAGCGCGGCGTCGTGTCGATGGCCAACAGCGGCCCCAACACCAACGCCTCCCAGTTCTTCGTGACCTACAAGGCGCACCCGCACCTCAACGGTGGGTGGGCGCGCGGTGGGGTGGGGTCGCGGGGCCTGCTCATGGGGGCTGTGGTTCCGGTGGGGGGCTGGAGAAGCGCCGGAGGCTCACAGGACGCTGTGGGCGAGCTGTGGGCCAGCAGGCATGATGCAGCCAGCCCCCGCCCCGACCTCCCCAAGCCTGGCCCCGCCTTCCAGCCTCTTCTTGCCCGGGCAACCTGTCCGGCAACCTGTCCGCCCACTCGCATGCGCACGCCCTCTGCCCCCCGCCTGCAGGCAAGTACACCATTTTCGGGCAGGTGATTGACGGCATGGAGGTGCTGGACCGCATGGAGAAGGTTCCCACAGGGCCCAACGACCGCCCGCTGCAGGCAAGCAACAGCTGGTTGGGGTGACACCTCAGGCGCTGGGGATCGCTGGCTGAGGCCGCCGGTTGATGTATTGGCAGCTGCTCAATGACGCGATCGTGGCAACTGCTGAGCGTCAGCCCGGCGTGTGCGGCTGCTAACGGCGGTCCGCTGCCTGGCTGCCTGCCGCAGGAAATCAAGCTCAACAGCTGCACGATACACGCCAACCCACTGGCACGGTGACGACTGCTGGGGAGCCCAGGTGCATGCAGCCGGAACGAGGGCTGGTGGTGCAGTCGCCTCGTAGCCTCCTGTTCTGCTCCTCTGCATCCCCCCAGCCACTGATCCCACCCATCTCCCGCCATGTTTCTGCGCTGCCGCTTGCTGCTGACCGCTTCTGACTGACCTGCCATGCACTCTTGACCTGACCTTTGGACGGCCTGCTATTTTCTGCCACGGCACACGCTTCTTGCTCTGTATTTACACAGTCCTGTCTGGCTGCGCTCATCGCTGCCATGTAACATGATGCGACAACTCATTCGCTGTACAGAGGGGGAGGTTTTGTGCTTTCCTTTAATGCACTCAATGCACAACGTGCACTTCGTACGCGCGCTATCTCTGAGCAGGGCTACAGGCCTTGGTCGGCGATGGTGCGTGCCCTGGCAGGGCCTCGGGAGGCGAGGGCGATGACGCGAGGGCGGCATCAGTAGTTGCAGCTGATCTCGATGACCTGCCCCATCTCGCAGTGGCGGTCCACAGGACAAGCAACGTAGTTCTGCATGAAGGGAAGCCACACAAGCTGCGTGAGGGAGGTACACAGAAGGCAGGGCGAACCCAGGAACCAGCGGGTGCCCAGCACGGCACTCACGTCGCCCTTGGTGTCGTCGCCACAGGTCCAGGTCCACTCGCCGCCTGCAGATGTTGGCAATGCATGTGGCGCATGGAACGGCATGGTATGGTTTGACTGAGGTGCAAGGGCCTTTGGGCCAGTACCGCCTCACCGTCCTTGGGCGCCACAAGCTCAGTGTACTGCTCATTCTCCATCCATTGCTCGGGGCATTCCATTGACGGCAGCTTCCACACGCCGTGCATGCCTGGGGGAGGGGGCGGGAGCTTGCACGCAGGCCGTGGGCAGAGCGCATGCGTGCATGGGAGGGCAGGCTGGTCATGGCATGGCTGGGGAGGCGGGCGGGCATAGCCCGGCACCGCCGTGTAGGCGCTGGCGCCGGCCCGGGGCAGTGCAGGCGCACCAGTCCAGGTCAGCTTGACGGTGTCGCCCTCAGTGGTTTCCAGAGGCGCGTAGTTCATCCCCTGCAGGCGGGCGAGGGGGCAGAGACAAAGAAGGTACAATGCCAACTCCCCGCCTGTGCCGGTAGCGACGGGATTCGGCGGCGGCTTGATGCTTCCCAGGCGTGTGTTGGGCGCTTGCACTGAGGCCCTTCGGCTTACCGGGGCCCACTGCACCTCCTGCTCCACACCTGTAGCAAGTTGGACCAACCCACCGGTGACAGAGCGGCGCTGACTAGGCGGCTTCCGCCGGTTTCCGCCGAGGCAGCAGCTGCCGCAAAGCCAACACATCTGCTGTGCCGTGCGCCTGCCAGGCAGCCCAACTGGCTCTCTGGAGCAGGCCGATGGGCTGGAGGTGGTCAACATGCAGGTGTCAGGAAGGAGCTCACCTTGGACTGCCGCGGCAGCCAGCAGGAGGGCCAGCACACACCAGGGACGCACCATCTTGCTCTTGAGTGCAAGCGCAAGGCAAAACCAGTTCAGGTTGTGAACTTCTGAACTGGGTTTGCCTTTTGAAGGTGGCTTCTCATGGCAGTACCACAAAGAAAGTTTGGGCGCCGGCGTTGGGGGGGGCAACCAGATTCCAGCCTGAGGGCATGTGTAAATTTTACAGTTGTATTAGGAAATAGCAAGAAATTGTCTCATCTTGTGCAGGGATTGACGCTAGGGCCGGCTTCAATGTCCAGTTGCTGGCGGGGCGGTACGGTTTGGCTCATCAGGCCGCGCTAAAGAGGCATCCTCTAGTCTGAGGTTCATCCTCCCATCATGACCCCTCGGTGCCGTCAGGCTCGGCGTTGCATGTGACCTGCGGGCTGGCAGGCAGCCAGTGCGTGTCTGCTGGTGCCAGCGCTGGCACGCCGCCTGGTGGCGGCAGAAGGTGGCTGGGGGACCGGCGCGGCTGGCTGTTCACCTGGATTTGCTGCCCGTCCTCGCAGTGGTCGCTCACCTGCATGGCAAACTGAACAAAGTTAATCTGGGCCGCCACGGGCAGCCAGCATTGAAGGTGGCCCGGGGCCACAGAGCTGCAGACCGCCAGTGACAGTGCGCGGCATGGGCCCTGCCGGGCGCAAGGCAGTCCCGCTGTGGAGGCAGCTGGATGCATGTGCAGCTCACAGAACAGATGAAATAGTGCTGCAAGCAACGCAGGCGGAGGGCAGGGCAGGAGAAGGAGTGAGCAGGGCGTCATCAGGGCAGGTGGGCACGCTTTGGCAGCCCCCGCCGAGACCGGCGTTGCACCGTTGAGCTGCATGCGCCATGCCAGCGGCAGGCGCCCAATCGCGGCAGCAAACACAGAAGCTTCTTGCCTCGCCCGCGGTGGTGCCATCGCAGGTGAATGTCCACGATGCCTCTGCACACAGTGGCAGGCAGGTGGTATGAGCGGTGCGGTCAGCATGAGCCGCAAAACAATAGCATTGCAGTGCATGCCATGCACCAGCTCCCCGTTTCCCGCTGACCGCCCACCGACGCTGGGCGGCACGATCACGGTGGATGGGTTGCCAGGCTCTGGGCAACCGGGACCCTCCACCTCCACAATGTCGTGCCCGTCTGCGCCAGGGCGGCGGCTGGCAGGGGCTTGAGGGAGACGTGGAGGCATGGCCGGGCGGTGGCCTCCTGCCGCTGCCAGCGCTGCCGCTGCCAGTGGCATCCTGGCACGCAGGCTCACCACCAGACCAGCTCAGGGTGAGCGTCTCTTGGTCTTGCAGCGAGACTGGCTCATACTCCACCCCCTGCACAAGTTGCAGGCGGGCAGGGAGGGCGCGTGGGAGGCGCCAGCGTTTGTGGCGGCAGCACGAGTGGCATGTGGGCTGCGGCAGGCATGCAGGCCTCACCGTGGTCCAGGAAATGGCTCCGCCAGCCACCTGGCCTGCAGTCAGGCAAACGGAACAAGCACCAGAGCTGCTCGCATGGCACTGACAGCCGGCGATCTCAACCCGCCCGGCCCCGTCGGAGGCTCTCCTCCTCTCCTCCTGGGATCAAGTTTCACACCAAGCTGGGCTGGCTGATGGCAGACTGTACAAGCAGCAGCAGGAGGATGAGGGCATGGCTGCAAGGGCTGCGCCGGCAGCGGCAGGGCAGCGCCGCACCTTGAACCGCAGCGGCGGCCGCGAGGAGCACCAGCAGTCCCAAGGCACGCTGCATGGTGCCAGACGGTGGTGTGGAACGAAGGGAGAGGGAGATGCTTGAGGCGTCCGTCATGGGACAAGTCAACTAAGGAGTAGAAAGAATGGCAGCACGCTGGCGCCGGCGGCGCACTATGCTCAAGTAATTTTGGCACGGTGCAGCTGCGCAAAACGCTGCCTGCTTACACGAGGCGGCGGCAGATGATCCATGCAGCACACAGACACTGTGCTGTCAAGCAAAAGTCAGGGGACAGCTCCAGCTCTGCCTCACGCTGCGAGCTGCCGCCGCCGTTGCAGTGGCCTCCCAGCCCTCTAGTCCATGCCGGAAGCAGCCTGCTCCCAGGCGCCCTGGGCCCCAGGCGCGAGCGTGGCGGCTTCGGAAGGTGTGTCAGGGCTGCAGGTAATCTGGATGCGCTGGCCCTGAACGCAGTGTTCCGCCACCTGGCCTACTACGAAATGCTGCACAGCATGGACGGCGAGGAAGGCACACAGGAAGGGGGCACAGTTGCGGCTGCTCGACAGCGCATCCTGCAATGCTGGCTGGGTATACGATGCTGGACAGAGGCTGCAGGCACAGCACGGCGCCGCTCACCTCTCCGTAGTTGGCGGCGTCACAGGTGAAGGTCCAGGAGCCGCCTGCAGGTGTGACATGCAGCAGGCGCTCAGCAGGCTACCTCAGGCCATGCGCAGCTTGATCCACTGGGCCCACCGAAAGCGCCGTGCTTGCTCACCGTTCACGGGGGCCACCACTTCGGTGTAGGGCGCATCAGGGGGGCAGGCCGAGGCGGAGCCAACCTTGGCAACGCCGTGCAGGCCTGTGGCAAGGCAGGAGCGGGCAGGGCGGTGGCTGGGATCGAAGGGAGATGGGGAGGCACCTCGCCGGCTCCGGACCCTTCCCTATGCGCATGCTCCCAACGCACCTGTCCATGCGAGGGTGAATGTGTTGCTGGTCAGCAGGCTGACGGGGGCATACGACGGTGTGGGGAGGTTGTCGGCGGCGCAGTTGGGGTTGACGGGCGTGGCGGCAGCCTCAGACTGTCCGGCCTGCGGCAGAGCACAGGGGTGGCCATAGTTCTCGACCTCGTGAAAGAGAGCTGGCAGGAGCTGCAGTGGCAGGCGTGGCCGTGCGGTGAGCTGCTTCAGCTCACCGGGACCCAATCCAGAGTCGTGCCGCCCTGGCCTGCATAACAGGCGGGAGCGGGCGGGTTGAGGCAGGCGACGCGCTCAATCCGCCGCCATCCTAATGCTCACGGCCAGGGAAGCTCCTGAGAGCAAGCTCGGCAGGCGGAACGGGGCGCTTGCACGTTGTAAAATCCTGTGTGCGAAGCAGGGCGGCGAGCAGGCTTCAGGTGAGGAGCACTGGTTGGTTTCATTGGAGATGACGCCGCACGCATGTGGCCACATCTGCAGCGCGCCAGCATTGAGGGCGCGGCGTCAGGAGGCAGGTGGACAGCAGGGGCTACCCAACTCAGAAGCGAAGATGCATGGCTACGTTGCCTGCTTTTTAATATGAGTGGCTGCCACGCTGCGTGGACAGCACCTGGCTAACCTGGCTGCGCAGGGCGTCACCAAAGCTGGCATGCATAGGGTGTTGTACCGCAACTCGCAGCGCACCGGCACCCCGCGCAGTGCCACCCCGACGTCGGCAGCAAGACTGGTACGAGCCTGGTTACCGTCGCCGGAGCTTCCTGCGCACCCTACCTGGACTACGGCCACCTTGTGGGCTTGTTGAGGAAGTGCAACACACGAGTGAAGTCGTCCTGCCATGAGCGAGGGGGGGCAGCATCAGGAATCGGGATCATAAGGATGTGCGCCATTTCCAGGTGGCGGCAAGTGCTGAGGAGCACTAGGTTGGAACGGTAAGGGGAAAAAAAATCAGTCCTCAGAATGGGTCCATGCTCAGGAGGGACTGGCGTCCGCTCCTGCGTTCGTCGAACTGTGGCGCAGTGCCAAGCGGCACCGTCGGCCAGAGCAGTTTCTCGCGCTCAAGCAAGGACCCTACAACACAGCATCAGACTTGAGGAGCTTGTCTGTTTTGAAGAAAACAGATAAGGTGTATCAACTGAAATACAGATCCTGTATTAGTATAGTCGATGTCCTGAGGGTAGCACCCCGCGCCTCAAGAGTGGCTGCCCCCATGCGTTCCCCTGGTTATGGGCCTTGCTGTCGTCCCCCATGCGCCACCACACATGCATCATCTCGCCCGTGTCTGGGACTTCGAGCCCTGGGAAAATCCCCCAGCAACCACATGCATGCATATGTGCAGCAGGGGCCATGCACACCATGGCCCTGCAGCGGCAGGCAGCCCAGGCCCCTGCGCCCCGCCAGCCGCTTCCTGACTGCAACAGAAGGTGCAGCGGGGCGATCGGAGCCAGCACAAACCCCCAGGAGCGCAGGCTGAGCGACTGACAGCGGCCGCCAGCGCGGCGGCGAAGCTCTTCTCTTGGGTGGGACGGCCAGCACACTCACCCTGAGCATCACGGGCTCCGCCTCGCTGCCAACGTGCAAACCCCTGGTGCCGTGGGGCGCAAGGCCGGGCTGTCAGAGGGCGAAAGAGTTGGATAGGTCATGGCTCGCTCGCGAGGGTCCGTTGTCGGCTATGAGAGGCCTCTGCGATCTCTCCGCAGACACCAAGTGATCACTATCAGGCACGGCTTCCAGCGGGTTGCCGGCGATGAGGGGAAGATGGAGCAGCTCTCCCACAGCCGGGGAGGGTGGCCTGATCAGGGCAGTTGTTGGATCGCAGGAGTCGCCTGTGGGGTGAGCTGCAGGTGGATGTTGACAAGGCGGCCCGCCAGCTGGGCGACGTCCCGCCGCCAGCGTCCAGCAAACTGCTAATTCTTGCATCCGAGAGGGCGCAAGTGAAGAATGTATAAAAAGAATGCTGCATCATGAGGTGTGTCTGTGCATTCAGCCCTGGACGGGACGGGTTGCTGGACTGCTGGGGACCAATGCGCCCCCGCCGCCAGGCCGGCCGTGGGGCAGTCAGGGAGAGTCGGCGAGCTGCTCAAATATATGTGTGCTGGCGGTTTTATTTGCAATACGCCGTGACGGTCAGCGGCTACTGCTTGCCGGGCAGCAGCGTCGTCTGCCGCACCCTGCCGCCCGCGCCGCCGCTGGTCCGGGCCTGCCCCGCGGCCGCCGCCGCCAGCGCGGGCTGCCCATCGGGCGAGATGCGGCTGATCTGGTGGTCGCACACCACGCCGCTGACGGGCACCAGCTCAGCGGGAGAGGCGTCGCCAGGGTGCCCTGCAGGCCGAGCGGGCAGGGAGAGGCGGGCAGGCCAGGACTGAGGGCGGGTGGTGGAAGGCTCGGACTTCTGTTCTTCCAACAGGCTGGGAGTACACGTGCAACGGGCGGCTTGGGCAGGCAGCCTGGACATCATGGACAGCGATGGGCCACGGGCCAGCAGGCAGGCTGCCGCAGCCCACCCACCTGTCACCTCGGCCGCAGCGGCCGCAGCAGCAGCCGCCTGCCCGCTGCCGACACCCTGCTGCGTGCCCTCGCACGCCAGGGCTGGCGCCAGCGCGCATAGCTGCGTCTTGGCCGCGCCTGCCGGGGTGGCACCACCTGGCTGCTCCTCCACCTTCACCCTCGCATCCAGAAGCTCCAGCTGCGGGTCGCTTGCAGTGAGCGCATCTGCAAACGCCGCCGCGCCCTCCTCCGCCGCGCCGCTGCCGCCGCTGCCCTCCAGCACCTGGCTGCAAAAGGCGTCGGCGTCCGCGGCGGCCAGCGCGCAGCCGCCGCTGCCGTCGGCATCGCGCTCGTCGCCGCAGCAGGGCGCGCCCATCACGTTGAGCACCTTGGCTCGCTTGTACTCGCGCTGCTCCTCAGACGACAGCCAGGCTGACCGAGCTTTGACCTGGCGGGTCAGGTCATCCAGCAGGTCCCGAGGCATGGAGCTGAGCACCTGCGGCATGGGAGGGAAGGTGGCCAGTTGAGGGTGCGAGTTCAGGTCCAGGTGGGAGCAGGGAGGGAAGAGGGCAGGGACAAGAAGCGGCAGCGGCGCAGGCAGAGGTGTGAGAGTGAGAGTGAGCGGGCAGGTGAAGGCCCAGACACGCGCGAGCAGCAGGTGAGGCGGGGAGGCGGCGGCACTGTGGGCCGGCAGCGTGACAGCACCCACCACCCCATACTCACCTTGATATAGTTGTTGAGGTACTTCTGGTCGTCGCACTGCCGCAGGTACTGCTGCAGCTCCTCCAGCCGCGAGAGAGAGTTGGCTTTGAGCGGCGCGGGCTTGCCGCACGCGCCCGGCCCCGCCGCCGTCGGCAGCAGCGGCAGCGTCATGGGCAGCGGCTCCCGGGGCATGTGCATCAGCTCCATGGCTGGCAGTCAAGCGGCTGCAGCAGCAGGGGAGGCGGCAGGGGTCAGGAGGGGCCACGACGGAGAGGCCAGCCAGCGCGCTGTGGTGGTGCGGCCGCTCAAACGGGCGGCGAGTGCGGGGCGGCAGGGGCCCCGGCGCGGCGTGCAACGCCGCCACGGCTCACCTTGAGCAGCCGAAAGGGGCAGCCAGGCGCGTGAAGCTTGCTTCCAGGCCGAGGAGGCCGCGGTTGATCGCTTCCTTGGGGCGCCGCTCTCTCCGCACCAAGGGCCTCAGCCAGCCACTTTGCCCACTCTAGCTCCGTTAAACAGGCGACACGTGAGAGTGGAGGTGGCAGCCGCCTACCGGATGCGCTCCCGCGTTCAATTCGAGTGGCGACGCGGCGATGCTCCGCCCTGCGCTGCTGTCAAATCTGCGATGCCCCGGGAGATGGTTTTCAAACGAAATAAGAATGAATGGGATGGTTTGGAGTAAGGGAGGGAGACACATTTCCATGCAGCGGCGGCGCGCTATGGGCCCAGCGTGGCGGGTGGGCAGCAGTTCAACCGGAGGCATGGGCGAGGGGATGACTGACACATCACATTGGCTTCTCTGCAACTCTTAGATCATGAAATCACAGAAAAGTGGCGATACCCGGTCGCCGCGCCGCCCCCTCATGTGCCGTGCGCCTGCTCATGCATCTGCCGCACTTTGTCGTGCACTGCCGCAACCACAGGGTTCATGTCTGGCCGCGCTGTGTGCTGTGCCACCTCCTGCATCACACCCGGGCGCATGAGCCAGCAGCCCCTGATGAAAGGGCAGCCGTCTCCAGTGCAAGCACACCAGGTTGTGCCGGGCAGCAGGGACGCCAGTTGCCTGCCTCTGCCATTGGCAACCACCGCCTTGGCAGGCAATTCGGCCAAACGTCGGCCGAATGGCGCTCCTGCGCACCTGCACCATGGAGGCCAGCCCACCCTCCTCCTGCTTCCTCATCCTGCAGGAGCAGGATGGCACCAACCCAGGCAGCGGCAATCGCTTTGAGGAGCCAGGAGGCAGGAGATCTAGCCAGCAGCCTGGCATGGCGCAAACTAGCTGCCCATGCTTCGGCAGGGAAGTTTGGGCTCGTGGCGGCGGGCAAGCGCGCACGTGTGCGTGGGGGAGGCCACCATCTCGTCCTGCTCCAGCTTGGAGGCCGCCTTCTTGATGGCCTTGTTGGCCACCGCCTCTGGAGACTGCACCAGGCACAAGGCGGCGAGAGCGGCGGCAATAGCAGCGGCGGCGGCAGCGGAACGAGCGGCTGCAGGAGTCGCTGGCATCCCGGCCTTGTTTCCGGCGCATCATCTTTCGTGGATACCCGGCTCACGTTGCAGTGCCTACCCCAGTGGGGCTCCCCGTGCTGAAGGATGGTTTCTACGAGGTCTTCTTTCTTGAAGCCGCTCTGAGACATTGCCTGTGCGATCAGACGAGCTGCCAGTAAAACGTGAAACGTAGAAGCGCTCGGCAAATGGTGTCGGGAGGCAGCGTCTGGAGTGCGAGCCCGCCCTGCTGGCGCCGCCGCCCCGTCAGCCACCCCGTCAGCGGACCGGCACTTCGACACGTCTTCATGTGCTCTCTCATGCCACTCACAGACAACTAATGCATGGTGGCGACATTGAAAGGCATCCAGTGCGGCGTGGCAGGGATGTATTGCTGCTGCCGCCTGCCGGCGGCCCGCCCGCCTGCCGCCTGCTGTGCGGCCTATTCGTGGCGGCCTCCTCAGCCCTCGCAGAACCCGGACCCCGGCTGGTTCAGCTTCTCCAGCACCTTGTCCTCCACCGCAGGGTGCTGCCCACGCGCCGCGCGGTCCGCCACAGACTGCAGTGCAGCATGGCTGGGGCGGCGGTGGCGGGGTTGGCGGCGTGCATGCCATGTGGGGACTGATGGGAACCGTCAAAGCTAGGAGGCCTGAGGCAAGCTTCTACAGGCGCTTGCGCACTACTGCGAAGCGCCTCGCAGAACCGACCGCCCACCCACCTGGGTGCGAGCGGCCAGGCCGTGCTTCTCGTGGGGCCGCCCCTCCACAGACTCAAGGTGCTCCAGCTCGCTGGCTGCAGGGGTGAGGTGGAGGTGGTGGGGCACAGCTAGCAGGGATGGGTTGCCGACCAGCTGGTTGAACAGAACAGGACAGGTCAATGCCTGTCTACAGGCGGTGCCCTGGTCACCCACCTCCCGCCGCCAGCACCTCCTCAACAGTGTGCGGCCTCTTGTCCAGCGGCTGCCGCGCCGCCTTGGCCTCCGCCGCATGCAGGATCGCCTCCGCCAGCTGCTCCGCCTCCGAGCCGCCCATCTCCGCAGCCACCCGGCGGTGCACCAGGGCCGCCACCTCGCTCTCCTCGGGGTGCAGGCGGTGGGCGGCGGCAGACTGCAGCAGGGGGCGGCGGCAGCCAGCGGCATCGGGATGCCGACGGGACCTGGCACACTGCCAACCATCCCGATGCAGCAGCCCCTCGTGAGCTGCGCACCCTGCTCGCCACCACCAGCGCTGCCCACGCAGGCCGGGCGTCCGAGGCCGGGCCCAGGCAGCGTCAGCCCCTCACCTGCGCCGCCGCTGCCAGGCCTCCCTTGGGGATGGTGTGGTCCTGCGTCTGCGCCGCCTCCAGGCGCTCCAGCTCCCGCGCCGCCTCCTTCAGCGCCTTGTTGGCGATGCTGTCGGGATCCTGCGCAGCCCCAGCCAGCCAGCCGGCCCACTGAGTATGCCACTGTGTATGCTGTTGACGCGCTGTTGACGCCTATCTAGCTGCTGCTGGCTGCCTGTGTTTGCCTGCCTGGCTGCTCAGCTGACGGAGCCCAGTGTGCTTTGCTTGCCAACTGGCTTGGCAGCAGGTGTCGGGCGAGCGCCGTCAGCGGCGGCCCAGCCGGGCGCCTCGCCTTGAGAGACTTGGGCACGTGGGGCAGCCCCTCGCGCAGCACCGCCTCCGCCACCTCCTCAGACTGCTCCGTGGACATGCTGGCCCCCGCCTGGGGCGATCCAAGGGGCTGCCGCCAGAGAAGGCGCGAGACGTGGCTGGTGCCCATGGCTGGACCTAGGCAGCTCAGGCAGCCCGCTGGGGCACACCTTAGGGCTGAGCAGAGCCTGATGGCAGAAAGCATGAGCAAACAAGGCATGTGAGGGAGCAGATTGAGAATTGGAGTAGCACGCCTGCCACGTCAGCGAGGCCTGCCCCGTCAGCGAGGCGGGTGGGGTTTGACTGGACGGCTGTATGTTACATGATGGGGCAAGGCCTGTCATACATGAATGCACTAGGGAGTTCACGATGGATGCAACGCAACAATGGAAGCAATGAATGGGTCGCGGGGGAGAATTTGTTTGCAATGCCGTTGGTTGGCGCTCACGTGGGGCGGGTTGACACGAGCATCGGGAGACAGCTAGGGGCCTAGCATGCATGATGATGTCAGCAACAGGAGAGGGGGGGTGGGTGCTGCGGAGACGCAGGTCGGTAATCAGTCAGTCGGTGGGTCGCTTGGTCACATGGGTGGGCTGCCTTGAGGTCTCACTCGCGGTTGAGGTCCACCCACACCTGAGGCAGCCCCTCGTCCACGGCGCTGCTGTCCCACAGCTTGCCCTTGCTGACCTGCGGGCAAGCGCAGGCGCGGGGTGGAGGCAACAAACGCCACAGGCCAGAGTCAGCACATGGCGGGTGGGTGGGGGCACGACTGTCACCAGCGCTGAACAGCCCTTGAGCAGCCGCAGACACGGTGCCGAGGGGCAGGCAGTTTAGGGGAGCAGAGATGCCCAGGTCAGGCAAGGAGCTGACACCAGCGAATCCGATTGCCATCATGCCAAGCAGCGCACCAACCAGGGGAGTCCAGGCCAGGCGCACCTTGCTGTTTGACACAAACGCCTCCCACTGCTTGCGCGTGTCGGTGTCCCAGCTGGCAGGGTCAAAGACGTCGGTGCTGCCGCCATCCTCGTCCTCGTCAGCCAGCGCTGACGAGGCGCCGCCATCGCCGCCGGGCGGCCCGCCCCGCAGGAACGGGTTGCCGCCGTCGCCGCTGCCGTCGGCCGCCCCGGCCACCTGCTGGCCCTTGCGCCCCACCGCGGCAAACACGCTGCTGTCTGCGCCTTCCAGGTCCTCGGCCGCCGCCAGGGCCCGGTGGAAGCGCTGGCGGGTGCGGCCGTACACGTGGGCGGCGCGGGCCTGCTGCTCCGCCTCCCTGCACAGCAGGCAGGCACAGCGCAGCACAGCAGGCACAGCAGGCAGGTGAAAGTTGGCGAGGCTGCAGCCAATGAGGCCCTCCACCAGGCAAGGGCAAACACCAAAGAGGCGGGCAGCTCGCGTGGTGCGTGCCGGCTCGTTGAGAGCCAGAGTCAGAGCAGCTCAGAGGTGCCATCCAGCCAGGGACCAGCTGCGCAGAGCCTGTGCTGCTGCGCACCTGATTGCCAGCCGGGCGTTGCGGGCCACCCTGCGCCGCGCGCGCATCCACCGCAGCACCGCCACCGCCAGAGCCGCCGCCGCCAGCCCCAGCGCCCAGGCCCATTGCACCAGCATGCTGGGGGCTGCTGCCGCTGCTGCACGTGCCGAGGCGGAGGGCTCGCTGGGAGGCGCAACCGCTTGCCGCACCTTGCGGGCCTGCTGCTGCTGCCGCAGCCCAGCCACCGGCGCCGCTGCCTGCCGCTGCTGCGTGCCCGCCACAACCTGCCGGTTGCCAGGCAGCTGCTCCTGCAGCTGCTTCTGCAGCTGTGTGGCCGCCTGCCGCAGGCTGGACGCCTGCTCAGCCGACAGGCGCGACAGGACGTGCAGCGCCTGACGTGCCTGCTGCTGCACAGCCGCAGCTTGCTCGCGCACCGCCGCCACGACCGCTGCTTGCTGCTCGCCCGCAGCCTTGAGGGCGGCAGCTGGGGAGCTCTGCTGCTGCGGGGGCGCCGTGGCGGGCTGCTGAGAGGCAGCACGCTGCCCCGCCACAGGCGCGCTGACCCGCGGGCGGGCGCTGGCCGCGGCCTCCGCCACGTGATGCTGGGCCCACAGCGCTGCTTGGCGCAGGTTGGCCAGCTGCCCTGCCGTGAGCTGCTGGAGGGATGCTGCCTGCCCTGCCGTCAGCTGCTGCAGGGCGGCCACCTGCTGCCGCGCCAGAGCTGCTGCCTGCGCGCCGCCGCCCTGCACAGCCTGCTGCGCCTGCTGCAGCGCGTGTGCCACATCGCCGGCCACACCCGCCGCCGCTGCCTGCACCTGCCCCACATCCAGCTCCTGCTGCAGCTGTGCCGCCGTTTCCTGCAGGTGCAGCGCCGCCGCTCGCAGCTGCTGGCCGCCCTGCTGTGCAGAGTCCTGCAGCCGGTGGCCCGCCGCTCGCAGCTGCTGGCTGCCCTGCTGTGCTGCCGCCTGCAGCTGGTGCGCCGCCACCTGCAGGTGCTGGTAGCCCTGCTGCATCACAGGCTCCAGCGCAACGCTGCCTCCAGAGGCAGACGCGCGCTGCGGCGCCGGAACGGCCGCCACGTGCTGCTGCGGCTGCTGCGGTGGCAGCGGCAGCGCGGCCTCCTCTCCAGCCGCCGCCGCCTGCTGCTCGCAGGGCAGCTGCCGCTGCACCTGGCGCCGCCGCATGTGCCGGCGCGGCCGTGCCAGCACCCATGTGCTGTTGCCAGGCAGCGGTGGCAGGCCAGCCAGCGGCTCGTGGTGCTGAACCAGCTCTGCAACGGAAGGGGCTGCAGCCAGGCAGCGGCAAGGAGGAGGCGTCAGCATCTGGGGCGGGACGTGGCGGGAGCAGGCAGGACGGCCGCAGGTCGGAGCACAAGCCAAATTCAAGCCTCGCGCAACGACATCACCAGCTCACCGTGGCTGGCGGCGCTTGGGCCTGTGCCAAGGAAGACCTGCAGCCTGTGGACATCACCCGCACTGCCCGCCTCGCCGCCGCCGCTCGCAGACAGCGCCTGCAGCACGAGGCGGCAGCGATCGGCGTGAGCGATGGTGCGATCCAGCAGGCAGAGAGGGCGCATCACAGCCTTCAAACAGCCTCTCAAACTTGCCCTGGCTGTTGCAGCGTGCAGGCGGCCGTTCCTCGACCCTCCAGCCCTTGCGGCCCTGCCAGTCCTACTGATCGCCCCATCATCCAACAGCCCTGCAGCCGCACAGCAGCAGAGTTATGAGGCCCCTGCTTCCAGGAAGTGGATGTGATGTGCGGTAGGGCAGCCCACCTCGAGCTGGCGCTATCGAGAGAGCTGCCATTCTGTTGGTAGCGTCGAGGAATGCAAACACAGCGAACAGAGAGGCCGGGGGCTCGAAGCCAGCGGGGCGGGAAGAAGGCAGGGCGCTGCCATGCAGCATGGAGGCCACCATGCGCGCTCCTCCAATCGCCACCGCGCTGCGATCACTTTACCCGACCTGTTGGGCACCGCAGATGGCCGTCCAGGAGCCCGTGGCGGGGGCCAGGGTGCTGCTGGGCGGCAAGCACAGGGCCACGGTGCGCTATGTGGGCCCCATCGAGGGGCAGCAGGGCACCTGGGTGGGAATTGAATATGATGAGGCCGGCAAAGGCAAGCACGACGGCAGCCACGGCGGCAGGCGCTACTTCTGCGCCCACGACCCCACAGCCGGCTCCTTTGTGCGCCTGCCCAAGTTCCTGGAGGCCGCCGACTTTGGGCGGTCCCTGGTGGCCGCTGCGCTGGAGCGCTACGGCCTGTCCTCCGCGCTGGAGCGGGCGGCGGGCGGCGGCGGCGGCGGTCAACCTGCCAGCGGCGTGGACCCGGCGCAGCAGCAGGAGGAGCAGCAGCAGATGTACGTGTCCACCGCAAGCAATCGTCGCGTGACGGTGGAGCTCCTGGCCCCAGAGGCATCGGCGCGGCGGCTGTCGGGCGCAGGCGCAGCGCTGGCGGCGCTGGTCCAGCACCGCATCTCCAGTCTGGTGAGGCACCCTTCGATCAACTTGCTCGCTGCCCATTATTGGTGTGCTCAGGGCACCCTGGGAGCAGCAGCCTGCTTGCCTGCCGTGCCTGTGAACATTCTGCAACAGCTGCTTCGGGCGTCAAGACCGCTTCCTGCCCTGCCTGGCGCGCTCGCCATCCATTCATCCATGCAGGGCAGCGGCAGCGAGCTGCGAGCCATGCTGCCCGGCCTGACGGAGCTGGACCTCAGCGACAACCTCTTTTCCAGCTGGACCTTCGTTGCTGAGCTGGCGACAGCGCTGCCCAGCCTGGCCGCCCTGAACCTCAGCGGCAACCGCCTGGCCCTGCCCAGCCCCACCCTGGCGCCGGCAGCCCCGCCACCGGCAGCGCCTGCCAGCCTGGCCGGGCTGCAGACGCTGGTGCTGAATGGCTGCGGCGTGGCCTGGCCGCAGGCGGTGGCTGTCGCCCAGCTGCTGCCCACCCTGCGTGAGCTGCACCTCTGCGCCAACGGCCTGGCCAGCCTGCACCTGCCGGCAGCAGTGGGCAGGAGCGGCTGCGATGTCGCCTCCGCGGCAGAGGCTGCTGCAGGCATCAGCCTCCTGTTGCTGGGTGCTCCTGCAGCTGCTGCGCCCGGTAGTGGCAGCAGCAGCAGCAGCAGGAGCAGCCAGGGCGCTGCGGCGCTGCTGGCAGCAGCGTTTGGTCGGCTGGAGGTGCTGGATCTAGAGAACAACGCGCTTTCCAGCTGGGCTGACGTGGCGTTGCTGAGCACGCTGCCGTGCCTGCGCTCGCTGCTGCTCAGCGGCAACCGGCTGGAGGAAGTGCGGTACGAAGGAGGTGAGGAGCGGCAGGAGGGAGCACGCACGCCTCTGCTTGCCCTGTTGGCGTCGTCTGCATACAAGGCCCATTGCAGCCCTGCCACGTTTCCCGCCGCCGGCCTGCAAGCTCCGCCTGCCCTGCCTTCCCTGCCCCGCAGGCTTCACCGCACTTCGAGCGCTGTTGCTGGGCGGCAACCGGCTGGGGAGCTGGGAGGCGGCCAGCCAGCTGGACCGCTTCCCGGCCTTGGAGGAAGCCCGCCTGTCCGACAACCCCCTCACCGCCGCCGCCCCAAGCACCGTGCGCTACCAGTGCATCGCCCGCATCAGGTGCTTGCTTCAACAGGAGGCGGAGGGCGAGCTTGCACAGCGGCGGCGCTGGCTGCTGTTGAACTGAGCCGGGCAGCTGCGCGCTGCATGGTGGGAGTGGCGGATTCCAAGCCTCCTGCTCCATGCCTGCTATCCTTCCCCACGTTCACTTGCCTTCCCACCGCCGCTGCAGCCGGCTGAGCACACTGAACGCCAGCGCCGTGAGCGCCGCGGAGCGGTGGGATGCGGAGGTCAACTACCTACGCCAGGTCAGCGATGAGCTGGCAGGCGCCGCTGACGTGGCAGGAGGCAGCATCGGCGGTGTGGAGGCTGCAAGGGCCGCCGTCCTGGCCGCCCACCCGCGCTTTCCGGCACTGGTTCAGGTGGGCCGCTCCTGTGTGGAAGGCGGGCATGTGGCGGCAGCGCCGAGGGTGGAGCCTGGGCCTCGCATGCCGATGCCGCCACTGTGGCACGTTACACCCTCTCCCCACCTGTGCACACCTGCTGTGCTGTGCTGTCGCCTGCTGCAGAAGTATGGCGAGCTGGCTCCCGCGGCCCCACGTGCGGCCGCCGGCAGCGCTCTGGCCAGCAGCATGGCGCAGCTGACCATCTGCCATGGTACCAAGCGAGTGGAGAAGAAGCTGCCGGGTAGGTACCACCGGCCGATCGGCGGCTGCTTGGCTTGGCTCGCCTTGGTGATGCATTTACCCGAGAAGAAAATCTAGACAGCCCGCCAGCCCGGCCTGCCCGCTGTGTTCCCGCCTGCAGTGACGCTGACGATAGGCAAGCTGAAGCTCATGCTGGAGCGGCTGCTGCGGGTCAAGGCGGCGCAGCAGGCGCTGCTGCTGGTGCCGCCAGAGGGCAGCGCGTCCCAGGTGAGGCGGCAGGCAGGGCGGCGGGCAGCCTGGGCTGGTGGCTGCCGTGCTGCCGCTCCTCGCTTTCGGCGCGTCCGGCCGTGCACACCCCCGCCACTTGCAGCCTTGGCTGGCGGTGCGCTGGGGTCATGTGTCAGGCCCATGCTGCGCTCCTGGCTGCACCCGCCTACTACTACAGCGTGTCATGCTGTGCTCATGCTTTGCCACGCTGTGTGCAGCCCGAGGATGTCAGCGACGAGGAAGGGCGGGAGCTCCGATACTTTGATGTGGCAGACAGCTGGAGGTGGGTGCAGCCCGGCCCTTGTTCCCGCACTGCAACAATTGGTTCCAGCCTGCCTGCTCGGCTCATGCCTGTTCACTGGCCAGCTGGCTGCCGGCTGGCTGGCCGACTCGGTTGCCATGCCAAGCTGCCCGAGCCTTATTTCGGCCCCCCAATATAAATTATTAATCTCGGTGGGCCGGCCACAACCAGTCGGCACTGCTCCCCAGTTGGGCTCTCGCCCGTGCAATGCAATGCAGGCTAGAGGTGAGAGTGGCAGACCCGGCGGCACGCGCCGCGGCGCTGGCAGCCGCCAAGGCGGCGGCAACGGCGGCGCATGCGGCACGCATGGAGCAGCACGAGAAGGCCATCCAGCAGTTCAGGGCCGTGGAGCAGCGGCTGATGGCCTGAGCGGCACAGGTGCTGCGCCTGGCCTGGGCCATTGGCTGCTTGCCAGGCACACCGCTGCACATGCCGATTGAGCGCCTGCCCACCAGGCCTGTGCTCCCGCGCCTGGGACACTGGTCGGGCTGCTTGCCCAGCTGTGCACCTTTAGAGCCCGTTTTCACCGGCTTCTTGCCGCACTGTAATAGGCGCTCCTCTCCACGGCGAGCCTCCCACCTTGACTGGCCTGCCAAGCTGCCTGTCAGCACTTGTGAGGAGAGCCCACAAAGCTTACAAAAGGGACAAAGGAAGTCGTTGTATTCTGTTGCGCAGAGCCCATCCAGCAGGGTGTGCTTGAGCCACGCATGCCGGCGAAGATGTGTATAAACTGGCGTTGCGGGGTGGGTGGGTGGTGTCACAGCCGCGCTCCACACTCTCCTCAGCGCAGGTGGCATCCTGGTATTGCTGGTGCTGGCTGAAGGTTGGGAATCCACCTCCCCTAGACTCCATCTGAACCCTGCAGGGAACAGGCCGGAAGGGCGGTGAGGCAGGGGCTGCAAGGACGCCAAGGAAGTCACGCCGCCCACGGGGGAACAGGCAGTTCAGGAGGCGGCCGACAGACATGTATCCCAACAGCGAGCCCGCGCCAGCTGGCAGCATGTGGCCACGCACCATCAACGGCTGCGGTTAGGTCTGGGCAGCAGCGGCAGCCGCTTGCAGGCGCCGGCACTCGGGCTTGTGGGCACGCCAGTGCGCGTGGGAGCAGGCCTCGCTGCAGTACCTCACACCACGGCACCTGCTGGCAGCAACCAGGCGGGGGAGTGCAATGGAAGCACTACATAGGCAGGCAGGGTGGACCCATCACGGAGGCAGCCGTGAAGCTGCGTGAAAGCATCTCTTCCCGTCTAGCCCAGGACACTGCTTACCCACTGCAGCGGCGCAGGCCGTGCGTGTTGCCGCAACCGTCTGCTGCACACACCCTGGCAGCGGTTGCTGCCGCATCAGGGGCATCGGACACTGCTGCATCTGCCGCATCCACTGCCGCTGCCTCTGCTGTCGGTGCGGCTCCTGCTGCTGGGTGTGCCGCATTCCCTGCCTCTGAACTCGAACTGGCCGCTGATGGCTCTGGCTGCCCGGCATTGGACAGGATGCTCAGGACATCAGCTGCAGCCTTCCGCGCCTCGTCGCATGGGCTGCTGCTGTGAAGTGCCTGTAAGGCAGGGATGCCCCCAGCTGCAACAATGGCGGCGTTGTTGCTGGGGCTGTCATCGCACAGATTGAGGAGCGCTGAGGTTGCTCGCATGTTCACCGCCTCGCTGCTGCTGCTGCGCAGGCGCTGCACAAGGGCTGGGATGCCGCCGGCTGCAACAATGGCTGCCATGTCGTCAGGGCTGCCCAAGGCCAAATTGGCAAGCACCCCAGCTGCACACTTCTGCACTTCTTCGCTGCAGCTGCTGCGCAGGTGCCCCACAAGCACAGGAATGGCGCCTGCGTCCACAATGGCAGTCCTGTTGCTGAGGCTCTCAGCAGACAGATTAGCAAGCGCTCCCGCTGCGGCTACCTGAATTGCCTCGCTGCTGCTGCTGCGCAGGCGCTGCACAAGGGCTGGGATGCCGCCAGCTGCGGCGATGGCTGCCCTGTTGTCAGGGCTGCCGAAGGCCAGATTGGCCAGCAACGCTGCTGCATGCTCCTGCACAGCCTCGCTGCTGCGGCGCAGGCGCCCCACGAGCAGAGGGATGGCGCCAGAAGCCACAATCGCGACACTGCTGCTGGTGCTGTTAGCGGACAGATGGAGGAGCGCTCCGGTTGTTTCCGCCTGCACTGCCTCACTGCTGCTGCTGCGCAGGTGGCCCACGAGCAGAGGGATTGCGCCTGCTTCCAAAATGGCTGTTGTTATGTCGGGGCTGTCAATGCACAGGTTGGCAAGGGTGCTGGCTGCTTTTGCCAGAACTGCCTCGCTGCCACTGCTGCGCAGGAACTGCACCAGGACAGGAATGGCGTCAGCTGCTGCAATGATTGCCCTGTTGTTAGGGCTGCTGAAGGCCAGATTGCACAGCGCCTTAACTGTCTGCTTCTGCACTTCCTCGCTGCTGCTGCCGCGCAGGCGCTGCACCAGAACAGGAATGGCGCCTGCTTCCGCAATGGCAGTGCTGTTGCTGGGGCTGTTAGCGGACAGATTGAGGAGCGCCAAAGCTGCAGCCGCCTGCACTGCCTCGCTGTCGCTGTTTCGAAGGATCTGCACCAGGACAGGAATGCCACCAGCTGCAGCGATGGCTGCCATCCTGTCAGGGTTGCCGAAGGCCAGGCTGGCAAGCAACGCTGCTGAAAGCTCCTGCACGTCCTCGCTGCTGCTGCTGCGAAGGCGCTCCACGAGCAGAGGGATGGCGCCATCTGCTTCAATAGCTGCCGTGTATTCAGGGCTGTCATAGTACATTTTTTGTAGAATGGATGCTGCGGATACAAGCAGCGCCTCACTGCTGTGCCGCAGGAGCTGCACCAGGGCAGGGATGCCGCCTGCAGCTGCGATAGCTACTTGAATATCTGGGCCTTCGCATGCCAAATTACGCAGCGCCAAGGCTGCTGGTTCCAGCAAAGCCTCGCTGCTTTGGTCGCTGCTCAGGCACTGCACCAGCGCCGGGATGCCGCCTGCCGCTATAATCGCTGTGCGGCTGCCCTGGCTGGAAGAGAGATCAGCCAGGCTTCGGGCTGCTGCAATCGCGCTGCGTCTGCTGCTGCCGCGCAGGCGCCTCACAACTGCATTGATATTGGCCGAGGCTGCCATCGCCAGAGCAGCGGACTGCGAGCGGCGGCGGGGCGGGCGGGGCAGGGCATAACTGAGCGGCGGCCTCAGGGTGGCCTATAGCTCGCAGGCGGGCGTTGCCAGCACCACAATCGGCGCTTCCGAGTGCTATTCAGTCACTCCCAGGTGCGGGGTCGGCGCCCGTCTGCCTCGGGCAAGGCCACTCACCTCTCCACAGGCTTCAGAGTGGGCCAGGGGGCAGGTCGAGCCAGCAGGAGAGAGGCCTCCGCTTTCAGGCGCGGCTGCAAGGAGGGCGCAGCGCGCGCGCCACGCCGCTGCAAGCCCCTCCCGGCGCCTTTCAGCGGATGGTGCTCCCTTACCTGATGGTGCTCCCTAGCTGCTGCCACCAGTGCTAGTCGCGCATACACGCCGAAAAAGATGTATTTGAAAGGCGGCGTTGGGGGACACGGCAAGCGGGAGAGCGGCGCTGCACAAGGTGCAGAGCGTGGGCCAGGCACCTGTAGGCAGGCTGTTCATGATTACAGATTAAAAAACTTTGAAACCAAACAATCAGTATGTCACCGCACCTAAGAATCATCAGGAACAATCAAGGCGGCTGCTTGGCGCAGCGGCGGCACTGTTTGGTGCAGCAGTGAGGTTGGGGGTGGGGCATGCCATCCAGTGCCCGCCAAGGCTGCCGCTGGTGCGCCGGCATGGCGGCACGCGCTGGGTGGTGCATCGGGCGGCTGGGCTTGTGCTGCTGCTTGCGCTGGGTGGCGCACCGGGCGGCTGGGCTTGTGCTGCTGCTTGCGAAGGCCGCACAGGGCCATCACAACCACCGCCATCGGGCGGGGCGCAGGCCAGGAGCGGCGCTGGTTCTTGGCCGTGGAAATGGCAGGGGCTGCGAGGGCAGCCACGGCAGTAGCTAGAGTGGTGGTGTCCGCGGGATCGGCAGCAGCCACAGGCTCCTCAGCGGGGGCGGTCAGTGCAGGGCGGAAGGGTTGGGGCAGCAGCCTGCAGCAGTGGGAGAACCGGGCAGGCAGGGCAGTGCGCATCAGCCGCTGAATGCGATTTCAGGTGCAGAGGCTGACATTAGGCACCAGGCAACACCCGCTCTTTCCACTTCAGCACGCGCTGCGCACCAGCGGCTTCATCTCTTCTCGCCACTCATCAGCACCCTCGAACAGCAGGTGAAGGATGGGGTATCCAGGATCTAGCAGGAGGAAGGAAGAGGAGCAGGCACCTGCCGCCGCGCCACGACCAGCAGGATGCTGCCGCTGCCCCCGCAGCTGCAGCGGCAGCCGCCGGCAGCTCCTCACAGCCAGCGCCGCGCGCGCGCATGCTCGCGCAGCCCCTCCCGGAACGCAGGGTGGGCGATGCCGATGAGCGCGGCGGCCCGCTGCCGCACGCTGCGCCCCCACAGCTGCGCCGCGCCGTACTCTGTCACCACCCAGTGCACGTCTCCGCGGCAGGTGGTCACCCCAGCGCCGGCGCCGAGCTCAGGGAGGATGCGGGAGGTGGCACCGCCGGCCGCGGTGGAGGGCAGGGCGATGATGGGCAGGCCGCCGCGGCTGCGGGCCGCGCCGCGCAGGAAGTCCACCTGCAGGCGACGTCGGTTGGGGCACGGCAAGGGGGTGGGGCGCGCCGTTGCCTGCCCAGTGTAGTGGAGAGGAGGACAGGAGCAGGCTCCCCACTGCGGGGAGGCTGTTTACTGGCAAGCCAAGCCAAAGTCGAAGCGCGAGGCTGCCCCCCACGGTTCCCGCCAGCAGGCCGCCACGCCCCACCTGGCCGCCGATGCCCGAGTAGAAGCTGCCGCCCAATGTGTCTGACGCCACCTGGCGTGGCAAGGGGTGGCGGCCGCGACGGCGGGGCAGGTGAGCCTGGCCACTAGGCAGCTGCTCGAACAGGGCTGTCAGCCACCAGCAGCGCATCGTATGCGTTAACAGCATGGCGCAGCTGCTCACGCGGGCCGCCAACCTGCCTGCCACCCCGCCGGCAGCGCACCTGCCCCGTCAGATCTACGGACAGCGCTGCGTTGATGGCGGCCATGCGGTCGTTGCGGGCCTGCAGGCAGACGGGATGTGGCGCGCGCAGCCCAGGGGAAGCAGTGGCAGAAGGTCACAGGGGCGCAGGCAGGCACGCAGGCTCGCGGGCGGCGATAGGCAGGCAGGCAGGCAGGCTGCCGGCCAGGCAGGCGCAGCAGCTATGCATTGGAGGAATGAAGTGGAGCAGCGGGACCCACAATGACAGCAGGGTCGTTGGTGAAGGAGGAGGGGTGCATGGAGAGGGAGGGGTTGTCGTCCTGCGCCAGGCGGTACCGGCAGCCGCCGGGAAGCTGGTCAGGGCCTGGGCCGCCGTCCCTGCCGCCCGTCCTGTCCACCACACACCCCACACACCACACGCCGTGCTGCCATTTCCCACCCCATCCAACGGCCCACAACACTCCACACGTATAGAAACACAACCAGGCGCACCCACCCACGCGAACGCCGCCCCTGCCGCACCCACCATCCAGGCGTAGAGCTCCGTGGAGCCCAGCGCCAGCGCCGCCACCGCCTTGTGCCGCAGGAACGACTTGGCCGCCCCGGTGACCACCCCCCGCTGCACCAGCTCCACCACGCCGTCTGTCAGCACCTCGGTGTGCAGGCCAAGGTCTTTGTGATCCCGCAGAGCTGCAGGCAGCAACAAGCAGAGGTCGCCAGCAGTTGGCAGCAATCAGCAGCGGCGGCGGCAACGTGGGCGGAGGGTTCAGGCGGGCAGATGCGAGGAGGAGCTGGCGGCTCCCTCCCGGGCAAGACAGGGCTTTTTCTTCTTGTTCTTCTTGTTGGAGCACACAACCACACACACACACATAGATACACGGCCACACAGCCATACACACACGCGCGCCGTGCGCAACCCTCGCACCGTGTGCCACCGCGTTTGGGATCTTGCCGATGCCCATCTGCAGCGTTGCGCCGTCTGGCACCAGCGCTGCCACGTGCCGCCCAATGGCCAGAGACACCTCGTCCGGGGGCCCCGCCGGCGGGGCGAGCTCCGGCAGCGGGCTGCGAGGCGTGGGGATGGGGCAGGCGTGCGGGACCCCGGGGCAGGTGGGAGTGAAGACGTAAGGGCAGGAGGTGGGCGGGTGCTATGCACACCTCGCATGCAGCAGGATCCCACGGGCAGCTTGCACAACCACCTGTCGTTGTGTACGAAGCAGTCTATGGCTTCCACCGGAACAAAGGTGTCGCCGTGTGTGCGGGGCATGCTGCCGTTCACCTCTGCCAGCACAGAGGTGGCTGCCTGCCACCCGGCGTGGCCTACGTCCACCGACGCACCCAGGCTGACAAAGCCGTGGGCGTCGGGGCGGCTGACATGCGGGCAAAGGGACGGGGGGCATGCATGGGGTGTGGATTCCAGCGCGTGAGGAGGGACAAGGGCAGGAAGCAGCACCGGGCCACACATAAGCAGGGACATTTGCCACCAAACCCAGCCAACCGCCGACCCCTCACCAACACCAGCCAATCGACACCGACCAACCAGGCCAGCCAGCAGCTCCAGGCGGCGCCCACCTGGATCAGCGCCACATCCACCCCCTGCTCGGGCGAAGCCACCAGGGCTGGCAGCTCAGACAGGTGCATGGGCAGCCAGTCGGCACGGCCGGCCGCCACCGCGGGCCGCGTGTTGGGGCCGATGAAATATGCGGTGTGGCGGAAGTGGGCGCTGCGGCAGGCGGCAGATGGAAGGGAGGCGCCAGGTCAGCAGCAGGAGTGCGGCTGAGAGCGTGGGTGTGCGTCGGCTGCGTGGGGTTGGGGATGCGGTGCTGCTTTACAGCACCAATGAACATCCAGCAATGCAGGCCCCCCCCCCGGCCCCATGCAGAGTCCTGCCCTGCCCTGCTCTGCCCGGCTGGCCACCCACCAGGCGGGCTCTTCAGCATACGGTGCAGGCCCCAGGGTGAGCAGGTGCACCACCTCACTCCCCGCCAGCTCAGCGCCCCTCCCCATCAACGCCTCCACCAGCAGCGGCGGCGTGGCCGCGCCCGACCCCAGCAGAATGCGGTGCGGTCCCGGAGCGATGGCCTGCGGGGCAGAGGGCGAGTGGCGGCGAGGCGGAGAGAGGCTGGGGAGAGGACTGGGCACGCTGCCACAGCGCAGCTGGGTTGCTGGCCAACGCCAGCCAGCCAGGCTGAGCCTGTGTGCCATAGCAGCTGGTAGGCTGAGCAGCATGCCCACGGTACTTAGCGGTACCCTTGTACTGCTTGGCACCTCACCTGTACTGCCTGCTCTGCCGACACAGTGTTGAGGCGCAGGTGCGCCCGCCGCCGCTCCTCCAGCGGAGCGGTGCTGTCGGTGCGTGCAAACGTGGCGGCGGCACGGTAGCCGCGCCGTTGCTGCTGCTGTTGCTGCCACAGGAACGGGGGGCTGTGCCGCTTGACGGCAGCCGTGGCATCCTGCAAGCTCAAGGCCGCGGATTCTCGGACTGCTGCTGCTGCATCGAATGCTGGCGAGCTATGTGGGTTAGTGGAAGAGGCCCAGAAAGCAGAAGGAAACAACGCGTCCCGGGCGCCAATCCAGAGGCGGGAGGCGGCTGCTACCCAGTGCCGCTGCGTCAACGGCAGGCCAGAAAGCTGCCACAGGTACAATGCCATCACAATAATGGCCGCATGCTAGACTGGCTTGCTGCAGCCGAGCCGAGCGGTCGGCTGCAGGGGCAGGCCGGCGAGGCGGGGCGGTTCGGTGTGGGCGGCAGCGGCTGGGAGTTGGCGGCGGACTTCGAACCCATCTCAGGCAAGCGGTGCGTCGTCAATGCAAGCAATATAATGTCAGTTTCTTGCCGTTTGGCTCGCCTGTCGTGCCCTGAGGCGATGCAGACACCCCAGCGGTTCGCCACGGCTAGGATGCCCCTACCTCGCGTATAAATCGACCAATGCTTCCGGTTTGGTTCCGGGGCGCTCGCGCAGAGATGGGCGCAAGGTACAGTACCGCCACCGCTCGCCACCCCTCCGCCACCACATGCCGCCGCCGCTCATGCACTGGGCACTGATTGAGCGGCAGCGCTTCTCCCCTTAGTTTCACCTTCAGCGCACTCCCAACCTACCCAACCCCTGGAAGCAGGATCTCGCGACCCATCAAGCTCAAGGCATCAGGCCTCCGTGCAGCTGAGGTGAAGTTGCCTAGCTGGCGCCGCCGTCAAGACGGCTGCTTTCTCTCTCGAGCCAGCTTGTTGCTGCAGCAGGTGGTAGTGCTAGCCATGGGAACTGTGCTATCCACCGCCACCATTGGCATCACCGGCACCAAGGCCGCCTCCATCCCACGCCGGCGGTATGGCTGGCTGCGCCGGCTGCGCTGCGTGACAACCGTGGGTGAGCACTGGCCGCGCTGCAGGGCAGTGCCCGTCCTGAGGAGCAAGCGCAGCGTCCAAGGCTGTTGGCAGCGCTCGGGCAGCGGCCAGCTACTCCCCCTGGACGCTGCTGCTGCCACCCGGGATTCTGTAATCAATAGGCTGCCTGCCCGGGCTGCTGCATACCAATGGGGCTGCCTCTCCCGCCTTGGTCCACCACTGATCCCGCCGCATCTACCACCGCCTGCAGAGGAGGCTAACCTGGAGGTGGTCGAGCGGTGGGGCTGCTTCCAGCGGGTGGCGCGCCCCGGCCTGGGCTGCGTGTGGTGCTGCCTGGGCGAGACGGTGGCGGGGCGGCTCAGCACCTCGCTGCAGCACCAGGAGGTGCAGTTTGCGGGGAAGACGCGGGACGGCGTGTGGGTGGAGATGGTGGTGAGCGATGAGGGCTGAGCCTTGCGCTGCAGCCGCTGCTGGAGCTGCCGCAAACATGCTGCAGCACTACGGCTGCAGCCACTAGGGAGGATGCCAGCCCTTTGCTCTCCAGCGGCCCAAAGTGGTTGCAGCAGGCTTCTCGGTGCAGGCTGCCACAGTGTGTCCTGGCCTCCCCCTCTGCCTGTACCGCAGCTCAGCGTGCAGTACCGTGTGGCCGAGGAGGGCGCCTATGCCGCCTTCTACTCCCTGGAGGACCCGGTGGGCCAGGTAACTTCCTACGGTGAGTGAAGTTAGGTGCACGTTGTTGGTTGGATCGGTGGGTGGGTTGGTTGGGTCGCGTCGACTGCGGTGGACACCACAGCCCGCGCACGGTGACCACGACGCACGCCGCCCTAACCACGCACCCAGACCTGTGCACGCACCCCCATGCACGTGCGCTTGCTGCCTGCCCGCCTGCCGCTGCAGTGCTGGACGCCGTGGGCATGGCGGTGGCGGGGCTGGAGGTGGAGGGGCTGTTTGAGCAGCGGGAGGGCATGGTGGCGCAGGTGCAGCGCGGGCTGGGCAGCGTGCTGCGCGGCTACGGCTACGAGCTGGAGGCGTGCCTGGTCACGGTGGGTGGCCTGGCCAGCTTTCGGGGTGGCTGGCTGTTAGGGGGTGGGTGGGTGGGGCTAGGAGTGGCTGGCTGGGAGTGGGCGGGTGCCTGCTGCCAGCAGCATGCTGCATGCTGTGTGCCACCGAGCAGGGGACCTCTACAGCGCAGCACATGCAGGACTGCTGTGCGTTCCTTCCACAGGTGCTGACCCCCACCGAGACCGTCCGAGATGCCATGAGCGCGGTGAAGGCGGCGCAGCGGCAGCGGGAGGCCGCCTGGGAGCAGGGCGAGGCAGACAAGGTGCGGCCGGCTGGGGAGGCCTTCTTAAGGGGGAGGGGGGTGGCTGCAGGTGCATGGGTGTTGGTTTCTGCTCCCCCCGCTCCCGCCCGTCCCCTCATCCTGCCAGCATCAGTGCAATGTCATTCCACGACCGACAACTGCGCACCCACCCACCGACCCACCCACCTGCAGTTCCGAGCCGTCAAGCATGCCGAGGCCAGCTCTGAGAGCAAGTACCTGCAGGGCCAGGGCATGGCGCGCTTCCTCATCGCCTTTGCGGCGGGGGCGCGGGATGCGATGCGGGTGATGGTGACGGGCAGGTGGGAAGGGCGCGGCCCGGCCTGGCCGTGCATGGCGGGTCGAGGCGGGACGGCACTGCGCCTGCGGCCGCCGCCTGCCAGGCAGTAGAGTTACCCGGCCCAACGTGGTGGGGCAGGCTGCGAAAAGGGGGCTCTGCGTTCTGGGGGCCTGCTTAGGGCGGAACATGCTGTGTTTGCCTGCAGGATCAAGCAGGAGGATCTCGCTTTCCCGGAGGCCCCGCCCGCCAACGAGGCCGCTGCGCTGGCGGCAGCCGCGGCCCCGCCCCACCCACCCCACGCCCACGCCGAGGATGGGGCGCAGCAGGGGCGCAGCCACGCACAGGAGGAGGAGCAGCAGCAGCAGCCGCATCTTCCACAGCACCATCATCAGCACCGCAAGGCGCCCCCGGGCCTGGCTGGCGGCAATGGCGGGCTGGGCCGGCCGCTGCTGCAGCCCGCTGCGGGGCCGGGACCGGGGCATGCGGCCAAGCCCAGCGATGCTGCAGTGGTGGCACGGATCGGTGAGCCGGCGCTGCTGCCGCCGCAAGCGCCTGCCAGCCCCAGCAGGGCTGGCGGTGCCCGGGGCCACAAGAAGGCGGTGGCTGCCGAGCGGCTGCCATGAGAGCTGTTACATGCGGCAGTGTGTGATGAACCAAAAGCACGCTGGTTGGAAAGGGAGCATGAGAACGTCTTGTAGCGGGGAACACACACATGCATCGATTCGATTGTCTGACACTGCAGTTGCTGCCTGGGAGCAGACGGGGGAGGGATGCTCTGTAAACTAGGGAGGGCCTGATGCGTAAGGTTAAGGTGCGACCAAATGTGAAGAGCAGGGCACCGGCTGGCTCCCAACAAGCGCTGTGCCCAGCTTGTGGCGCCTGGCTGTAGTGTACACACAATGCATAGGGGAAGAAGAAACACACAAAAGCTAAGACACGGCGGCGTCGGGGCCTCGTAGCTCTTCCCAGCGCTGCCTGGTGGGCGGCGGCGGTCCTGCCGCGGCGGCGCCTCCTTCACAGCTTCTCCACCACCCGCAGCTTGGCGCTGCGGCTGCGCACGTTGGCTGCCTGCTCCTCCTCACTGGGCGCCACGGGGCGGCGGGTGAGGATGCGCACGCTGGCCTGCGCCGCCGCCTCCTCAAACGGCAGGCAGTAGGAGGGCAGCTGCTCGTCGCTGGGCGCCATGCCTGCGGCGGGAAGGGATGGGAGTGGCGCCTGCACCATCAGGCGGCCGCGCAAAGCTACACAGCACCACAAGCTGGCACACACAGGCCTGCGCCGAGCCACCCCACCACAGCAACCCCAGTGTTATCTAAACTCCATGCTTAACTCCATGTCGAGGGGCGTCCCCGCCACCTGCACCTCCTCCACGCACCTGCCGCTGCGCGGAAGGCCCACTTGACGATGCGGTCCTCGAGAGAGTGGAAAGTAATGACCGCCAGGCGGCCCCCAGGCGCCAGGCACTCTATGGCATCAGGCAGGGCCTGCAAGCGGCGGCAGCGGCACGGGCGGCGGGTGGGTGCCAGCGGTGCGCGAGTGGGGCGCCGGGTGGCGTGCACAAGCGGGCGGGCAAGCGGCTCCCCAAAGGCGGGAAGCCCAGCGGTAGTGGCGCATGGTGGGAGCCCGGCTGCCAGCCCAGCCAGCCAACAGCAGGCCAGCCGGCTGCATGCGGCCCAGCCACGCAGCTTCAAGCCAGCGGGCCGCCAACACACCGCGCGCCGCCCCACCGCACCTGCGCAATGCTCTGCAGCTCCCCGTTCACCGCGATGCGCAGCGCCTGGAAGGTGCGGGTTGCGGGGTGCTTGAACCTGGCGTCGCCGCCGCCGCTGCGCCGGCCCCTGCCCCTGCCGCCGCCGCCGCCGCCGCCGCCTCCTGGGGAGCCAATGGCGCGGACTAGCTGCTGCGTGGTGGTGATGGGCGCCTCCTCGCGCGCCGCCACGATCCTGCAGTGGTGCGCGGCAGGGAGGGCTGGAGACGGGCGGCGGCAGGGGAGGGCGGCGTCGCCCATGATCGGGCCCAGCAGCGCACGAGCGGCTCGAGCGCCGCCGCCCAGTCCAGCCCCCTTCCCCACACACACAGCCACGCCACCTCGTTTGAAGCTGTTGAGATCAACAGAGGCAGGCCACCCTACGGCGAAGCAATGCCCGCGGCCACACCCCCTCCACACACACACACACACACACACAAATTACCGCGCGCACACACACACCACCGCGCACACACGTGCACTCACCTGCGCGCGATGCCGCGCCAGTGCCGCTCCTCCCCATACTCCCGGATCACGCGCCCCAGCTCGCCCTCGGGCCACGTGTTCACTGCCAGCTCAGCAGACAGCGGGGCCGCAGGGTCCATGCGCATGTCCAGGGGGCCGTCCCGCAGGAAGCTGAACCCGCGGTCTGCGGTATCCACCTGCGCAGAGCAGGCAGGAGGAGGCGGGGAGGAGAGGGAAAGAGAGTGAATGTGTGTGTGTGTGTGAGAGAGAGGGGTAGGGAGCGGCAGGCGGGCGGGGTGGGCAGGGGACCAGGGGTGGCGGGTGTGGCAGCAGCAGGGTCGCGCAGGCGGCAGGCAGGGGCGCCTGCCTGGCAGCCAGCAAATGTAGCGGGGCGAGAGGTAGCTTGCAGGCCGCTTCCAGCACGGTTCCAATGAGAAAGCCCGCCCTTATAGGAGGGAGGGCCGCACCTGCATGGATGAAATGCCGAGGTCGAGCAGGATGGCATCCACGCCGCCGCTGCCGCTGCTGCTACTAGTGTTGCCGTTGCTGCTGCTGTTATTGCTATCAGTGCTGCCGCCGCCGCCGCCGGGGCCCAGGGGCAGCTGCCGCAGCACCGCTTGTATGCGCCCAAAGTTGCTGCGCACCAGAAAGGCGGTGGGGCGTGCCTCTCCGTCGGTGCCGTCGCCGCCGCCGGGACCGGTTGGCAGCTCAAAGCTGGCACGGCCAGCGGGTGACACGGCCACCGGCACCACCGCGGCGCCGGCGGCAGCCAGGCGGGCTGACGCCAGCTGGTGGGCCGTGGGGTCGAGATCAAACCCTACCAGACTTTCCAGCTCTGGGTGCTGGCGCAGCATGGCGGTCGCGTGGCCCGCCGCTCCCAGCGTGCCGTCCACGTACCGCCGCACAGCGCGCCCCTCAAACGCCGCCAGCACCTCGCTGAGGAGCACCGAGATGTGCGGCGCCGCCTCGGCGGCGGCAGGTGGCTGCTCCGCCGCTGCTGCCGCTGCCTCGGCAGCTGCCGCCGAGGCGTGGCTGGTGCTGAGGGGTCGGCTGCGCTGGCGCTGCTGCTGCTGGGGCTGGCAGGGCCACCAATGTGGGGCCAGCCTTGCTGCTCCTGCTGACGCGGCGGTGGCGGCGGCAGCGCAGCGGCGGGCGGGCAGTTGCTGCGACGCCGCCGCCCTGCCGCAGGCGCGGAGCAGGTGCAGGGGCGCCCTGCCTGCCGCCTGTGCTGCCGCCCCGGGCATGCTGCTGCCGCTCTAGTGCTGCTTGATGTCAGCCTTGCGGCCCTTGCCGCTGAAGCTGCCCTTGAGCAAGGACACGATCCAGAAGAGCAGGGCGGCGACGTGGGCCGCCACGAGCACAGTGATGAGCGGCCCCAGGCCCTCAAAGTCGAAGCCCGTGCCCTTGCTGGGACCAGACAGGCGGCCCGTATTGCCGCGCTGAGGCATGGTGCTAGACGCACTTGACGCCCTGGACATGTGGGGAGGACTGTGCAAACGCGAACAGGGCCAACAGCCTGAGGGCCAACGAGCGCAGCACCCTCCGCAGGACCTGGCCCCGAGTTGTCGATATGGCGCGACAGCGGTGCCAATTGGTTCAGCATCCCTCTCCTTTTCACCTGGCAGAGCGGATCGTTGCAAGGGCCCGGTCAACGCCAGATGGAGCCTGTCGTGCTTATCTCCGCCTGCAAGGGGGAGGCCCGCAACCTGCGCTCCGGCTACAAGCAGCTGGCGCGCCACCTGAAGGCGGCTCGCTGCGATGTGCGGCGCCTGGACGCCGCCTCTGGGCTCACGCCGGCGGCGCTGGCGCAGGCGGCGATCGTCGTGTTTGGCGGCCCCACCCAGCCCTTTGCGCCCAATGAGCTGGACTGCCTGCGCGCCTACCTGCGGGGCGGCGGCAACCTGCTGGTGCTGGCGGGGGAGGGCGGCGAGGCGGCGGCAGGCACCAACCTCAACTCCCTGCTAGCCGACTACGGCCTGCGTGTGGCCGCCGACTGTGTCATTCAGACGGCCTTCACCAGGCGCGCTGCTGCCGCTGCGCCTGCTGGGCGGCAGCCTGCAAAAACAGCAGCATCGTATACTGCAGCAGACGGGAGGTTGCCACTTCTGTTTCCGTCTCAGCCCATCGATGCACAGCACACATGCCACCCTGAGCCTGGTGCCCACCTGCTCCCACTGCTCCTGCTCCCTCGTTTGCAGGTACCTGCACCCCAAGCAGGTGCTGGTCTCGGAGGGCATGCTGTCCCCCGACATGGTCGCCTACTGTGCCAACAACAGCCGCGCAGCAGCCCGGCGCGCCGCCGGGGCAGGCGGCGGCGGCGCGGCGGCGGCGGGCGGCCGCGCCACCGACGAGAACGGGCGCCCGCTGGCCTCCTTTGTCTACCCCAACGGCTCCACGGTGGTGGCGCAGGCCCCCGCCCTGCCCTTCCTGTCCTCGGGCCAGGTGGCGCACCCCTGCAACATGACAATAGGTGCGGCGGCGGCGCCTGGGCGGCTGCCGGGTCCTTTGCACTTCAGCCAGCCAGCTGCCCAGCTGGTGCTGCCATCCGGCAACCTGCGCCGGGCCTGCCCCATGCCACCGCCATCACCATGCCTCGCCAGCATTGCCGCACGCCCCGCCGCCCGCGCTGCCCCGCAGGCGCGGCCTGGTGGCAGGAGGGCGGCGGCGGGTCGGGGCGCCTGGCTGTGCTGGGCTCGGCCGCCATGTTCGACGACGAGTGGCTGGCCAAGGAGGACAACACCGCGCTGCTGGACTTTCTGTTGGGCTGGATGCTGCGGGACCCCGCCTGCGAGCTGCGCCCCAAAAACATGGCGGAGCCGGAGATCGTCGACCCCCGCCCCGTCACGCATGTGGCCGAGCTGGCGGCGAAGCCGCTCGTGTGCCTGCAGGTGGGCTGCCTGGCCTGCAGCCCGAGACGGCAGGCTGCGGGGTGGCAGGACCTGGGGACAGGGAGCCACAGCTGGCGTGCCTCAGCGCTGCGTGGCGCGCGGCAGGCTGCAGGGCAGCCGGTCGGTGCTGGTGCCGGCCTGCTGCCCTGCCCGCTGGTCTCCCACAATTCCCCTGCCCCGGAACACCCTCACTCGTGCCCAACAGCACACGACCCCCACCCCACCTGCCCGCCTGCGCCCACCTGCAGGAGCACGATGACCTGCCTCGCGACATCACCAAGCTGTTTGCCGACAAGCTCTTCAAGCTGGACCTGTCCCTCATCCCGCAGGTGGCGGCGCTGCGGCGCGCCATGGGCGCCGAGGGCGTGCTGCAGCGGCGCGCGCTGCCGCTGTGGAGGCCGCCCCTGGAGGTGCCCTTCCCGCCGCTGCAGCCCGCCGTCTTCCCGCCCGCCTTTGCCGAGCCGCCGCCCCCTTCACTGGAGCTGTTCGACCTGGAGGAGGAGCTGGCGGGGCCGCTGGTGAGAGCAGAGCTCACAGCTTTCCTCGCTATGGGATCCAGCATGGCGCATGCGCCGGGGCTGGCTGGCACATGCGTACCACTGGCCGCGGCGTCCCGGCTGGCGCGGTTTACTGCATGGCGGCAGGGCAACCAAGGAGCCCGCATGCCCCGGCCTGGGTGCGCCTCTACCTCCACCTCCACTGCTACTCCTACCACCCACAGCCTGCCCGCCGGCCCGCTTGCCTGCCTGCCCTGCCCTGCAGGAGCAGCTGAGCCGCGCGACTGCGCAGTTCCTTGCGGCCCCCAAGGCCAGCCAGCAGCTGGAGGCGTACGTCCAGGGCTGCGCTCAGCTGCTGGGCCTGCGCAGCGCGCGCGGCGGTGGCGCCAAGGAGCAGCTGGCCGAGGTGCTGGAGGCGGTGGTGCAGTGCAAGCTGCCAGACTTCTATGCCCAGCCGGCGGCAGGGTCCGGCGAGGACCCGTACTGAGCAGGCCCAGCCTGGCACCCCATCGCTTGCTCCCCATGTGTCACCCAATGAATGCTCGTTTTGCAAGTCAACACTTTGCCATGAGGATATGGCGGGAGCCCGGCATGCTGGGCATGCTGCGCCTGGCGCAATTCCCCGGTACCCGCCTTCCCCTGGAACCAATGGATCCTGCCTGCGCAAGTGTTTTGATTGTTGCTGCGGTTGCGAGTTTACACCCTGCCCTGCCCGCATGGGCGGAGGCCTGCATATGCGTATCACCTCCTGGCGACCCCGCCGCCGCTACCGCGCGAGCGACAGCTGGCGGGTGACGGCGCGCGACAGGCGCGGCACCGCCTCGTCCCACGGCCCGTTGATGGCTGCCTTGAACTTGTGGATGCGCACCAGCCACCAGGGGCAGATGAAGGTGATGAAGAGCAGGGCGCAGCAGAAGGAGGAGGTGAGGAGGATGGACTGGCGGGCCAGCAGCGCGCCCGCGGCGCCTGCCATGGCCAGGGTCTGTCCCAGCTGCGCGGCGCGCCCGGCGGCCGCCACGCAGCGCCGGCAGTACGGTCCCAGTATGTACAGCTCCAGAGACAGCAGCAGCTGCAGTGCGTGGGTGGGTGGGGCAGGCAGGCGTGGCAAATAAGCAGAGGCAGGGGCTGCACAGTAGAACTGCGGGGACAGAACGTGACCGAGGCCAGCTGCCGACAGCTGGCGGGTGGTGGTAGAGCCAGTCGCAGGCTGAGCGCAGGCTGCAGCACACCGGCAACGCGGCGCCCCACGGGTATAGCACCCGTGCCGCCCCACCCCACCTGCGCATACACCGCCTCGGGGCTGCCCAGGCGGCTGGCGATGAGCACGCTGCCGCAGACGGCGCAGCCCAGCGCCAGGCTGGCGCTGAGGTGAGCGGTCAGGTTGGCTGTGAAGTGGTAGTCGTGAAGGTACAGGTGGGCCAGCTGCAGCAGGCAGGCGCAGGCGATGATGCTGTCGGAGCTGACCGTCTCCGTCAGCGTGCCCAGCAGCGGGGATAGCAGCGCGGTGGCCGCCGCCAGGCTGGCCATGCTGCCCGCGCCGTCGGCCGCGCGCCGCCAGCCGAGCCGCCGCTGCGGCCCTGGCGGCCGCCCGGTGCTGCTGCTGCCGCTGTTTGCGCCTGGTGGCGGCTTGGCTGGCGATGGGTAGGGAGAAGGGTCGGGGCTGCCTGGCCAGCTGCTGCCGGGGCTGGAGGGTGCTCCTCCGCTGGGCTTGGCTGGAGAGGCTGGGTGGCTGGTGCGGCCTTGTGCTCGTCCTACTGCTGCGCCTGCTGCTTCCTGGGTGGCTGTCCAGGCGCTGGCGGCCAGGTAGAGCAGGGACCCCACCACCATCAGCAACACATCTGCCAGCAGCAGCTGGCGCACTCTCACGGTGCCCTGCAGGCAGGCGGCGGCGGCGCACCAGCAGCAAGCACGGCCGTTTCACCCCCAGAGCAGCAGGGGAGCCCTGCGCAAGCTCCTAATGCTGCGCTATTTCTCTGCCTTTTCTTGCCAGCGCAACCACTCCCCTGGCTACCCCGGCATTGCCATGCCGCTGCTGCTTGCCTGGTGGAGGTGGTAGGAGGCGGAGCCCACGGCTGCCACCGTGCTCAGCTGCTGGTCAACCACCAGGGTTGACCAGACGACGGTGGCGTAATCTCGGTGCGGCACCGTGGCGTTGACCACTAGCTCTTCCAGGAAACCTTCCCCGGTGTAGGAGTCGTCAAAGGGCTGCCGCTCATACAGCACCTTGCGCCAGCGCTGCTGCTGGGGGCGGCCCGGCGGCGAGCCCGCGCCCGCCTCCGCCGCCGGCGGGCCGGCGCCCGCAGCTGGCGCATGGCGCCGGGGCATTGGCGTATCGCAGGCCGATCTACTGTCGCATGTGCGTTGAATGGGGAGGGCAAGGGATGCAGCGAGCAGTGCTTTGGTGCACACTGCAATCTCAGGTGGAGCTTGCTGAAGCCGTGGCCTTCGGGGCCCGCTGATCAACTGACGATCGCCCTTTGAAGTAGGACGATCATTGCTGCAGCTGCATAGCAGCCCCATTGAGGGCGGGAGAGCTCGAAGAAAGGTGTCGCCTTTCAATGCAAATGGTGGCGCGATGCTGGCTCCAACGGCAGATCGGTTGATTTCACATTGATTGGCGTGACCTGATGGCTTGAATCCTGACGTCTACAGGGCGGCGCAGCCATGGACCCAGCTATGCTCGCAGGCTTTGAGGCGGCGTGCCGAGGGCTGCATGTGAGTGCTGCGCAACCTCGAGGCTCATGCGGGCTCACCATTCCTCGCGCGCAGGACCGCCCTGACTGCCGCCGCCGCTCCCGCCACCGCCGCCCGCCGCCCGCCGCCGCCGCTCTGGTGCGACACGTTGGGGGTCGTGCCTGCCTGCAGGACCCCTCCAATGCCACCCGCGCCCAGTCCGAGCAGGCCCTGCTGGAGTTCCGGCGTGGCGCGGGCGTGGAGGCGGCCCTGGGTGTGCTGCAGCAGTCTGGCGAGGAAGCGGTGCAGTTCCAGGCGGGTCGATGCCGCCTGGCTTGCTGCGGGGTGCCTGGCGCCAGTAGGTTGTGGGGCAGCAGATCATGCCAGCGCCACCACCCTCGCGCTGTGTGTTGCCAAGCTGCCTGCCTGCTGCCTGCCTGCGTCTCCCTGGGCGCCTACCTTGTGCCTGCAGGCGGTGCTGGCGCTGCGCGACATGCTGCTGAGCCGCTGGGCGGGCCTGGGCAGGGAGGTGCAGCAGGGGACGCTGCAGTTCCTGCTGCAGACGGCGCTGGCTGGCGGCATGCAGGGCAGGCCGGTGCTGCGCGCCCAGGTGTGGCAGGCTGGCCGCCGAGCACGGCCCTCCTAGGCAGGCTTGGCATGGCTGGCAGGCACGCAAGCATGGCAGGCCGCCTGCCCTGCCCCTCTCCGGTGCAGGTGCACGCCACGGCGGCCGCCATCATCAAGCGTGGGTGGCTGGAGAACGCGGGAGAGGAGCAGGCGGCAGCGCTGCATGCCATCCACTCAATCGCCTCGCGGCACGGCACGGCTGAGGCGCGGCGCGCGGGGCTGCAGCTGCTGGTCGCCGTGGTGGAGGAATTCTCGCCAGCCACCGCCAGCACCATGGGTCTCAGCTGGTGGGTGGCGCCGTTGCCACGGAGGCAGCAAGGAAGCGCACGGCGCTGGGCATCAGGCTCGCCTGTGCACGTGGCACGCGGCAGACAGCAGCAGCAGGTAGCTGGAGGCATGCTGGAGGTGTGAGGGTTGCAAGGTTCCGGCTGCCCCCGCTGGCTGGCTGCGCAGGGAGGTGCATGAGCGGTGCCGCGAGTCGCTGGAGGATGGGTACCTGCGCGGCCTGATGCTGCACGGGCTGGCCTGCGCGCGGGAGGCGGCGCCGCGCGCGGCGGCCGGCGCCGACGGCGGCGTGTGCGCCGCTGCCGTGACGCTGCTCGTCGCCATCTTTGGGTGGTCCTTCAGTAAGGGTGAGGAGGTGTGCATATGTGTAGTGCCGTACCTCACCTGTCCTTGGAGGAGGTCTGCCAGCTGGGCAGGCAGGCATCGTTAGTTGTGGCTGAAGCAAAGGGAAGCGTAGCAGGGGGGGCCCGCTGTGCCGGCTGGCCACAGGCTGCCTGCTGACCCGAGCCTGCTGGTCCCGCCCGTCGCAGCCAGCGGCAGCGGCGTGTGGCGCGTGCTGGAGTCTGGGCGGCCGGCGGCGGAGGCTGCCCACCTGCGGCCGCCTGCCAGCTGGCGGGACGCCCTGCTCGCGCCCGGCGCCTGGGACTGGCTAGGGCAGCTGGCGCAGGCGCAGTGGTGCGTGGGTGGGGGCCCTGCTGTGCTGCGTGCCGCCACGCCTGATGCATCTTGCCATAGCCTCATGCCTGCCCTCTCTTGCGTGTCCTGCCCTGCATTGCGGTCGTTCATGCCTGGTGGGCCTCCTTGCAGCCCTGCCCTGCATGCCTCATGAGTGGCCTTGCCGTGCCTCCTGCATTGCCGCTGCGCCCCCTGCAGCCAGCCAGAGTACCAGCAGCGCTCAGGCCCAGGCTCCCCGCTCGCCAGCCTGTCGGCGGCGACGCAGCGGCTGGCCGAGCAGCTGTGCGGCCTGAGCGGGGAGGTCTTTGGGCCCACAGAGGTGCCAGGTGGCAGGGCGGAGCTCGGGCTGGCGCCGCAGGTCTGTGCAGCGCCGGCCACAGCAAACAGCTGCCACAGAGCCCTCCTGCTGTGCCGATCTGCGGCCTGGCTGCCGCTCCTCACCTGCGACATGTGCCGTGCGCCTGCGGAGCAGCAGCGCCGCCGCCATGCTCCACAGCATGCAGCGCCGTCCCCTGCATGCAGGCGTCGCTGCGGGAGCAGCATCTGCTCACCATGCTGCGCCTGCTGCTGCCATGGGTCGCCCCTCCGGCGGCCGCCGTGGACGCCGCCGGCCGGGCGGCCACCGCGGTGGGCGGCGGCGGCGGCGGCGCAGACGACAGGCTGCTCTCAGCCTGCCACGCGCTGCTGGCTGCCGCCGGCGTGCACCGCGCCGCGGGCTTTGAGGCCGCCTCTGCCAGCCTGGGCCTGGCGCCCGGCGGCGGGGTGCTGGCGCTGCTCTCCCAGCTGACCACCGCCGCCCTGGCGTCGCCTGCGTTTGGGCTGGAAGGCGACAGCGAGGTGGCTGAGCAGCTGCTGGAGATGTGGGTGGAGCTGGTGGCTGACCCGAGCCGGGGACCGCTGAGGTCGTCAGAGGGAGCGGCGGCGGCGGCGGCGGCGGTGTTTGCGGCCGTCGCCGCGCAGGGGCTGCAGCAGGCGGCGGCAGAGGCGCTGGAGGATGAAGGTGCGTGGGGGTGGGCGTGTGTGTGTGTGTGTGTGGGGGGGGGGGGGTCCATTTCACATGAGGCAAGCTTTTTGATGAGGCAAGCTTTTCGCTGTCCAACCGCCGGTAACTGGCTGAGCCAGCTACCTCCTGGGCTGCAGAGGAGGTAGAAGGCGGCGAAGGCCTGCAGAGCGAGGAGCGGCTGGCGCGGGTGGCGGCCCTGGGGCGGGCCTCTGCAGCCCTGTCCCTGCCGCTGCTTGCCAGCCAGCTGCAGGGCTGCCTGGCCCAGCTGCAGCAGAGCATGCAGTCAGGTGGGCTGACGGCGGCGGATGTTGAGGGTTGCACTAGTGCTCAATCGTGGGGCTCCCGTCTGTGGCTCCTCTCTGCCGCTGCTGCCCTTGCTGCTTTCTTCTGCTGAGAGTCGGCTGCTGCGGCTGCATCTGCTGATCCCCGCCCGCCCTCCGGCCCGGCCTGCGCCTGCAGGCAGCGACCCCAGTGCGGCGATGGAGCAGCTGTGTTGGCTGACGGCCATGTGTGGCCACGTGCTGGCAGACGCAGGGGAGGGAGAGACGCCGCTGGCGCCGCTGCCTATCGTGCAGGCGTGCGAGGCGGCTGCAGCGGCGGCAGCGGCAGGCAGCGGCGCCCCACCGCCTGCAGACCCCGCTGAGCGCCTGTCGGGCGGGCTGCTGGCAGTTGGGGAGCACTGCTTGGCGCATGCGGGCCAGCCAGGCGCCAGCCCTAGGCAAGCTGGCCGTGCTGGCAGGGAGTCGGGCTGCGGGTTTGGGTGGAAGGGTTGCTACTGGGGCCTGCCGCGCTGCCACAAGGCGTTGCCCGGGCACGGCCGCGTCTGCCGGACCTACCGCCTGCCTGTGCCGTGGCCCTCCCTGCAGGCTGATGGAGGTTGCGGCAGGGTCTCTGGCCCGCTGGGCTGACACCTATCTCATGCCTGAGGAGGCGGCGGGGTCGCCCGCGCTGGCCGCCGCCTTTGGGGCGGGCTCGCAGGGCGGCGCCCAGGCAGCTCAGCTGCTCATTAGCTTGGCGCTGGCGGCGCTCACGCGCTACCCGGGAGAGAAGGCGCTGCACGAGGTGGGGTTGCTGTGTGGTTGTTGGGTCTTGCACACCCACCCCTGGTGGCTTGGAGGCCTGCCATCAACCCTGCCTGCCTGCCTGTCCGCCTGCCCGCAGGTTGTGTGCGGTCAGCTGCTGGCGGCGCTAGTGCGGCGGCGAGCGGTGTGGGCCTTGCTGCGGGGTGGCCCCCCCTGGCCCCCGCTGTGCGAACGGGTGGGGTGGTGGGGAGCTGGCCTTCCGCAACTGGGGGGACGGGGTGCAGCGCCCCTGCTGCCATTGGTGGTGCTGGCCGGCAAAGGGGGGGCCCGGGGAGGCGGGCAGCTGGGCGGGGCAGCTGCTGGAGGGCACCGCGGCGCAGCTGCGCCAGTTGGGCGCCAGCGAGGCGGCCGCCAGGGCCGCCCTGCAGCGCGCCGACGGCCTGCACCTCCTCACCTCTCTGCTGGGGCGGCTGAGGGGCGCGGTGCGCGGCACGCTGCCGCCCACGCAGCAAGCAATCCTGCAGCAGGTGGGGCTGGGCGCAGGGGTGGTGCATGAGCCGCAGGCTGCGTCGGTGCAGTTCGCTGCAGCCTTGCCGCCGCCACTGCTGCCACCCCTGACCAGCAGCTGGTGCCGCTCTCCATCAAGTGAAGACATAGACTTTGCCGACCCCTCCCTCTCTGACCATGACCTGCTCCTGGCTGCGGCTGCCGGCTGCAGTTCACCTCTGTCGCGCCCGCCCTGGCCACCCTGTTTCATGCCTGCCGCACCCAGCCCGCCGCCGTCACCCTCATCCTGAAGCTGGCTGGCGAGGTGGTTGACCAGCATGCCGCCTACCTGGGGCCCTCAGACGCCAACGGGCTGTGCGCCTGGGCGCTGCAGCTGCTGCAGCTCTACTCGGCGCACAACTTGGTGGGCGGGGTGTGGGCGGCGTGTGGGTGGCGGGAGGCGAATGGTCGCGAACGGGCAGAGGAGTTGCAAGGGGGGCGCAGGACGCAGGAGGATGGGGGAGGTGCTGGCTCGTATGCACAATGGCCTGTCGAGCTGACCAGCTCACCAGCCGCCCTGTGCTACTGTCAGCAAAGATGGCTGTCTTGGTGCGTGTCCTCCCGCAGGGCCAGGTCAGCGTGGCCGCCAGCAAGGCGCTGGCGGCAGAGGCTCTGTCCGACCGCTACCTCGACCTGCGGGCGCTGCTTAAGCTGCTCGCCAAGCTGACGCAGGCCGACTGGGCCAACCAGGCGCCCAGGGGCGGCGGCAGCGGCCAGGCGCAGGAAGCCGTGGACGTGGCCCAGGTGGGGCTGCTGCCCTTGCCGGTAGCTTTGCCTTCTGCGCCCCGCTCCGCAGATTGTGTCCGTACCGTGCGTGGTTGCTCGGCAGCAGCCTGCCGAGCCTGTGCCTGATCCTCTCCCCTCCTGCTCCATGCCTCGCCTGCTTCCTCACACATGCCCAGCATGCAGATTGTGTTTTCCGGGCTGGACATCCTGGTGCCGCTGCTGTCGCTGGAGCTGCTCAAGTTCCCCAAGCTGTGCCGCGCCTACTTCGCCCTGCTGGCACACATGCTGGAGGTACCGTGTGTCGGCGGCACCATATAATACCGCATGCACCGCTTCACCCTTCCAGATCCGCTCCTGCCACGCTGTGGGGGACCTTGATGCAGCCCTGCTCCGACCTGGCCAGCTGCTTGGAACGTGGGCACGTGCACTCCACCACACTCCCGCACCACCACCCCCTGCAGGTCTACCCCGAGCGCATGGCGGCGCTGCCGCCCTGCACCTTCCAGACCCTGCTGTCCACGCTGCAGTTTGGTGTGGGGGCCACGGGCGACGAGGAGGTGACGCAGTCGGTGTTTGAGGCGGCGGCGGCGCTGGCGCGCTACCATGTGCGGGCTGTGGCGGCGGGGTCGCCGGGCCTGGGGCCCAACAATGCGCCGGGTGAGCGGCGAGCGGCACCGTCGCAGCTGCAAGCAGCAGCAGCAGCAGCATGCATGCATTGATCAGCGCCCTGTCCCTTCCCGGCCAGCAGCATGCATAGCGCATCGGTCTGGGCGGGGGTGCCAGGCCTCTACCTGCTGCAGCACCACACTTTGCTGCCTGAACTGAACGCTGCTCCCCGGAATCGCTGCCGGCCTGGCGGCAGGCGCGGACGGCGCCACCCCGCTGGGCTCGCTGCTGCAGGCCTCGCTGCAGCGCCTGGTTCGGGGGGATGCCGGGCTGGAGGCTGTTGACCATGCGGCAGAGGCGGTGCTGCCGCTGGCGCTGGCAGACCCAGGGGCGCTGCAGCGGGCGGGGGAGGTGCTGCTGGCCAGCTGCGCCGACGGAGCCGCCCAGGTGGGGTGCTGCGCTGCCGCTTGTGTGTGCCTGTGTAGTGCTGCTGCATCGCCTGCCGCAGCCACGGCTGTCTCTCCTTCTGTACTGGCTGAACCTTGCTGCGGCGGCCAGGAGCCGGGCCCGGCACCGACGTGTGCCCTCGTCATTCCGCCCGTTGCTCGTCTGCTGGTGCAGGCCTCTGCGCAGGCGGCCTTTGGCGCGCTGATGGCGCAGGTGGGGGCGGCTGCCAGCCTGGACCGCCCCTCCCGCCGCGCCTTTGCCAAGGCGCTGTCCAAGTTTGTGGTGGATGCCCGCGGGGCGGTCAACGTGCGCTGAGCCACGATTCCCGGTCTTGGTCAACAACAGAGCACACAAACATAAATGTAGTTCTGCAGCAAAGAGTAGCTGTGCTTCACTGCAAGGCTTGCAAGGAAAAGAATGGAGCCCCCGTCATGCGTGCCCCGCCAGCAAGGAGCATGCCACCGCCTGCCGCTGCTGCTCCAGCAGCGCCGCGAAATGGTGTTGGGCCGCGCCGCTTGCCGTGCCGCTCGGCCTGGGTCCCGCTGCTGCTGCCTCGGCCACGCCACGCTGCTGGGAAGCCAGGCCTTCCAGCTGGGCAGGAAGCGCCGCAGCTGCAGCATGGTGCTGCCGCTGTAGTTCTGCTGAGGATGCTGCCAGTGCGTGCCAGGCTGCTTGCTGCGCCGCTGGCTCAGCCTCCCCACCGCTGCCAGGCAAGAGCTGGCTGGCTGCCGCAGACATGGCCTGCAGGTGGTGCAGCAGGTCCCGGTGCGCCGCCATCCAGTCGACACCGCCTGCCTGCTCCGGCGGCGCCACGTGCTGCCGCTCCTGCTGCAGCTGCAGCCGGCACTCAGCCAGCAGCTGCGCCAAGCGCGCCAGCTCGGCGGCATCGTGTTCCTGCATGAGGCCAGCGGGCCGAAGCATCATCAATGCAAAGCGGAACATGCATGACACAGACACAGGCCGATGCAGGGGCCTCACTTGACAGGCCAGCGGTCCCTGCCATGCATCAACAGCCCCTGGTCAAGGAGACACTACACACCTTGTTGAGGTGTGCCGCCGCCGCCTTCCAGCCCAGCGGGTACATGTTGAGGCAGGCGTGGGGGAAGACGAGGGTGAGGAAGGGCAGGGAGCTGGGCGGAGCAAGCGCCAGGAACGCGCCGCCGCCCGGCTGCTGCCCGTTGCCTGCGGCTGCGCACGAGCCGCCAAGCTGCTGCTGCTGCAGCGCGGCCGGCAGCAGCGGCGCCACCTGCTGCGGCAGCACCAGCCGCGCAGCGCGGCAGAGGGCCAGCCGGTACCTGGTGCCATCAAGCTCCAGCACGACATCCATCCACTGCCGCTGCTGCTCCTGTGCTCTGCTGGCGCCGCTGGCGCCGCTGCTGCTGCCGCTGCCGCTGCTGCCAGCGGGGCTGTGCAGTGAGATGTTGACTGCAAGGCGAAGCTGCATGGGGTCCCTGGCCTGGCTATCGACCGCAAACTGCAGGTGCACCGCATCGGGCACCAGCGGGCCTGCGATACGAGGGCAGCTATGCATGCGGTCAGCAGCTGGCTGGGTAGGATTGGCTGAGGTGCAGGATGCGGGGAGCTAGCGTCCACAGCATTGCAGCGGGGGTGCCACCACTCACCTGCATACACCTGCACTTGATCATACTGCTCCGCCGGGCTGACGTGCAGCGAGGCGGCGCCCACAAAGGCGGTGACGGCGGCGGCAGGGCGGGTTCCTGGCAGTGGTGCCGCTGCATCTCCTGCGGCTGTGGGCGCATCGGTGTCTTGCCGGGGCAGCTCCTCAAGCCATTCCTGGGCGCGCAGGAACGCGTGCCTGTCCATCCTCAGCTCGGCTGAGTGCAGCAGACGGGTTTCCACACCAGCGATAGCCGCGCGATCAGCTGCTGATTCCATTATTTCCATTAGCCGCTGAAAGTCCCAAATATTTGCACCGTGCGGTGCGTGCTGCCGGCATTGACCTTTGCTGAGAGCCTCCCCGCGTTCCGGTTTTACCTTCGGAATGCATTTTAGCATCGTAACATCATCCGAGACCCTGAAGGGCCCGTTTCCGCCCCTCCTTGCCATGCCCCGGCAGTGACCCCGCCTGGTTTAGGCAGCTGGACGCATCCTGTGCATCAATTCAGGCCATGGAGATTGATTCCTATGCCACGGAGCTCACGCCGCCGCCTCTGGCGGCGGCCGACCAGCGCACCAAGCGCGGCTTCCTCCCCGAGTTCGCAGACGACCGCAACCGGGCGCTGGACCATGATATCAGGGTGAGAAGCGGAACAGGGACCCCCGCGCCGCCTCCAAGACCGCCTGTATGCAGCGGCTCCCGCCGCCGCCTCCCGTCCGCCGCTGCCGCACATCACTCTACTCTGCTTCTTGTGCATGCAGGCCCTGGAGACGGAGCTGGAGGGCGCACAGATCCAGGTGGACGAGAATAAGGAGCACACGCGGGTGCTGGCGGAGCACCTGGACAATGTGCGGCTGGAGATCAGCCACACGCAGGCGCGGCTGGCGGCGCGGCGCAGGGAGGTGGAGACCGAGGCGCACCTGCAGGAGGTGGCGGCGCGCGAGACGGGGCGCCTGCGGGCCGACATCGCGCGCCTGCAGCAGCGCCGCGGCGAGCTGGAGCAGAGCGCCACGGCCATGCAGACGGAAGCCTTCCAGGCGGGAGAGCGCATGGACCAGTTCAAGCTCGTCCAAAACTGGAATCAGGCACGCGGCGCTCGCATCCCTGCTGTGCGCTCGTGGATTAGAACCTGCACTGCTCGTTCATGCTGCCTGTGGGGCTGGATGCCTGCCCGGCCTGCATGTGGTGCAGCCACCCTGCCTGGCAGCTTTCTCGCCTCATCTGCCCGCAGGAAGAGCTGGAGCAGTGGCTGGCAGCTGCGACACAGAAGGAGGAGGACAACCTGGCGTTGGAGCGGTACCGCAGGCAGGACGAGGCGAGGGTGAAGGAGCTGGGCATGCAGCTGGAGCAGGCGGCGCGCGAGGCGCACCAGACGCAGCGGGACCTTGACGACGAGATAACTGAGACTCAGGTGGGCTGCTTCCAATTGTGGGCTTGATCTTGATCGTGCAGAGAGGAAGAGACATGTTAGAAGCGGATTTGGAGGGAAGGGCAGGTTGCTGCCAGATCAGCTGCGCTACTCCTCCGCCGCCTGCCAATGTGTGGCCACGCACGCACACCTGCCCGCAACCTGCCCCTGCCGCAGGCGGCCCAGACCGAGCTCAGCAAGGCGGCGCAGGACTTCCGCCGCCTGCACGCCGAGCGGCAGGAGCTGCTGCAGCAGTGGGAGGGGGTGCTGGAGGCCATCCGCAAGCGGGATGCTTCCATCCTGGAAGCGGGTGGGTGGGGCTGCCCCATTTGCCAGGACACATGTGCCACAGTGGAAGCCGGGGCACTGATGATGATTGGTGGGAGTGAGCTGTGGCTGGCTGGCTGTTTGGCGCCAGCCTAGTGCTTCCCCTGCTGCTGAAACTGCCGGCCTGCAGGGCAGCAGCATGCGGAGCGCACCGCCCAGCTGGCCACGCTCAAGCAGGAGCTGGCGGTGCAGGCGGCTGAGCTGGACGCTGAGCTGGCGGCAGGTGAGCACAGCACAGCACTCCCCAGCCTGCTCTGTTGATGAATCTGGGCTAATGTGAATATTGTCACGTTCTTGTCTTTGCCTCTCTTGCCTGTTCCTGCTCTTCCCGTATGACTGCCTACCTTTGAGCCTGCCTGCCTGCCTGTCAAAACGCAGGCGCCGCCGCCCAGAAGCGCATCCTGGCTCAGGAGCGCAGCATCAAGGGCCTGTACGGAGCCTTTGCCAGCAGCCAGGCGGCGGTGGCAGAGGCGGAGGACAAAGCCGACCTGCTGTCCAACAGCCTGGGCCGCGCCGCGGACGAGGCGCAGCGGCAGGCCGCCGCCAGCGGGCACCTGCGGGCCGAGCTGGAGCGCCGCGCGGCGGCGGTGGAGGCGGCGCAGGGCCGGCTGGATGCGGCGCGCGTGCGGGTGGCGCTGGAGGGGCACCAGCTGGGCAGCCTGCAGCAGAAGGTGAGCGGGCATGCGCGGGAAACGGAGGCTGATGGCTGGGGTTCGGACGCCACCTCGCTTGCCTCCTCGGCTTTGCCGTGGTGTGTTGCCTGCAACGTCCCTGCCTCTCCCACCCTCAGCCCCGCACCTGCCTCGCCCTCCCTCCCCCCCCCTCTAAACGGCCGCGCAGATCCAGGAGCTCGAGAAGCTGAGGGCCGAGGAGCAGCAGCGCGCCAGCAGCTTGGACAAGGAGATTGCGGCACTGGGCAAGCGCCAGTTTGGCGCAGGGCAGGCGCTTCACGCGGCGCAGGAGCGGGAGCGGCGGCTTGCGTCGGAGAGCAGCGGGGCGCGGGCGCAGGGGCGCAACCTGTCGCACAAGATGGCGCAGCTGGAGGAGCAGCTGGTTAGGCAGCAGGTGGGCAGGGTGGAGGCTGGGAAGGCGGGGGCATGCTGGGAGGCTAGGGGAGGTGAAGCTGCACACTAGCTTCCCGCCTTGCCCCAGCATCCCGAGAAGCTGCCTGGAAGCCACATGCCGCCATAACACAACATGCACCGCCCTTACTGCCTGTACTGTGCAGGAGGTGCGGTACAATGCAGACTACCAGCTGGTGGAGATGGAGCGGCGGGTGGCCCGTGCTGAGGGCCACCGCTCGCGGGACGAGACCGCGGTGCTGGGCGGGCGCATCAAGGAGCTGGAGGGGACGCTGGCGGCGGCGCAGGCGGCGCACGGCATGCTGGTGGAGGAGGTGAAGCGGGCGCAGGACGACTACGGTGCGCATTGTGTTCTTGGGGAATGCTGTGGGGGGGCTGGTTCTGACGGGTGGTGCCTGTTGCATGCCACCCTGTGCATCAAAGCGTGTGGCAAGCTCTTTGCTGGGAGGAGCCTCATGCTGCTGCCGCCCAAGGCGTCCACAGCTGCTGAGCGAGCTCTCTGTCACCCACACCACCCACGCCTGCCTGCCCCGCCCGCCTGCGCAGCCCGCGCGCAGCGGCACAGCCAGGCGGTGCAGCGGGAGCGGGGCGCCATCCTTGATGACATGTCGAGGCTGGCGCTGGAGAGCGGGGCGGCGGGGCGGGCGGCCAAGGCGGCGGCACGGGAGCGCGAGGAGCGGCTGGTTGAGGTGGACATGGGCAGGCTGGAAGTGCGGCGCTTGCGCATGGCACTCAGCAGGCAAGCGCGGCCTGCTGCTTGTTGTCTGCCTGCCATGCTGTTTGCATCCGGCGGCCGTGTGCTGGGGATGGTGGCAGCGGGGGTGGCGGATACTCCCTGGAGCGGGGCTTTCGAAATCTCCGCTGCCCCAGGGAGAGCCGCGGCAAGTGTTCTGTGGCAGGCACCTGCATGGCTGGCCTGGACCATGTGTCCCGCCCGCCTGCCTGCAGCAAGTCTGGGGAGGTGATGAGCCTGGAGACGCGCAAGCGCAGCCTGGAGGCGGGGATGCGGGAGCGGCGGAGCGAGGTGGAGATGCAGCTGGAGCTGATGCAGGCGAGTGCTGGGCGGCCTGGGGACAGGGCCCCGCCTGGCTGGCTGCCTGGCTGGCTGCGTGGGCTCGGGGGCAGGGCCCACCAGCCTGACCTGGGGCTGCATCGGATCGGTGGTGGCCGGCTTGCCTAGGCTGCCGAGCGGCTGGCCTGTGCTTCACAGCCCTCCAGCTGTGCCGCGTCAACCTTGGGGTGACCCACCGCCACCTGTCCTCGCCCACTGAACCGCCGCTGCCCCCACCCACACCGCCCACACACGCCCCGCAGGGCGAGGCCCGGCTGCTGCGGGACGAGGTGCACCGCGTGGCGCTGGAGCTGCAGGCGCGCCAGCTGGCGCTGCAGAAGCTGAGGCGCAAGCACGAGACGCTGGTGCTGAAAGGACGCTGCCAGGATGGTGAGGGCGGGGGCTGGCAGGGGCCCTGGGCTGCTTGTGTTTGTGTGCAGTCGCTGTCAACCATTCTTGATTTTCCTGCCAGCAGCCTCCCTGCAAATGTGTGGTGGCTGCTGCCGCTGCTGCTGGCGCAGGCGAGGAGGCGCACAGCCAGGCGTACTTCATCATCAAGGCGGCCCAGGAGCGGCAGGAGCTGGCAGAGCAGGCGCGGCGCCGCGGGGCACCTTTCCGGCACTGTGGCCGTGCCAGCTGCAGCATGCGGCCGTGCCACTTGTCCTGCACCACCGTGCCTGCCCCGGCACGGGCACGCTGTTTGTTCAACTAAAGCGTCTGTGCTGCCGCCGCCGCTGCAGGCCGAGGCGCTCAAGGCGCAGATTGCGCAGGCGGAGCGGGAGTGCGGGGCGCTGGAGGCCACGCTGCGCCGCCTGGTGGGCACCAACAGCGACATGCACTACCACGCCAGGTGGGTGACGGGCTGGGGTTTTGCGGTACAGGCACTACTGTATGTGTGTTTCCAGTGGTTGTTGTGATGGTGGCAGGGTTGTGGGGCATGTGTGCTGAGGACCAGGGAGTTCGCATGATGGATGGATGCATGGGCATATGGATGTGGAGGAGGTGGGCTTGGCAATATGCACGCAGGCGGGCACGGGGTTGAACAATGGCGCCGTGTCCGTTCGATGCTGGCCCTGGCGCAGGCACAACGGCGTGCAGGAGCTGCTGGATGAGCAGGAGGCGCTGCGCCACCAGCTGGACCGCGCGGCAGCCGCCTTGAAGCTGAAGCTGGCTGCGGAAGGAAGCCGGGCGGAGGAGCTTGAGCAGGTGTGTTGACGACGGTGGTGAAAGCAGGGGTGGTGGTGCGAGAACAGCGTCGATGTATATGCGAGAGGCTCCGTTTTATGCTGCTGAAGGTGCTGCTGCTGCTGCTACTGCCTGCCTCTCTACTTGCAGGCGCAGGCTCGACTGGCAAATGTAGCGGCAGAGGAGGCGGGGCTGCGGCAGCGGGTGGAGGCGCTGGAGAAGCAGAAGGTGACAGGGAGGAGCTGGGGCTTTGGCGCGGGGCTGGCTGCACGAGGTGCCCGCTCATCTTCCAAAGCCCCTGCATGCGCTCCGCCCAGCACCTCTAATAACTTAGCAACTCAGAGGAGGCTGGTGCCCGCTGCGAAGGCACCAGCCTTGCGGAACATTCAATGAGCCGTGGTGCCCTGCATGCCGAGCCGCAGGCGGAGGCGGAGCAGCAGCTGCGCGACCAGCGCCAGCGGCGGCAGCGCGCGGCGCAGCGCGCCGCCAAGCTGCAGGGCCAGGCCGTGGCGGCGGCGCGGGCTGCGGGCGGCGGCCCGCCCGCGGGGATGCCTGCCGAGGCGCTGGTGGCGGATGTGCAGCTGGCCCAGGTCAAGGCGGCCACCAGGGGGATGCTGGAGGCGCTGGGGGCGGCTGCTGCGGAGCACCCTGACCTCAATCTGCTGGCCAGGGTGGAGGCAGAGGCGGGCGTGAAGGTGGCAGGAGAGCCGAGCAGGCCCGGCTCCGCCTCGGCACGCAGCCTGTGCAGCGCTGTATCATCCGCGCGCAGCCCCGGCGGCAGCAGGCCCGGATCCGCGCCGCGCGCCGAGGGCGGCTCCAGGCTGGCGGCAGCCGCGGCAGGGACGGCGGCGCGCAGCCCGGGCGGCAGCGGCAGCCGGCCCGGAAGCAGCTGCGCAGGCAGCCTGCGGTCGGCGGCATCGGCGCGGGGCAGCCCCGCCAAAGCGCCCGCCGTGCAGACCATACAGCTGTCCCTGTGACAATGTGGAGCCAGTGTAACAACACTTGAAGAGCAGGGCGTGGAAAGGAAAGGACACAGGTACTCCAAGGTTGATCGAAGCCAACGAGAACTGGTTGAGTCAGGTGCTCAGGTTGAGTCAGTCGCCTTGTTTTCTTCGACCCCACTCTATATGTTCCCAGAATCGCCCCTCAACCACCCCTGCACCACCAGGGAGTGCCAGGACGCGGCCCTGGCAGCCATGCACGCCCAGCAGGAGGGGCAGGGCCCCCAGCAGGCCGGCTCCATCTTTTCCCCTCGCCCCGGCGGCGGCAAGGAGGTCCCCGGCCACGTGCACGGCGGCAACGCCTTTGTGTCCGTGCTCGCCTCCGGCGCCGGCGGCGGCCGCGGGCTGGACAGCCCGCTGCCCGGCGACCTCGCCTCCCCACGCACGCCCGCCAAGGGCAGCAGCCTGGCCGCGGACGACAGCATCACCCCGCCAGGCACCGGCGACAGCGACGCCGCCCCCAAGACTGTTCGCTTTTCGGATGAGGAGCGCGACAACCTGCATGTGGGGCTGAAGGTTTCCTCCAGGAGCTCCAGCGCGGTGAGAGGCTGGCGGGCCCATGCAGGGGTGGCGTCTGCGACTGCGCCCATTGCCCTTCCTCTGCACGCCCCTGCCCTGCATACCCCTCCCGGCGCGCTGGCTGTTGTCTGGGGCTGGGCGCAGCCCTGGGGCTCGGGTTGCTGGCAAATGCGTTGCCGCTACTGTGCGCATGCCTGCTGCCCGGCCGCTGCAGGACTCGCTGCACCGCAGCTACGATGCGGCCTACGAGCGCCGCGAGGTGCCGCCGGTCGCCTCGGGCTTCCACGTGGTGCACACCGCGGGTGGGCACGGTGGTGGGCTGTGCTCGGCTGGGCTGGGCTGGGCCGAGCTCGCTTGTGTGGCACCACCCCATTGTTCCTTCCAATGTTGGCCCATCTGCCTGCGGGTTCGTCCCTGCCCACCCAGCCTGGCCTGCCGCACTTGCCCCCGACATGCCCTGCGCAGGCGGCCGGCTGGAGGCAGTATCCAGCAGCGCTCGGTGGGAGGATGTGGTGGGATACTCCCGAGCCGTCAAGCGAGGCCCCTTCATCTACGTGTCGGGTGCGCCGACAGGGTGTGAGGGATGGTCTGCTGGCGGCCCGTCCAGGCCTGCATGGGATGCTCTGCGATATGCGATAAGAAGCCGGCAGCCCAGCGAACTGCTACACTTCCCCGCTACCCGCCAACCCTCCTTCTCCCACAGGCACCTCTGCTGTGGACCAGGCGAGCGGGCGCGTGATGTACCGGCGCGATGCATACAAGCAGGTGGGTCGAGCACTGCGCTGGCAGCCTCTGCCTCACTGGTGACCTGCCCATGTAGCCGGTGCCTGATTGGCTGCGATCCTGCACGGCCGCTTCTGCCGCCCCGGTGCAGACGCGCCTGGCCTTCACCATCATCGAGCGTGCGCTGGAGCAGGTGGGCAAAGCCCGCCGTGCTACGCGCTGCACGTAGGCATTGCCGAACACACACCGCCCACACGCTAGTAGTTGCAGGCCTGAGCGAGCTGCGCCGCACCATGCCTGCCGCCCCCTGCAGGTGGGGGCCACCGTAGAGGATGTGGTGCGCACCCGCCTCTTCGTGCGCAACCTGCAGCGCGATGGAGAGGCCATCAGCAAGGCGCACGGCGAGGTGGGCGGCCAGCTGTGGCAGCTGGGGCGCTGCCGACGTGGCGGGGTGCGGCAGGCGTGCAGGCAGCAGCCGGGCTCGCCGTGTGATGGCGTTGCCAGCGGAAGCTGCCAGCTGGTCGCCTGGTCTGCTGGAAACTTCGGCTGGACTGAGTGCTAGGTGCTGGCCTGCCCACTGCTGTGCAGGTGCTGGGCCACGTTAAGCCCGCCAGCACAATGGTGGAGGTGAGCGGGGACCACACAGCTATGCCGGACCACGGCAGGTCTGCTGTGCGCTGCGCCCTGCCGCTTGGGGCACGGCGCCGCCGTGCTCCAGCCTGGCTGTGAGCTTGGGGCACGGCGCTGCCGTGCTCCAGCCCGGCTCTGAGCTTGGGGCACGGCGTCGCCGTGCTCCAGCCTGGCTCTGAGCTTGGGGCCCGCCGCCGCCGTGCTCCAGCCCGGCTAGGTGCAGCCGGCCGCTGCAGCCCTGGCTGCATCGATGAGGCAGCTTGCTTTGACACACACATGTGCTCCCACCCTGCTGCGGGCGGCAGGTGGCGCGCCTGGTGCACGAGGACATCCTGGTGCTGATTGAGGTGGACGCAATCCTGGAGAGCGAGGGCCTGTGAGCGCCAGCCTCAGCCGGCGATGGGCAGTCGGCCTGGCAGCGCCGCCGCAATGCTGGGGAGAGGTGCTGCTGGCACCTGCGCACAGTGCTGGCAAGCACAGCACCCACCCCAGCTGCCAGCAGCCCCCCTATGAATTTTGGACAGCAAAGCCTCGGCACCCTCTGCTCACCCACTGTCGTGCACGCGTTGCACAAGCAAAGTTGCCAAAACGCAGTCGAGTAAATACAATGTAATAAAGTGACAGGTCAGGGTCAGGTCAGGTTGGGGTGGGGCGTCATGCCGTCAGCTGGGCTGCAACCCAACCGCTAGCGCTCACAGCAGCCAGACGGCCTGGCCTCACTGCACCGAGCAGCTGGCGCCGCCGCTCCCCGCGTCGTGCATGGCTTGGGTGTAAGCCTGCTGGCAGGGGAAGCCAGCGGGCGCAAGTCAGCTGCCATGGGAGCGTTCTGCACTGCCCAGCAGAGCGCACAGGTAAGGCCCGCCGGCAGCCCACCTTGCAGTGGCAGCGCTTGTCCTCAGGCACGCCCTCAAGAGCGTAGTCAATGTGCTTGCCGCACCCAACTGCACCCAGAGCGCAGCGGCGGCAGGGCCCGGGTGTCGGTGGCGGGGCGGCGGCGGTCGGCAGGCGGCAGCGGTGGCAGCAGGCGGCAGAGGCGGGAGCCACAGGCGGCCTTCCGCGAGCGCCCCTAAGTCCCAAATCCCAGCGGGGCACGAGCTCCAGCAGCAATCGCGTCAAGTTTGTGAGCTGGGTAGCGTGGGAGTGGGCACCCTGCCTCTGTGCGCACGGCCAACGACCCAGCACCCCTGCAATGGATGGGATCTCGGCGGCACACTCACCCCACGTCGCTCTTCTGCACTTGACGCAGACGAATTTGTGGCACATGCCTGGCCTGCACCGTTTGTTGATGCCGCGTTACTCGACCAATGATCAATCGCAAGATGGACGAGAATTGAGTACATCTGAGCAGAAGGCGCTCATCAGATGACATCTCTCGTAAGTCCTGAGCTGGCGGCGGAGAGGGCGCCGGCGCCACCATGAGTGACCTCAGTTCGCTCATTTCTGGCGGTCACTGTGCTGCTCAATGTGTTACTTGTTGTTCACGTGTTCACAGAGGGGCGGGCACAATTTGAAATGCATCTGGTAGAACGGGCGCTCAGAAAACTTCATCGTCGGAAACGAAAGGACAGAAGAAGGCTGGCCACGCTTGTCTCGGAAGCGCGCTCCACAGGCAAGGGATGGCGGCAGAGAATGAAAGAAAAAATGGCAGACATGCAGACTAGTATGTGATTGCAGTGCTGATACTTGGTTTGCGTCATTCTGATGGGGAAACGCACGGATAGCCTCGGGGCCCTCATGACGTCGCGCCCTGGCAGCTGCTGCCCGCCCCCGCGGTGCACCCAAAGCAGTGGCTGTCCACAGCGATGCGCTGGCCTGCGGCAGCGGCGTGGCGTGGCAGGCAGGGCAGGGAGTGTGGCCCCTGCACTGACACACCCACAATCTCCACGTGCCTTATCGGTGGCCAGCCAAGGCACAGCCAAACACCGACCATCCTCAGTAACCGCGTCACTCCACCACATCGCTCCCTTACCTGTCAGCTCCTCCAGCGACTCGACATCAAACACGGTGCGCAGGCCGGGCGTGGTGAGCCCCAGCTCCAGCTGCTGGTTGAAGTCGCAGTCGTACAGCCTGCAGGGCAGTGCGGTACAGGCGACAGTTGAGACACAGCCACCGTGTGCCAGCTAAGCGCTGCGTGCGCTCACAGATATGCACCCCTGGGCTCAGCAGCACACCCCCTCTACCACATGCGCCACACCCACACAACAGCAGTGGGCAGGCACGGCGCCTCAGCGCCCACCTGCCGTCCCAGCCCACGCTGATTGTGTCGCGGCACATCACGCCCTCCGCGGCAGCCGGGTTGAAGCTGTCCACCAGCAGCGCCATGTACTCCTCCAGCTTGCCCCTGGGGGAGGAAAGAAATGAGGAAGAAAGCAAGAGTGTCTGGATATGCGGTGCCCAAGGGGCAAGGCCCATGGCGCATGATGAGGGCAATCAGCAATGGAGCGAGAGGGCCGCCAGCTCAGCGAGGGGGCGCCAGCTCAATCCTTCTCAGCCTGCCATTGCTTGCTCACTCTTTCACCAGGTGATCCGCCCAGCGCTTGATGGGCATGTTGTTGAGGCACAGCAGCGAATTGAAGGTGATGCCAAAGTTGTCGGCAAGCTCCTGCAGGGGGAGCCAGGCCAACAAAAAACTGCCGCTGGGTGGTGTTTGGGGATCAGACGCAGGCTGGTTGCGGGGATGGTGGGCAGGGGCCGTGGAAGCGGGCTCGCGGAGGGGCCCCAAACCACCGCCACCGCCGCCACCACTACCAACAACGACACACCATCACACATGCAGATACACATACACCGCAGACACAGCGCAGCCCCACCTGCTTGTACACAGGCTCCAGCTTGGCCTGGGGCGGCGCCAGAAACACGCCCCCGGGGTTGTACACGAGATCCAGCGACAGCCCGGAGCCGGGCTGGCCGTACCCTACGGCATTCAGCGCCTGCAGGCCGGCGATGGAGCGGCGGAAGACGCCGCCGCCACGCTGGCTGTCCACGTTCTCAGCAGAGTAGCAGGGCAGGGAGGCCACGACGCGCACGCTGTGGTCTGCCAGGAAAGCGGCCAGGTCCTCCTGGCCGGGCTCCAGGAGCACTGCAGCGGGCGCAGGCAGGCGGGCGGGGACCGGGGCAGGTAGGCGGGCTACGATCCAGGGGGCTACGACACCAGCTTGGCAGCTGGCAGCAACGGGAGTGGGCCGTTCCGTCGCGCCGCTGCACGCACCACACCGCAGAGCCCGCTCGCAGCGCGCAGCAGCGGCTGGCCCACCACACCCACCTGTCAGGTTGCAGCGGTCGATCACCTCATGGCCCAGCCGCCGCGCCTCGCGCACCAGGTACCTGCGGCAGGACGGGGTGGAAGGGCGGGCGGGCAGGCCGGCGAGAGCACGCGGCAGAGTGAGGCTCGGTGGCGCTGCGCCCCAGGCGGCGAGACGCCGCCCTTCGCTGCGTGTGCGAGGCCCTGCACACCAGACGGGGGGTGGGCACCACGCTTGCCGCCGCCGCGGCACCCTTGCCTGAACTGCGGCGTCAGCTCAGGCGCCCCGCCGGTCAAGTCCACAATCAGCTTCCCGCTGCTGCCGGTCCCACTGCTGCTGCTGCTGCTGCTGGCTGCCGCCGCCGCGCGCTCCATCAGGTGCACGCAGCGCTCCGCCACCTCCTGGCTCATCATCTCGGTGCGCCTGCAAGGCCGGGAGGGGCCGTCAAGCAGGGGTTGGATCAGAGCGCTGCTGGTGGGCCGCACACGCCGGCTGAGAGGCGAGTGCACGCACGCCGGGCGAAGCAAGCTGTCGGCGGCAGGGCCGGTGTGCGTCTCTGCATTGCAGTGGGTGGCGGAGCATGGGCTGGGGCCCTGTACTCACTTAGGCGACGACTCCACGTGGCAGTGGCGGCAGGCTTGGTTGCAGTAGAGGCCTATGTTGAGCTGGAAGACGGCGGTGGGGCGGCGCACCAGCGGGCTCACTCCTGAAGCCTGCACAGGCGGGGCAGGGAGGGCGGGCAGGGTGCATATGGTGATTGGTACCAGGGTAGAGCAGCCTGACAGGAGAGCGAGCCGCGGCCATGTGCGCTGCTTGGTCCTAGTCGTGGCCCAGCCAAGGCAGCCTGTGAGCTCGTCTGTTTTTCCGCTGCCTGTGCTGCACACGCGCAAGCATGCATGCAGCCAGGGCTGCCTCCACCTTCAGCACTTGGCCAAATGGCGCCACCCCCAGACGGTCCAGCGACCGCTGCCGCCGCTGCTGCTCCTCCCTCGTCAGCGCCGCCTGCAGGGAGGCGCCCACAGGCAAGGGGGCCAGGGGCAGGCTGGTGACGGCAATGCCGCGAGACCACCGGGGGGCAGACGCAGCTCAGGTGGCTGGGGAAGCACCCCTTGATGCCCTCGCATGCGATGCTCCTGACCGAAGGCCTGTGCGGTGCAATACCCCTCAGCCCCACCTGCCCCTCCTGCTGGATGCGGGCATGCAGCTGCTGCAGCTCCTCGTCGCTGTCCAGCTCTTCTAGGGTCTCGGGGATGAGCGAGGTGAATGCGGGCTCCGTCGGCGCCGACGGGCTGCCAGCGCCCGCGGCGACAACAGCCGCGTTCCGTCGCCTGCAACAGTGGATGAGCTACACCTTGGATCATTACAGCCGATGCACCAAGCTTGAGTTTGTGGCCCCAAATCGTGCACAGCTCCGACCTACCTCGGCCTGCCGGCGGCAAAGGCTATTGTCGGGCGGCGGCACGTGACAGCGGAAGCGGCGGCGGCGGCGGCGGCGGCGACGACGCTGCATGGCGGCTTGGGCGCAATCCGCGCTGCTCTAGGCCGCCCTACGACTGTGCTGCTGGCGCTCATGTTCAGCATATGGCTCGAGGGACGGTGGAATTCGGCAGGTGCAGCTTGCACCAGCCGGCCTCTGTCCACACTACTATCAGTGCAATGGTAAGGGATCAATGGAGTGTAAGTGGACACCTAAAGGGCTGATGTCAACATGAGGGCAATATGAAGGCAGGACGCCTCCGAGTCAGCATGCGCCCTCGCTGTGCCGAGCGCCCAGCCCTGTCCTGATCACTCAGAGTCCCAGAGTTGCGCCCGCCAAGCCGCAGGAGGGTTTAGCCCGATCACCCTTCCCTAGCAGGGTTCCAGGCTTCCTCAGCGACCGCCTGTACGTCCGCAGCACCCTGCCCCAGTCCTTCTGCACCTTCACTGAACACGAGAAGGAGCGCAGGCAGTGTGTGGCTGGTCGCCCCTCGCAACTGCACGCGGGAGGCCCACAATGCGCGTGGGCACGGGGGCCTCAGCCTCCACCAGCGGAAGAGTGCCCGAGAACGGTCTGCTGGCGGCAGCGTCAGGCCGGCAGCAGGCGGCAGTAGCAGGCGGTCTGCTGCCGCGGCGCCTCAGCGGAAGACGGAGGGTGCGACCCGCAGCCCTTGCCGCCTGTCCCAGCAGCCTGGGCCGTCTATCCTGCTGGCGGCAACCGCTGGGGCTTGCGCACGCAGGTGGCCGGCTGGCCCCGCGGCGCCAAGCACAGCTGCAGCTGTGCTGTTCCTCAGACAGCGGCAGCGGAGGCGGCGGCGGCGGGAGCGGCAGCGGCGCGGGTGGCAGCACAAGCACCGGCAGCACCAGCGCCAGCACCAGCACTAGTGCCAGCGCCAGCGGGACTGAGCCTCCCGCGGAGCGCCGGCCGCAGGGGCCCAAGTCAGGTGGGACCAGGCTGGCACGCTTTTGTGCTCAGGAAGCGGTGCCTGTAATCGCCGCCCAACGCCTTGCGGTCCTGCCTGCTGCTGCCTAGCCCTGCTGTCTGCATCCTACCTCGCTTCACGTCCCTTTCTGTGTGACTGCAGCACATTCACGCCTGCCGAATCACTGACTCGCAGTCTGCCGCTGCCGCCAATGTCTGCAGGCCGCAATTCCACACCCTCTTCCTCCTCCTCCTCCTGGTTCTCCCGAATGCTGTCCACGCTCAAGGCACAGCGGCCGCTACGGATACGTGCGTACGGGCTGCCAGTAGCAGAGAGCGGGGCAGCAAAGCAATGCAGCAGCACTTTTTGGAGCCCTGCCAGCCCCGCATGCTGCCCCGCAAAGCAGCCCATCCCGGCTGGTCCTGCTCTCGCCGCAGCGCCATCTCCTGCTCCCCTTTGCCATCCCCAGGCCGCGCCTCCCCTCCTCCCTCCCATTCTGACCTTCTTACTACTGGAAGGAGATTCCTTCTTTCTTCCCTGCAGTGCTCAACGGCGCCATGCTCTTTTTCATCATGCGCTTCTGGCCCATGCCCGGCGGCCGCTCGCCGCTGGGCCAGGTGGAGCCCATCACGGTTCAGGCACGCGGCGCCGCGCCGCCTGCCTGCGGCCCGCTGCCGGGCAGTGACGGCGCCATGCATGCGTGTGGCGCCGCCAGCCCACCTCAACACCTGCATACACGCATGGCCACCAGCGCACCGCACGCTGCTTGCACCCGTCCACCCCTTGCCCACCTGCCCTGCAACCACCAACCCAACCAGCCAACCATAGCCACAACATGCACCTCCATGCCTGCAGGTCGCCTTCAGCGAGTTTGTGAAGCAGGTGCAGAAGAACGAGGTGCAGCGGGTGGTCATCGACTCCGCCGCCCACGCCTTCACCTTCACCCTGCGCCCCTCCTCGGCCCTCTACAAGATGATCCCCGGTGTGTATAGTGGTGGCCGGAGGGGACGCGGGTAGGGGCGCCGGGGTGTGGGCTGCCAGTCTGTGGGCTGCACAGCTGCCTTGCCTGGGATGTGCCTGGCAGCCGTGCGCGCACCGCCTCTCCCCTCGGCGTCCACCCCAGCCCCGGGTGGGTAACACCCCCTGCTGCCCTGCCGTGCTGCAGAGTCTCTGGACCGCAACCACCTCACTTTCCAGACCATCCGCCCCTCCGACTACCCCACACCCTACGAGTCCATGCTCAAGCACAACATCCAGTTTTCTGCCATGGACAAGAAGGCGGGGCGCCTGTCCACCTTCATGGTGGGTGAGGGGAAGGAAGAAAGATGGGAGGGAAGCGGGGAAGAACAGGGCATGTGAGGGTGCAGGGCCTGGAAGGCGGGCAGGCTGATGCCCGCACAGAAGGACAGCCAGCCAGCCGACCCACCCCCACCTGCCCCCCCGACTGCCGCAGACCTACGCCGTGTCTGCGATGATTGTGATTGCGGTGCTCAACCGCCTGCCCATCAAGCTGCTGCCGCAGCGGGGCGCGGGGCGGCGCCACGCCACGGTGCAGACGCAGGTGGGTGGGCATCCGGTGGGGTCTTCTGTGGCATGGCAGCCACGCAGTGCTGTCGCAACAGCCAGGCATGCCTACCGCCTGCACATCACCAACCAGCCGTCGCATGGCGCCACGGCGCCCTCCACAGCCTGCTCCCTTGCACGCCTCCTCACCCGCCTCAACACTCCCGTGCAGAGCCCCGTGATGTTTGATGACGTGGCGGGGGTGGACGAGGCCAAGGAGGAGCTCAAGGAGATTGTGGTGGGTGGCAGGCTGTGCTAGCATTGTACTGCCACCGCCGTACTGCCGCAGCACCCGCGCCGTAGCCCCCAACCCTGCTCCCATGCACAGTGCACACACCCTCACGCTGTGCTGCCGCACTCTCCTCTGCACCTTCTTCTGCCCCTGCCCTCAGGACTTCCTCAAGTTCCCCGACAAGTTCACCCGCTTGGGCGCCCGCCCGCCCTCAGGCGTGCTGCTGGTGGGCCCTCCCGGCACCGGCAAGACGCTGCTGGCGCGCGCGGTGGCAGGTGCAGGCACTGCAGCTGCGTGCGCGCGCGCGCGCGCGTGTGTGCAGCCCGCGTGCTCTCGTGTGGCGTGCCCCGACGGCACACCCTGCGTTGCCGTGACGCTCACCGCTGCCGCCGTGCCCGCTGCCGCAGGCGAGGCAGACGTCCCTTTCTTCTCCATCGCCGCCTCGGAGTTTGTGGAGCTGTACGTGGGCATGGGCGCCATGCGCGTGCGGGAGCTGTTTGCCACGGCGCGCAAGGAGGCGCCGGCCATTGTGTTCATCGACGAGATAGATGCCGTGGCCAAGGGTGGGCGGGGCGGGCGACGGATGCAGCGGGGCCAGCGGAGGCCAGGCAGGAAGCCTGGCAGGCAGCCAGCCCTGCGCTGCAGCCCCGCTGCGCCCCGCTGCGCAGCGCTGCCGGCTGGCTCCAGGTTACCCAGGCAGGAGGTTGCGCTTCTAGCTTGCCCTGGCCAAGGACCTAGCACCTCCGCCGTTGGTGCTGCTGTGCCCGCCGTGCAGGGCGCGACTCGCGGCTGCGCAGCGTGGGCAACGACGAGCGGGAGCAAACGCTCAACCAGCTGCTGACGGGTGCGGCGCCCGGCCCTGCCCCTGCTCCGCTGCCCCCAGCTGTTTGGCTGCTTGCGAGGCGCGGTGGCCGCACTACCGTGGCGCAGCCCCTCCCTGGCCCTCTCCCCTCCCTACTTACCTCGCTCCTCCTTGTTCCCTCGCTCTTTCTCTTAAATGACACCGCAGAGCTGGACGGCTTTGACACCCACAGGGACAACCTGGTCATCTGCATCGCCGCCACCAACCGGCCCGACGTGCTGGACGCCGCGCTGCTGCGCCCGGGCCGCTTCGACCGCCGCGTCAGCGTGGAGCGGCCCGACAAGCAGGTGGGGGTGCCGGTGCAGGCCCTTAGCCCTGGGCAGGAGGCCTTTGGCCCAGGGGGGTGCGTGCGCACCAGCAGTGTTGTGTGGCTGTGGGTGGGAGGGTGGGTGGGTGGGCGCGCTCGGAGCCGGGAGCTTGGTCTTGCAGCCTGGCCTTTGGCCCTGATGCGGCCATCGTGGGGCAGGGCTGGTGCCGCGCGTGAGCAGAGGGCGTGACCTGACCCTCCCAGCCCCCCCTGCCCCCTGCCCCAAGCCCCCAGCCCGTTCCTGCCCCCTGCCCTTGCCTGGTTGCCTGCAGGGGCGGGAGGAGATCCTGCGGGTGCACATCAACCAGCGGGGCCTGCCCCTGGGGGAGGATGTGCGCGTGGATCAGCTGGCGGCGCAGGTGGGCTGCTGCCATCCCTCCCCTCCCTGCCATCCTCTGCCTACCTGTGGGGCTGTGATGTCCCTTCCGCCCTTGCCACTCGAGGGCACGGCCCCTCTCTGCTTGCAGCCGATCAACCGTGCCCTCTCTGTGCCACTCCCCCTCCTTTCCCGTAGACCACCGGCTTCACCGGCGCCGACCTGGCCAACCTGGTGAACGAGGCGGCGCTCCTGGCGGGGCGCGGCAACAAGGGTGCGCCTCCCACCCTGCGCGTGCTCGCGGCGCCACCTCCCGCGCTCGGTTGCCGACGTGCCTGCAACATGCCTCACATCCCCCGCACCCAAAGCCATCACATCACACTGGCCCGCCCCACACATCCCCGACGGTTGCTGCTTGCGCAGGCCTGGTCACCAACGCCGACTTTGACAACGCCGTGCTGCGGGCGGTGGCGGGCATCGAGAAGAAGCGCAGCATTCTGCAGGTGGGCCAGGCGTGCAGCTTGGCTCTGCTCGCCCCGCTGCCGTGCCAGCAGGCCCGCTGGCTAGCTGCTCAGCCCCCTCGCTCCTGTCCCAAGCTGCCTTCCTACGTGTGCGAGGTGGTGGCTGCAGGGCGTGGAGAAGACTGTGGTGGCGCGGCACGAGGTGGGGCACGCCCTGGTCTCGACAGGTGAGCAGCAACCCTCCAGCAACCCTCCCTCCCACAGTTACTCACCGCCCACCAGCGCCGCATGGCGCCCTGCAGCCTGCGGTGCCGGAGGAGCCCCATTGCCTGCCCCTGCTTCCTGGCACTCAGGCCCACACCCAGCCATCAAGTTGTTGGGCCCTCCCCACCCACCCCCCCGTTGCCGTGCTTGCCGCAGCGGTTGCGGCGGTTCTGCCGGGCAGCCAGGGCCTGGTGGAGAAGCTGAGCATCATCCCTCGCTCCGGCGGCGCGCTGGGCTTCACCTACATACCTCCCAAGACGGAGGACAGGTGGGCCTGCGCTGAGCTGGCACGCGCTGAGCTGGCATCTGTCCTGCGAGCGTGGCGACCCCTGGAGCCGACGCATGTCTTATGGTGTTGTGCTGCCGCAGGGCGCTGATGTTTGACTCCGAGATCCGCGGCCAGCTGGCAATGCTGATGGGCGGCCGCGCAGCCGAGGAGTTGACATGCGACGCCGGTGGGCGTGCAGGGGGCGGGCGCTGGGGCCATGTGTGCGGAGCGACCCTGCTACGGCGCCAGGGGCCCTGCTACCGCGTGCTTGTTGGGATGGGAAACTGGCCCTGGTACTGTTACCTGAACGAGAGCTGCGTGTGTGTGCTGGCCCTGCCTTTCTGCCTGCAGTCAGCACCGGGGCTGTGGACGACATCCGCAGGGCAACCGAGCTGGCCTACAAGGCCGTCTCGGGTGAGGCCTGCAGCCGGCTGGCGCCAGGCACCTGTCTGCGAGGCTGGGCTGCGGCGTCCAGCTGCATCGACTGTTATCCGGGATGCCGCGCCCGGTTGCAGCAGAGCCCGTCGAGCCCGAGCTGCCTGTGCCTGACCCCATTGTCCTGTCCTCACACCCTCCTTTCTTTCTTCCCTGGCAGAGTATGGCCTCAGCGCCGCCATCGGCCCGCTGTCTGTGAGCACCCTGATCTCAGGAGGGGACGACTACTCCCTGCTCAAGGACAGCGGCAGCGACATGGCCAGGTTCGTGGGCTGGCATGAGCTGGCTCGGGCTGCACCGCGCTGGCAAGCCAGAAACCCGGCCCGCCCAGCTGCTGCCACACGCAGTTGCATGCTTGTCCCGCCTCTCTTGCTTGCACACACATCCACATCCACGCGCACACACACACACACACACCACCGCCGCCCACCCCGTGTGTGCAGGACTGTGGAGGCGGAGGTGAAGCTGCTGTGTGAGGGTGCGCTGATGGTGGCCCGCGACGTGGTGTCTTCCAACCACCGCCTCCACGACAGCCTGTCGACAGAGCTGCATCAGGAGGAGCGGGTGGAGGGCTCGGCGCTGCAGGTGGGGCCCTGCTGGGACAAGGGGGGCGGCAGCGTGGCTGCTGGCGGGCTGGTGGGCTGGCTAGTGAGTTTCGCCAGCGCATTTTGCCTTGTGTTGGGGGAGAGCCCTCTGGACTAGCTGGGGTGGCAGGCCAGGCCGGCAATTCCGCTGTCTTCCTGCCTCTCCTCCCCTATGTGGCGCAGGAGTGGCTGGGCGACGTGGCTGTTCCGCAGTCCCTCAAAGACTTTGTCTTGCTTGGCAAGACGCCCGCCGCCGCCAGGGAAAAGGCCGCCGCAGCGATGAGAGCCAAGCAGGCCGCCCGCACCAACAGCCGGCCAGCGGCGGCCCATTGCCGCTGCTGTGCTGGCTTGGCAGGCTGGGCTTGGTCGCGTCCTCTCCTCAGTTTCTGCCCTGACGGTCTCATGTCTGAGAGCCCGAGAAATAATACAGAATGCGCTGCCAGCAGCAGCAGCGGACGGCGGGGCGGCGGCAGCAATACATAGCAGCCGCCCCTCGCATATGTAGCATGCATGTTTTACCAGTGTCGTCCTTACCTACCACAGGCACACCGTTACCAGCTGAGATGGCTCCCTGTATCCTTACCTGCTGACCCTTCGTTTCATCTCTCCCCATTTAGTGGCACGTGCACGACCTCTGAAGCTTTGGCACCGCATTTGGTTCCGATGTAAGAATTGTTTGCTGTCATGTTTGCTGTTATGGCGCAGGAGGTGAATGAACAAGTGACAGCACCGATGGCCCCGGCAGCAGCGCCTGGCGCCAATGATGTGCCATGCCCCTGCCCCTCTGCTGCTTGCCAGTGTTGGGCTTACAGCTCTCATGTTCAACAGCTGCCTGCCATGGACAGGCAGATGGGGGATCAGACGGAGCCCTCTCATTCCGGGTGTGCAGGGCCATGGAAGAGCTCAGCGATGATGCATGATGGAAGCAATGACAATGGCTGATCCAGCTATGTCTAGCAAGCATCTGGGAGAGGATATGATGCCTAAGAAAAGAATGCAGCATGTCTAATCTGGCGGGTGGAGGAGGCTGCTGCGCGATAACACATATAAGGCAAGGCAGCGGAGCGGCAAAAAAGCAAAAGAAGAGAGAAAGGGATGCCAGGGTAAAGAAGGGATTGTATGGTTGTTATTGTGCGACACAATGACAGATCTTGGAATCGCTGCCCGGGCATGAATAGCATGCGCCGCGGCAGCGCGGCCCATCAGGACCAGCATACGTAATAGGTGTATTGGTGCAACAGTAGGGAGAAAGACGAATAATAAGGCGGCACGCTTGATGGGCGCTCGCGCCAGCTGGGCCAAAGAGCTCACTTGTTGCAGCTGAAAATCTGCAGGCAGGTGGAGGCAGCGGGCAGGCACGCCAGTGCGATCAGGAAGCGCAGGGCCACTGGAGCTGCTGCCTGGCACACATCTCTGCGGGGCAGCTGAGCCCCGCCTTTCCCACCACCACCGCCACCATCACGGCCAGCCCCATGCTGACCATGCACTGAACACGGCTAAGGCAGCCCTGCACAGCCCAGCCCAGACCTGCACAGCCCAGCCCGGCCCGGCCCAGCCCTGCCCAGCCCAGCCCGGCCCAGCCCACGCACCTTGCAGAAGATGCTGTCCAGCGCGGAGGAGCCCCAGCTGGGCTGCTGGCTGGGGTCTGTGCCCTCCACAAAGCCCCACTCCGAGCCATCCACCACAGGCACCTGGACAGGCACCTCCACCACGGGAACCTCCACGGGCACCAGCCCCGCCTGGCCGCTGTTGGTGCCAGCACCCGTGCCGGCGCCCGTGCCGGCGCCGGCGCCGGGGCTGGCGGCGCCCGCGGGCGGCCACGCGATCTGGGTGCCGGCGCGCCACGACTGAATGGCTGCCAGGTACTTGCGCACGTCTGTGTAGTAGCCGTATGAGAGGGTGATGTTGTCCCGCACGCCGCTGTAGGTGTAGTGCGGGGTGAGGCAGTCGGGGCCGTGGGAGGTGACGCCAAACTGTACCGCCCCGCCGGTGGCGGGATCTCGCAGCACCAGCGGGCCACCTGCGGGGGCAGGGTGCAGGATTGGTGGCAGGGTGAGAAGGGCTGCGTCAGCACGAGAGGCAGGCACGCATGGGATGCAGCAGCGGCCCTAGCAGCAGGGAGGGCGGGCAGGGAGGAAAGGGCTGCGGGCCCACAGGGGGGTATGCTATGCCCCCCACACACCCGAGTCCCCGTTGCACGTGTTTTCGCCGGTGCCGCCGGCGCACAGCACATCGGTGTAGTCTGCGGGGCACTGGACGCCAGGCACGTTGGGCGGCAGGTAGGCCACGTCTCCATGCCTGGGCGGGGCAGGGCAGGGGTGCGATCAGGCGGGAGGAGGCGGGGGCTGGCAGGCGTGGCAGCACCACATGCAGGCGGCTGGTGGCTGGGCAACGGTGGGCAGCGGCTTGCAGGTGGTGGGCGGGCGCCTTGCAGGCTGGAGCACTCAGCTACGCAGGGCGGCCCTCCCGGCAGCCGTGCCATCTGCTGCCAGCCGCCGGAGCCCCCGCCGCCCCGCATGCCGGCCGCGGCCTGCTCAGGCCTGATGGCATCGCTGCCCTGCCGCGCGCAGGGCTGGGGGTGTGGGGTGCCGG